TCTACCAACTAGAGGCCTAGGAACATGAACGATAGCTCTAGAAGCTTCTACAACCCTCTATGATTCATTACACATCATCGCTCCTTAGTTACCCACAAGATTGGTTAAGTTATAACATAATCTGTCTATAGGGGTACTCTGACCTTGGACCTCCTTTCACTTCCTATAGGCTAGGAACCTAGGAGATGGTTCTATGGGATTCTCTTACGTCGACTACAGTTACCAAGCCTGGTTAGTTATGGAAAGTCTTGGAAAATGAGAGAACTACACTCCTTTAGCATAAATAGGATTGCCCTTTCCTTAAGAAAGGGCAAGCAGACAATACAGTAAATCGACTATCACATACTTCCACGTCTTTTCCAAGCTTCCAAGCATTGATTTTGTTACTCCTTGTTTCTGAAAAGTCAGTGAGGTGCTAACCTCTGACTTATCCCTGAGTTCTCAGACTCAACATTTGTTACAACTTGTCTAAACTACTCCACTACATCATACACCTGATTGCTGCATTGTGGAATAGTCTAAGCTATGACCCTTTGGCTCTTTTTCCTAAGACAGTGTGTTGTCTTAGTAAATTCATCCCTTCCTTGGGTGGCTAGATTCTCACATCTGGTGCACCCACCATTTTCTTAGATAGGAGCTTTGTACTCAACTTAATATAGTATTCTTTACAATACTATAACGTGTTACTTAGAAAGCCTTGTTTTAATCCCCTACCTCCTCTATTAAGTCAACCTTATGCAAGAAACCTCTATGTCTTCTATTGTCTAGAAGTTAGTGTTACATTTTAAACTTTAAGCACCACTTCTACAAGGTACCAGCTTACACATAAAGCAACATGGCTAGAGACGATACTAGGTCAAATATTAGTACCAAGGGGAAGAAAGCCACTAAGCCTACCATCAAAGCCACATAGGCTCACCCCTTAGACAAGCGTAAGATTGCATTCCCTAATACCTTTCATAGGGATCACAAGAAGCTTAAGAGTTTCCTCATCTAGACTGAGCTATAGATGGCGTTTAACGCCAAACACTTCACCTAAGAAGTAGAACAGATCCTATAGTCGATGGCCCTCCTATAAGGACCAACCTTAGAATGGATCTGCTGGATGTTTAATTTTATATAAATCCCGTTTATTTACAACTAAAGTTAGTTGGTTAATATATTCAGTTTCAAGTAAATCACCTGATAAAAAGAAGTGATCTAGATATAAAGTACCTAAGTCTAAACAATCATTTAAAGTTTTATATCTAAATATGATACCATATAAGGGTCTACTTTTAAGTCTAGATTTGACTTTAAATTAGACTTTAACTCCTCTAAATAATCTACAAGAGAAGCTTCTTTTTTATATACATTTATATCATGTAATAGATTTACTAAAGATGGATTTATATCAAGATTTTTAAGTATAGAGGTAAAATAAGATTTTATTAAATTTTTCAATTTTAAAGTTAAATAAAAAAAATCTGCATTATATGTGTATAAGGTTAATCGTGGGGGGAAGCGAGTGCGTCCACTCGCTTACGAGAGGAAGCAAGTGCGTCCTCTCAACTTGCATATGTTCACCGCTACTCTTTACCAAAACCTCGAACATTCCTACACATAGTAATTTATATAGTAATCAAATGTAATTCATATAATGGAAGGGACACCTCTATCAAATGCCTGTGAATGGCTGGCAGCAAACCCCTCTGAATCTATAGGTGCTGCCAGTCAGATTTTTAAGGTCCCAAAGTCGACTATACAGTCAAGAATCACCCGAGCAGTCCCACGGAAGCTGCCCCATGGAGGTCACATAGGGTGCTTTCTATAGACCAAACGGAGGCCCTAAAGACCTGGATTCTAGAGCAGTATTACCTAGGATTAGGGGCTAATAGGCATATGGTTTATGGGGCAGTATGCCACCTATGGAGCCCACTGCCTCCACCATCACAGAGCTGGCTCACTAAATATATACGGAATGAGCTTATGGATTTCCACTTTATCACTACAAAGCCTATTGCGCAACAGCGTACGCAAGCTCAAGAGGAACCTGTTATTGTTAAGTGGTTTGAAAAGTACACGGAATTTGTACTACAGCATGGTATAAATCCAGAGTCAATCTGGAATATGGATGAAACTGGATTTAGGGTTGGAATTCCAGGGGGTGAGAGAGTTATGGTTCCCCCGAGCTGTAAAGCAGCTCTATACTCTGAGCCCTGAGAATCGTATATCTATTACGATCATAGAGGCAGTATCTGCAGCTGGACAGAAGATTGCACCTGTACTTGTTGTACCGGGTAAAATCCATATGGCAGCATGGTACCCTGAAAACCTCAGTGGAAATGAGCTGATATTGCTCTCGGAGACTGGCTATTCTAATAGCCAGCTTGCTCTACAGTGGTTACAGCACTTCATAGAGCTTACTGCTCCACACAACCCAGGAAATCCCAAGGTTCTACTACTCGATTCTCATGTGAGCCACACGAGCCCTGAGTTCGTCATTATGGCAGCCGAATATCACATCATCTTATGGGCGTTTCCCAGCCACCTTACACACGTTTTACAGCCATTAGACGTGGGAATATTCCAGCCTTATAAGCACTGGCATAGGCAGGCTGTGCTCCGTGCTATACGGGAAGTTGACATCACCTATAACCTACCCCGATTTATGAGAGATCTCCCACAAATGCGGGAGCAGACTTTTAAGGAATCTACCATACAATCAGCGTTCCGGAAAGCTGGAATCTGGCCTATAAGCTGTAATACAGCCCTTGAGAAGCTGCGTACGTACTCGCAGCCTATGCAGCCTACAGGGCCTACAACGCCTACCCTACCACAGCCTATTACCCCTATTCCCTCCACTTTCCAGGGCGTAGAACAGGGCCTACAGCAGTGGAAGGAGCGGGTTCCGGAGGCCTTTAGTAGCCCCTCAAGGCAGAGCTACAGCAACTGGCTTACTGGGGCAGCCCGGGTTCTGGCTGCCGGCCAGCTCCAGGAACTCGACCTACGGGCTGTTCGGCAGCAGGTCAAGGACTCGAAGAAGAAGCGGGGGGGCCGGGACTGACTCCAGTGTGGAGGTGAGCTCCGGGCTTCTGAAGCCCACGAGCTTCAGGCCCAGAAAGCTGAGCTTCAGACCCAGAAGCTCGCTGCCACAGAAGCTCGGAAACTGAGCCAGGCCCAAACCCGAGCCCACAAGCAGCTCCGCCGGGCAGGAATCGAAGCCCGGAAACGGGAGCGCCTCCGGAAGAAGAGCATAGCTCAGCTCACTAAATCGGGCCTCCCAATTCCTCCGGAGTTGGAAGGCCCTATTACTGACCCAGAAGCCGAATCTGGCAGCCAGTATGAGAGCGCAACTGAGGGTGGGAGTGGTCGTGGGAGTGAGAGTGAGCGTGAGAATGAAGAAGTGATAATTTCGTAGAATTGAATTTTTAAGTACTTTTACATATAAATTACTATGGTTGGAAACTTAACCACGAAATCTGATAGATTACTCTTATGCTGTGATTGCTCCTCGAGTACAGCGGGAAAATGAAGTGTTGGTCAGACTAGATACAACACAGAGACGAGATAACAGAGGTTCTCATAGTGCCACGGTTGCTCTTTGCACACAATTGGCAACGAAACCTTCGACTAGGCCGGTGTAAATATACTGACGAGAGAGAAGCAACATCTCTCATGTCGTGGGTGCTTCTTGAACGTAGCTAGGAAACGAGGAGTTCACTAGACCAGCTTCAACACACTGTTGAGACGAAAAGAACCTTTCTCATGCAAAATAGTTGATTAGATCAAATCTTATCCAAATCCTCCCCTAATCCTTCCACTAACACCACTAACAATATTGTTTTCACACCATCTGTTTTGGAACTATTGTGCCGATGTTACGCCCTTCTGCACGAAATCTCGTTTTTAAGCGACACCTTGGAAGGTGGCAAATACTATGGAAGTGCACCATACAGGCGTACACTACTGAGTACAGTAGTAGCAAAGCCAGGATCGATCATAGTAGATCCCGCGTAACAAAGATCCATCTACTATAACTAATTTAGGTTGACATACAAATTTGCTGCAGGCGGAAAGGCACCTGTGCGGAGCATTTGATAGTCAAGCCTAACGTCAGGCGGATAGGTCTGCACATGGGGCGGCGGCATGAGGCGGCATGAGGCAGCGGCATGATGCGTTTGGTGAAGGGGATTGCGTCGGCTGGGGGCAATCGGTGGATCATGGTCTGACCCAGCCTGGTCGAGTATGACCCAAGATCGGCTGCCAACAAAAATGTCCCCCTCCTAAAACCCCCCCTCTTCTCCACTCTAGTCCATACTCGTGGGGAGGGTCGGTTGGTCCCAATGCCATAGGTATCCGCATTACCCTTCACTCTCCCTCGCGCGGTTTCTCCATGGAGCTGGGCTCCGCCATCACCGTTATCATGGCCACGCGTCTCGCTCTCCCCATCTCAATCACCCAGTGTATCTCGGGTGCTACCGTCGGTGTTGGTCTCTGCTGGTACGTGGAGGGCTATTAACTGGCGCATGATTGCTTGGATTTACTTTGGCTGGATCATTACGCTGCCTTGCACTGGTGTTATTTCGGGCTGCTTGACTAGTATCCTGATCAATGCCCCGCAGTTCTGTTATTGTATCCTAGACGATTCTTTGATTTTTGTGTTTGGCGAGAGGAGAGCGTGCATACAATATGTCGCGGTAGCTGTTCCTCCCATTGCTCCAGCTTATTTGGATTTGGAGGTGGGCAGGCGCGCATGGGGGTTTGTGGAGGAATTTGTTCTAGTATACCGTACCTGAGTCTCTTTTTAACAATATAACATTGCCATTTAGTTGTTGTAGATGCTAAATCTTGCAGTGGCTCGAATGTGAGAATTCTAATAAAATCCGTAAATCCGCACAGTTCAAGAGACGTCTAATTTGAGAAATCCTCACGCCACAAAAAAGCCACACCAACTCCCCCCACCATACAACCCCTGCCCCCCCTCCTCCCCTGCACCCCCCCCCCTGCCCCGTGGGCCGCAGGGCAATCAAAATACCGCACCACCAATAATAAACAACCTCTCCTCCTCCCTCCTAACCCATTGCACCACCCGACTAGCCCCCTGCAACAACGCGCCCCTAGCACAATTCGGGCCCGCTACACAGTAGAACTCGAAGACGGGGGTGGCCCAGGCGAGCGCGATGGAGGTCTTGGAGACGCAGTGCAGGACTTTGGTGTGTGATATGCGGGCGTGCGAGGAGGAGTGGAGGGTTTGGTAGATGGAGAGGAGGCTGGGGGGATGTTAGCTGCTGTCTGATTATAGGATAGTTGGGTGAAGGGGGGGGGCCATACCGGCGATGCGAGATCAGGCTGTTGAAGTGGGGCGCGTAGCTACTGGTGGTGAACTGCACGTTCGCGCGGCTCTTGTAGAGGAAATGCCGTAGCTGGGTCCCCGGCACGATATCGGTGGTGCTAGGGCGGCCGGCGCGAACGGCGTTCTTGATAATATCTAGACTGCCGTTTTTCTGGAGCTGTGCGACGACAGCATCGCGCATTTGTTTGAGCTCATAGAAACTCTCTTTGTCGGTGCTGATGAGGAGGACGGCGATGGCGTCATCGCGGCTGCTGGTGCTTTCCGGGGTGGTGTCGTCTTCGTCAGCGTCGAGGAGGGAGACATACATGTAAACGTAGCCGGTGTTGTTGAAGCCCGGGAGGCAGAGGGGGATCCAGTTCTCGCCGCCGCCAGAGCGGATGCTCTTTGCTTCGAAGAGCATGTTGAAAATGAGCTGTAAGTCGCTCGGATGCAGAGAGTGACGTTTTGGACGCACGACACTGACTAGGCGGCCACCGGCGACTATGAGACCGTAGAGGAGGTTGTCAGTGCGGGTCTTGAGAAGGGTGTTGTTGATGACATGGCGTTGGGATTTGCGGATTTTGAGACACTCTAGAGCGGATAGTAAGGTGGATGCGGAGCCTTTGGTGAATGTATCCGCGAGGGATGAAAGAAGGACATCTGTACCTTCGAGAGGTCGGCGCAAGTCGGTAGAAGGGCGGTTTGTGAAGATCTGGGTGAGGCGTGGGAGGGTGAGGGTGGATAGGATCTGCATGTATAAAGCGTCGAGCTGGATGCGAAGTTGCGCTTCGCTCTCGCCTAGACTGCTAATAGCGACAAAATATAGAGGACCTTGCGCGGAAACTACAAACTTGGTGTCGCCGGCGGTGAAAGATTGAAGGGGGTCCTTTGACTCTTCATAGAATGATATAATCGTTTGAATGACACCGATATAGCCATTGATCAAGTTGACATCACCATGTCTGCTATATATGGGCTTTCCTGCCGATGAAAATATCATGTAATGCTTGAGTTTCGACTTAAACTGTTCCAGCAGTTGCTCCTCGTTGCCCATTTCGCTGTCGACGTCATGTATCTCATCGAATTCTTGCTCGAATACGGCTAGTTTCTCATTTTCCAGGTGGCCAATCGTCTCAAACGGATTGACCGTCTCTGCTTGACCAGCCAGCATCTTCCATGCTGCACTTTGCACGTTGGGTCCTCCTAGCAGGCTTTCCAGGTCTCCTCCTCCAGTATGTGTTGTTCCAGTGAAGGTTTGCAAGCTCGCATTATCATCTGCCTCATTCCTGCTTTGCGAATCCCTTCTGTGACTATAATCCAAAACAGACGTCCCTGCTGCGGACGGAGATGCCGTGTTATGTGTCGATGAGAATGTGCCTCTGCTTCCGTCCGGAAACGACAGTGTCTGGATGTCTATGGATGACAACGCAGTAGTCGGTTGAGCTCGGAGCTTGGGTCTCGCCGAGAGTGGTGTCGAAGGTCGCTCCAGTGAATCGACCTGGCTCGGACGAGGCGGTAGTCGAGGCGGGGTCTCTTTGGGGCCATCGCTGCCATCGACTATGGGGCCAGTCGGAGCCGGCTCTGTCTTAGCTCCATTGTCATCGGTCTCGTTTAGAGCAGTGGAAGCTGCTGCTTCATCTTCCATTGTATTTGGCAAAACAATCCCATTATTCTGTCCACTAGACTGTCCAAGGATTGAAGGCCTGAGTAACGTAAGGAGAGTATAAGATGTTGGCGCGTCGAAGACTTTGGTGGTTGATTCCATGTGCCCCAAAATGTGGGGGGGGACAGCTATCAAGGCACTTGCCAGGGATTATCCCACGTTGCCGTGCCGCGTTCACGTCAGAGGCTCCAAATAGCGTTGCACAGGGGTAAGGTGGAACTTGCCGCCAGATCTGTATTCAGGCCACGACCACTTCGGCGCTCGTTGTTCAGGAAATATTCAACTGCGCGAATCTCGAAGACTGTTTGCGCATAATTTGTAGTATGCCGGAAAGGCCTGAACGATATTGTTTTCGAAATGGCTCTTGACCCTGCCCCAGGGCGCCATCAGACGTCGTCACCAACGAATTCAGGCAGAGCATCGCCGATTTTTAGGAAATGGCGAGGTGAAGGTAACATCTACAGTACAAGGGAGACATACGAGTCGGAGTTGACATGTTTCAATAGAAGAAGCCCTTAGCAAAGACAAAACCTTTCGGAGGTACGCTACCGGTGTCGACAGGTCGCTGGCATTATTCGACAGCCAGTTACAGGAATGGGCAGACTATATCTCGTTTTTGGGAAGGCTATTGAAGGTCTGGCTTCTCGTAACCTCCGAATTATACATAAACTGATGATATATCATAGACTTTGCAAGCCCGTCCATCGAATATTACAGTTATTCCCTCCAAGGGAATTGTTGCTCGGAGACTAGCCCAATGCCTCAACCCAACGCTACCCTCGGGGGTGCACCAGAAGGCTATCGAAGTGTACAACTACATATTCTCAACAATTGGCACGGATTCATTATCGAGAGACCTGTCGCTATATCTGCCTGGGCTGTCATCGACTCTGTCGTTCGCATCTCTGACGGTGAGGTCACCGTTCCTCGACCTCCTCAAGACACACCTTGTACCACTTGATCCGTTGTCGTTGCGCCCAGCACTCAAAGCTATAATATTGGCCCTTCTACCAGGACTTGAAGAGGAGACAAGCGAAGATTTTGATCAGACACTAAAGCTGCTTAATGACTTTAAGAAAGCTGTGCGACCAAAGGGCAGCCAAGATGGCCACGAAAACACCGCCGGAGATGAATACTTTTGGCAATGCTTTTTCCTGGCATCGATTACTGGAGCGAATCGCAGGCTAGGTGCTCTGGCATACCTTGTCCGAAGCCTGCCAAAACTTGAGGCTCGATCACGAAGCGGGTCGGTTCCCAATCTTGATCAAGGACCAGCGAATGGGACAGAGATAATCACCACCCCTGAGCCCGGTCTCCTTCTGCGGTGCTTTGCAGCAGGTCTAAAAGACGACCAGCTGCTCATACAGCGCGGGTATCTAGACCTTTTGGTTACCCATCTACCTTTGCACGCCACTGTATTTCAAAGTCGAGTCAAAGGAGATGACTTAGAGCTCCTTATGGCAGCCGCCTCTGGCGTAGTAGCTCGCCGGGATATGAGCTTAAACAGGCGCTTATGGAGCTGGCTCTTGGGACCTGAGCCTGTCGCAGGCATAGAAGTAGAAAGCGGACCGGATCCGGCTTCTGGAAACGCCCGTGATCGTGCAATGTCTATAAGTGCTACAAGAACAAGCTATTTCGAAGAATTTGGCCTGCAGCCTTTAACACAAGCCATCTTGAAGATGATTTCTAGAGATCATCTCGCACCGGCGGAAAGAGCCCGCCCTTTCAAAGTCTGTTTATCATTAATGGATCGATGGGAAATAGGAGGGCTCGTTGTACCAGAAGTATTTCTACCCGTGGTTGGTAGTGTACGGAGATATCAATCACAAAGTACTTCGGCTGCAGATTTCAATGAAGTTCTACGAAGCGCTAGTGTCTTCTTCGACGGGGTGGAGAGCGGTCTAATATGGAGCGAAATCACAGGACTGATTGCTGGGGCTGTGGGCTCGAATAAAGCATCGAATGACGTGAAACTCGACAAGCTTGCTCTTGTGAGGTTTATTCTCACGAACTTTAATGTGAGGGAAGAGGAGATGCTTTTGGTCCATGCGCCGATCACCGCCTTGACTCTTCTGGCGATGCTGGATGAGACTGCATCAAAGGAGATCGATTCTGTTGAAGTGAAAACATTTGCAACAAATATTGTTCTGGACTTGATAGGTCTAATACCAGAAAGGGCTTTCGGCTCAGCCATATCCACCGAACAGTCGGAATCGGAACGCCGCCAGCCTAGTCTATCCATCGACAACAAATGCATTATGGACAAAGTACGCCACTTCTATGTCCATGACCAAGGCAACCTTGATGCTTCTCCGCCGCCATTTTCCGCCCAAGAGGTCTCTGAGTTACTCGTCCGTGAAGCCGTCAGACTAACTAGCCGAAGCTTGAGCATTGCGACATCAAGTGCTGATGTCGCCGTCAAAGTTCGGCTCCTAGTGGCACTTATCACAACAGCTCCTGTTGCCAAGAGTTTAGATCTTACTGAACTTCTTTCTGCAATCCACGAGAAGCTTTCGGCATCCACACCACCTCCATTCTCTGTTTTTTCGTCCATTACTGTTATTGGTACGGCTTTATACCCACGATACTTAAAGCCGGAGCAAATCTCCGATTTGGTTGACCCGCTAGTTCGCCTTGCATGGTCATATCTCTCGCCGTCCTGCCCAAAATACCATGTGGAAGCTGTGAGAAACCTTTGGCACCTTCAAACTTGCTTAGGAGATGCAAATCGCGAGATCGAGGCCTCCTTGTGTCGCCTGATAGTGGAACACGATGTTACTGGGACGTTTAGAAATGCCGACCCTGGCCGGAGGTTCGCTGTGCTATGGACCCATACTCTCCACGACAATTCAGTCCATATCGAACGTAGAGCATCAAAGCCTTTGAAGGGTGATAGCAACTCGCTGGGACTAGCACCAAATACTGGTGACTATGAAATAATGCTCTGCCGGCCACTTTTCCTTTTGCTTGATGCCCTTTCGGACGAGAGAACTCAGCTTTTCACGTCTGTTAGGATTTGGATTCAGAATCTTCCTGGCATTGAGAAGTAAGCAATAATGACTGTGTGGCCTGTTAATCTGCTAACTCTATTTCATTAGGATATTCCACTTGTTCGTCTCAAAGTTTGCTCGATTCAAATTCCTACAGCCGGTAGACACCCAAAGCAACGCAGGCACCGATGAAAAGTCTACAATGCAATATACCACAGATGATGACATTGACAACTGCCTCTATTCCCTGCGAACTTTCCTAAATATCTTGCGTTGGTCCACAATAAGCACCTGGGGAACTCTTGCGAACAGCAAAGTTTCGATTCCAAAGAGTGACGAAGCTACCAATTCAATTGGTAATTATATTCCAACAGAACTTCTAGCATGTTTTAACGCGTTATAGGCCACCACGAAGATGATATTCCGCTCCAAGAGTTTTTTCTAGAAATGTGTTTGCGAGCAATAAATGGCACGCATAACCCGGAAGAGCCTCAGCTTGACCCGTCTATTAGCCAGCTACACCAGGCGGCATTGGCAGTTCTACATCAGATTCTTGCGAGTCCATTCTCCTCAAATTTTACCGATCTCAACCTAGAAGTTGATCTGATTAGCAAATTACAACGGTCGCTGGCAGATCCGGATCCTTTCTTACAGGCTTCGCTGTTGGATGTTGTCCTGGCCTCTTTAAAACTCAAGAAAGAGTCACCGATCAGCCCGCCTATGTCGCCGAAGCTTGAGCACCGCCCACTATCACCAGAGTCGAATCGCGGTGCTGTTCAATCAGAAGCAGTTGCTCATTCTGAAATGTTGTCTGAGAGCCGACCCCCGCCGCCAAGTGCATTGCTTGAGTGTTTGCAAGCCGCATTCGTATCGCCGAATAGCCGTCCCGTTTTAGATAATTGGATTGTGTTTCTTTCCGAATCCATAAATCTATACTCAGACACAATATTCCAGGTGCTCATCCCCCTGGTCGAAACATTTTGCAGCCAAATCTCTCAGACATTTGAGTCTCTACGGAAAACATTCCAAGGCTACGATGGCAGCATAAAAGCCAACTCGGCGCCGGAAGCTACCTTGATATCATTTCTCAATGGACTAGAACTAGTCCTTGCTCGCGGTCATGAGCGGCTGCTCAAAGACGAGGCTCGAGCTCCGACAGCGAAAAGTCCAGACCAGCCTCAAGGTTTCTTTGGCAATATGGTTTCGGGAGTTTTCGCAACAGAAACGCAACATTCAAGAATTCAGACTGCCAACAGTAGGCTTACTGTTCTTCTGTCGTTTCAAGATGCTGTCAGAATCTGTTTCAAGATTTGGTCCTGGGGTGGACGGGGCAGAGATGATTTTAGTCCAGACGCCGACTCCATGGCATCTTTTGGCTATACGTCTCTGCGGATGCGAAATCGCGCAAGAAGATTGCTGGAGCATCTTTTCCACGCCGAGCCGTTAGAGTGCCTGGAGACTGTCATCGAAATTTGGCAGAAGGCTTCAACCGCGAGTAACACACAGTACACCGCGGCTTTCCACCTGCTCCACGTCCTTGATGGCAGTAGGCCCAAACATACCATACCCGCAATATTCGATGCTATATACAGTCGTACCAACCCGGGCGTGTTAGATGTATCCCGAAAGTCGACCTTGACATCCACATTACTTGACACGGAACTTGTCGTGTTCTTGGTTGATTATACCAGCTCTGTGGAAGACGACGCTATGGACGAGATCTGGACGGATTGCATGACATTTTTGAAGGATATCCTTGCGAATCCATTCCCGCATCGTCAAATATTACCTGGCCTTCTTGAGTTTACCTCTGTTCTTGGCGAGAAGGTGGATAATACCAACTTTGGGGAGCAGCGGAAAATGCGGAAGGACCTCGCAGTAAGTGTACTGATCTCTCCATCAACCATGCATATTCTAATATTTATACAGGACCTATTCTTCAGACTTTTAACTGCGACCTTTACGACCAACCCAATAGGTTATTCCATGAGCACTTCGCAGCAGCCGCCCGCTGAAAAACATTCCGAAGTCTCGTCTTCATCAAAATTAAAGCGCAGAGCCGAGGACGTCGTTGAAATCCTTGCCACGATTATTCCAAATCTGCCAAAGATTTTGGTTGAGCCTGAAAGAGTCCTGGCTGCGGCTAATACGATATCGACTAGTGTTATTGGGCCGACAATTCGGTCCAAAGCATACCCCGAAAACGTTTCAGTAAACCTATTAACTCTGGTGTACCAGCTCTCACGACTGGCAAACACTCAAAAGGTGTGGAAGAAAGATTTAGGAGACGCATTTAACGACCCTCGATTCTTTGCGAATCCACCAAGTCTGTACGAGAGCCACTGGATGACCCTTATCCGCCAATGGGCAATCACCGACAAAGAGCGCATGCCAGAACTCCTTTCTCGCATTACTCCGCCCACAACAGCCGGTATTGTGTTTGGGGTCGGTGCTACCAGTGCCCGCCTTGAAGCCGATCGAAAGACACAACTCAATCTTCGCCGCATTGCCACGCTTATCCTCTCCGTCCCCGATGATACTTTTGTGTCGGCCCTCGCTGACATCAATGACAAGATTGTTGAGCTCCTCACTGCCACCACTACTTCGTCGCCCTCTTCAACTACCCGAGCAGAGATATACATTCTTCTCCGCGTTCTAGTACTGAAGACTAGCCCAATTCATCTCGCGTTTATGTGGCCTACTGTCAACGCCGAGCTAGAAGCTGCAATCTCATCGGTGGTCGCGCCAGATCACACTGGGCCCGCAGACACCTGGAACAACTTCAGCATCCTACAAGCATGTAAACTGCTCGACTTGCTGCTGTGCATTGCTCCAGACGATTTCCAATTGCACGAGTGGCTGTTCATCACGGATACCATTGATGCCGTCTATCGACCTAGCTCGTCAGGCTATCAGCCAGCGGCATTGATAGACCAGCTAGCTGAGGAATTCGGCTCGGCTACACTTTCCGGTGCATTTGAGGGCACAAGCGTGGCTTCTGAGGACACAAAAGATAAATCTATGCGACGGCCCCTTATTGGCCCTGGCCGGGTAGAGACGCGAGGCGTTAACCTAGAGAGGAGGGACGAGTTAGTTGCGAAAGTGCTGAGGCCGTTTTTCAGCCAGCTCAGTATCTGGGAGTTTGAGACGGTGTATGAGATGGGAGGTATAGAGTGGGAGGAGTGTAGTAGACAAGCATTGGATGATTTGTTTGATGAGAGCGCGGTTGTAAAGGCGTTGTAGGGACATCCCACACCAGGAAAGCTTATTGAGACTTATATTACGTGTAAATAGATAATTCAAGACACAGTTCAACTGCAAGTCTGTCACAAGTCCCAGCAACGAAACAATGCCCATTTGAACGTAATGGGTATCGATTTGCACTAAATGGCTCCCCAAGAAGATATCTAATTAGCAACCGGTTTATCCTCCTTTTCCTCTTTCTCTGTTTCCTTCGACTCTCCAGCCTTCGGGGGCCCTCCTGGAGGGGGCCCTCCTTTAGGCGGGCCTGGCGTGGCCTTCGGAGGACCTCCACTCTTAGGCGGCGGGGGTGGCGGGGTGCCCGTAGATTTCGCACTCGGCACGTAGTCCAACTCTCTGCTCTTTTGCTCGCCCTCCATAAAGTAATCATCCAGCTTTCCTCCTTTCGCTTTTACTGTTTTATCATGTCCGCGCCCGTGTTTCCTATGCGCCTTGTCTGATGAAGCTGCAGGCGGCGGAGCTGCCCCAGTCAGCTGTGCGGGGATAAGGAACTCGGAAGGAGTGGTTGTGATAGGTGGGGCGCCGGTGGCAGAGAGAGCAGCCGCCCTTGACTCCTCGTTCGAGAATCGCGCCGGCTCGCCATCGAAGAGCGTAGATCCCGGCTCGGCAACGGGCTCGCTGAGCGGCGCAGGTATGCGGTGCAACGCACCATATCCAAGTACACAGCCCAACGCACCCTCTCCGCCCCAGTCTCGGCTCGGTTGAATGGTGACTTCGCGCGTGACGTCGTATTCGTTGTTGTACACGTACAGCCTGAGGGGGCGGCCAATGTGGTCCTCTACCAGCTCGCCGAGGCCAGCTTCGCCGTGCAAGATTCCCTCCGGGGTGCCGAGGATGTAGTCGCTGTAGGGGAGGAGGCCGGCGAGGTCGGCCGGGGAGTTGGCGGGGACGTCGAGGATGTGCCAGATTGTTGCGACGGTGGAGAGGGGCGCGTGTTGGAGGGATATGCCTAGGGTGGGGTTGTCTGATGGGATGCGGACGTGCAAGGTGCGTGTTCGTTGGCCCTGGTAAGTAATAACGCGTTAGTTGAGCTTATGGGAGCCATGGATGAGGGAGGAGAGAGGTGTTACCTTGGCGCTCCAGAGTCCAAGAGTGACGGTGCCTCCAGCGCAGTTGCGCACTTCTTGGGCGAAGAGACTGGGATCTGAGTCCTCCTATTTCTTTATTAGAGACTGTTTGCTGGAATTTCCGAGTGAAATCATACAATCATGCGCCCATTGATCCCAACTATAAAATCAAACCAAGGCTCAATTGGAAGGTCGGCATTCTTATTCCGTAGGACCTGGAAGCCAAAGGCATTGTAGGTGGATGTCTGGGCTGGCGCGTCGGAATCGAGCCTTGATATGAAGCGATTTAGGGCGTTAAACATGTTGGTTTTTCAGCCGCATACAATTGTATTATATAGAGATGTTGGAATTCGGCAATATTGTGTCAGTGGCTTCAGAGACGGAGACGTGGTAGCTGGTGGTGTTTCTGGTTTCTGGTTAATGGAGCTCTGGCCTCACCTACAACCAGGTACGTACTGTATCATGTTTCGTCATTGGCTAAATAACCTCAGCCCTGTCAACTTGTCATTGTCAACTTGTCATTGTCAACTTGTCATGAGGATAATTTTTATATTTTACAAAGAACCTGGGCAAGCAAATCGTGGAACTGCTTGGCGACAAACTGTGATATATTTCACCGCTACGCTCTAACCTACTTACTTCAGCACTCGCATCCACTTCCTTGACTTTTGCAGAGTCCCTCAAAATCTAAGTGCGGGGCTGCCACCGCCAAAACTAAACTTGGCTTCACACGAATCGACCCATCGACATAACTGTGCGACAAATATTGGCGAGGGTTATTAAGACAGTGAGCTCCAAGAAATACTTTCTTATTACGCCCAGAGCCTCATTGGGTCTAATGGCGTCCAACCCACAGACGTTTCAATCGTTCGGCCGTCCACTGGCGAACTCTTCCAACTTTTTTTCACAGAGGGACAACGAACATCAACTCTACGGTCTATTCTCTGATCTGAACCTCAACGGAGAATATCGCAAACAACCAGTTTCTACACTGACCCCATTTGCTGCTGTTTCTTCTGAAGACATTGAACTAAACGACGTACGATCGACGGAGAAAAAGCTCACAACAAAGCAACTACGTAAGCAACGCGAGGCGGAACAGGCTGCGAAAACTCCGAAAAAACCTAAAACCTTAGCATCTAAAGCCAAGAAGCAAAACAGAATCAAAATCAGATTTGAGAGACGAAAGAGCCAAAAGGATAGACTGGGCGCAATCAACCGCGACCCGAAATTGGTAGAGAAAAGGATACAAGCCTTGAAGGAGCTCCATGCATGTGCTCAAGATTTACACAACGCCACTGAAAATAAGGTCGCCCTTAAGCAGGCACTGCAAAATCTCACCGAAGCATTAGCATCGCATACGGAGAAAACATCCGCGGAGTTATACGCGGAGCTCTGCCAGACCAATAATCAGAAGAGTGCTGAAGTATTAATCGGAGGAAATATTAACGATACACAAAGTTCCGAGGAATCTTTTAAGAACTTTGTCGATAATTTGGAGAGGCCAGTTCTACCATCAGAGCCCGTTCCCACTTCCCGGGGGAAGAAAACTGCCAGGGTAAAAGAGTTGCCTGTGAACATCGCCCAGCCAACATTTAAGCTACTCGCCCCATCGAGGGAGCAGAAGATCAGAAACGCCCATAACTGGAAAAGAGCTAAGCCACTTATTATCGACCTCACAAAAGCGATCGAAAGAAGTGATATTAGCATCGCCAAGTCATACGCTGCAGCACGCGTTCCAATTAAGAAGCTGGCTGACGGCTTAGAAAGAGATTTTGCCGACGTTATATCAGAAGTTATTCCGTCATTTACCAGAGACAGAATTGCGTATTTTGAACGACCCTTCATTACCCTGAAAGGAGACCCACCAAATATCACCCTCTAATACTCACATTGCAACCAATGGCGGACTCGACCAATCAATGTCAGCCTGAGATTGATGATCTACAACAGAGCTACGTTGATGAATTTGGACTCACAGATGAGTGCCATCACTACGAAAGCTTAGCAGAAGTGCCTTGGGACCTTCAAAAATATTGGCAACAGCGATACAGTATATTCTCATTATACGATGAGGGGGTATACATGACAGACGACTCATGGTTTGGGATAACTCCGGAGCCAGTTGCCGTCCAGCTAGCTTCAGACATGGCAGCGTCAATAGATCCTTCAAAAACTACAATAGTCGACATCTTTGCTGGTGCAGGGGGGAATTCTATTGCCTTCGCTCGGTCAGGGCGCTGGGAGAAGGTCATTTCAATAGAGAAGGATCCTTCTGTGATTGCTTGCGCTAAAAATAACGCGGCTATCTATGGCGTTGCGGACAAGATTACCTGGGTCAACGACGATTGCTTTGACTTTGTTTCCAAGAACGGGAATATCGATTTCAAGACGTCCACCATCTTCGCTAGCCCTCCTTGGGGCGGCCCAGGCTATCGGGGCGACGAGATCTTCAATCTCGATACCATGGAGCCGTACTCCGCCAAGCAGATCCACGAGATGTGCAAGTCGACGGAGTGTGCCTTATTCTTGCCGAGGACATCCGATTTGCGACAAATTGCGAAGCTTGCACCAGAAGGAGACAAGGTCGAAGTTGTCCAGTATTGCATGGAGGGTGCCAGCAAGGCTTTAGTTGCATATATACCAGCTACTCCAGAGCAGCTAAATTAATGAAAATGAAAATGAAGTCAAAAATATGCACATATCGACCCCTCATGACAATACAATTGCTTCAGGGGCAACCTCCCAGTAACGCTTAATTCTGGGGTAAGGGCGGGGAAGTGGGGTAAACCGTACTGCTAAACTGTTGGGGTGGAGTTAGCCGATGTCACCAACACAAAACTTTAATATAACTCCTCACTTGTAATCTCCACTCTGAGAATAACAGCCTGAATACACAGGATGATCATCAATAGTTGTTCCCTGTTCCGAACCCCTCAGTCCATATTGCGTTACATGCGGCTGCTAATAGGACAATATAGCTACTTTTGCCTTTCATCCGAAGCCTATGTTAGTTTAGGTGACGAAATGAGAGTAGTATGGCGAAATTGGCAATCGTCAGTGCTGACACCAGAGCCATGGCCCATATAAGATGAAGCCTAGGCGCAATTGATCATGAGGATGACCGTTAGCTATACTTCAGGGCACAGAAGAAGTTCAAGAAGTTCTACGTAGTTTGAAAGTTCAATATGCGTTCCGCTTTGGCATACATAGCGCTTCCGGCAATCTTCGCCCAACAAGCTGTGGCTGCTCCGACGGTTGGCCTTCCAGCACACGGAAGCAAAAATGTTCACTGGGTCGATATCTGGGCTACTATTCCACAACTTACAGAAGTAGGCAATCTTCCTCCTGCTCCATACGTATGTGTCTCGATATATACCAGTCGTGCCTTCTAACCCCTTTTTAGACCCAGCCTGACTATGTTTTCGTTGACTCGACCGTTCGCGCGACATTTCAAGTGTCAATCCCCGGAAAGACCATCCGTCTCAGGTTCACGAACGTATTTGGCGCCACGGACTTGCCAATCGATGCTGTGACCATTGCTCTCCCTGATGGGCCAGCAGGCACCCGCACGATCCATACTCAGACTTTGCAGAAGGTCACATTTAGCGGCAAGATCTCGATCATCATTCCCAATGGTGCTCAAGTAGTCTCCGATCCAATTCACTTTGAGGTCAAGGCCAGGCAAGACATTGCAGTCACCTCTCTAACCCAGGGAGCCGCATCACGAGTTGGTACTCGCGTGGCAACCATGTCAGCTCTGCCAACCTGACTGATGCTTCCGTTGCAAGCTCCGCGCATTGGTACTTCCTAAGCGCCCTGGAAGTCAACGACCCCCTCGGCAGCACCTTCGCCATCGTCGGCGACAGCATCACCGATGGCCGCGGCAGCACCACCAACGGCAACAACCGCTGGGCTGATCAACTCTCCCTATGCCTCCTGAAGGACTGACGCACATCGCACATCGGCATTGCCAACGAGGCAGCTGGCGGTAACCGCGTGCTTCACGACGGTCTTGGACCTAACGTACATGGCCGTATCGACCGCGACGTACTGGCGCAACCGAATGTCAAGTATGCTATGATTTACGAGGGCATCAACGATATCGGGACGGGCAATTCGACGACCTCCGTCGCTGAGCAGCTCGAGACGTCAGACCGGTTGATCTGGGCATACCAGAAAATGGCAGAGCGGATCCACGCGGCGGGAATCAAGGTGTTCATCGCCACTATCACGCCGTGCAACCACCCGGCCAACCAGTTCCAGCCTGTGTGGGACGTGGAGAGAGAGAAGACGAGGCAGCGCGTGAACAAGTGGATCCGCGAGAATAAGGTGTTCGATGCGGTGCTGGACTTCGATGAGGTTCTTCGAGACCCAGAGCACCCGAATGTAACGCAGGAGCGGTACAACTTTGATGACTTCTTGCACCCTCGTGTTGAGGGTTATCACGCGTTAGCAAACTCTAACCCGCTCTCTATATTCTCGTAGGGTTAAGGTTTAAAGGCGATAGTAAAGTTATATTTCTTAAATAGGTGCACAGTCTTGCCGGGGTGGCGGTATCAATATACAGCAATAATATTGTGTCTGTGTCAAGCATATTTGCCGTGTTTTATAAACTTCTAGCTCTGCCGATGAACTATAGACGAATGTCATTGTATATTTCAAGCTGTATGCTTCAAGGGGCTTCTTGACATCTTGTGAGCAAAATCCCCTATTTTCCCTGCAAAGTCTGGGTTTTACAAGGGCCTTCTTGGAAAGCCTGAATTTCACAAAATATGAATGAAGCATAACAAGTGCGGCGAAGAATTATAATGGTGCAACAAAGCCACAGCGTACTCGCATAAAAATGCATCACATTTTCTATACGAGTACGCTATGGCTTAAAACTAACATCGAATTCGATTGTCACGTAAATTTCTCTGCCACATGAAAGAAGGTACTTTTATAGTACTATGCTCTCAACATATTACCCATGTCCGGACGCCCGTGACATAGCGTCGACTCGGACTATATCCCGGTTTGGTCAAACGGGACGAAACCAACGATTATGCATCCATGCAAGGAAGACCACACAGACTTAGGCTATTATGGACCCGACTTAAGCCTTTCTAATGCCATGCGGGGGTAAACCTTGTCTCCATGCTGTCAGATTCAGTAATGCCAATGAGAACTTTAACAACACTGAGAGCCAATAAGGGCAGCAAGGCGATCAGAGCCAATGTTGTCAGCCGAAAACAGCCTATTTATTTACAGGTTGACATTCAGACTGATGGCCAAGGCTGTTCACCGCTGGACCGTAAACAAGCTCACGTTGAACGAGCATCCTACTCTGCTTCCAATTGAAAGTTGTCGTTAGGTTAACTGTATAGACTATCATGAATAGGACCTACCAGAGCTCAACATCTTGCTCGACGAGCCCCAGCTAAATCAAAACGATGATGTGTTAGCCTTTAACACTCCAGAAGCTCCCGTCCAAAGATATTCCGCATATGTCACCGATCCCTGATAATATGGACTCCTCCTTATCCGCTTCGAGAATACCTCATATATTATATCGCGTGGCATTGCCTGGATTTAGCCAGTGTTCTTGTCGATCCCTTAACGATTAAACTATAGTTTTATGAGAAGGCCCCTCTGCCAATGGTAATGCAAACACTCCGATGTGGTCAGGCCCTTTTATTGGCTCTTTCAATCGCATCAGGTGGGAGGGACATCGAGGCTAATATCAGCGGTCCAACGGATCTTGGCGAATCATTTGTTGCATGAAGACTGGCCAGCTGATCTACCAAGCTCTCGGTGTTGCCGACAACATGGGTTTCTCTGAGACTCCTACGCACAACTGCTCATTCCCATCTTCTCACAAGCGGACCTGACTGCGTTTTCAGAAGTTCTTGTTGATCAGAACACCACCACTGCTGTCTCGAAGTCCGACCAGACCTTTGACCAGGCCAAGTGGGTTACGTGGAGTGCTCCAACCATGATTAAAATACAGACTCTCAAACACTATGTACCCTCATTGATAATACCCTGCCCTTTGAGGCCTCATATCGTACAAATCCCCACGCTTGATAATACTCCGCCTATTTTGAAGGTTCTTCAGGCTTGTCATTTGAGCCAAACCAAGGTTTGGCATTCTTCCTCTTTGTTTCTTTCCGGTCCGCAAGCTACAAACATCAGTAGGCCACACACTTGGAAATTGGGAATGAGCTCCTTACCCATTGCTTTTTGCAGTCTCGATACGCCCTATGCATCAATTAGTAAAATTCCATTCCATGGCTTCACTCCGCCGCAACCACGTGCGAGCATAGTTGAATGCGCCTCCAACTTACTGGAAGTAATCCGAGCACATTTCCCTTTGCCCGCCATTCCGGTGCAAACACTTCAAACTCCTCGTAGCCAAATCCTGGCACGGATCAAAGTACTCGCTATACGCCTTCCTACGCCATCATATCAGTCTACCGCCTATTAACCCCAGAGCTGGTGGTAGGTTGTCCCAATTTACCCTTCGAATTTCCTCTCCGTCTTCTCATCCCATGGTTGCTCCGGAGGATCAATAGCCATGGCTTAGAAACAGGGCGAGTTATTCGCTCTCTCTCTGTTGCTTGGGTATAAAACAGTGGTGATATTGCAAAGGAAATGGTGGGTTTGAGATATACGTTCAGGTGTTGATGTCTAGAAGCACGTGCCGCGAAGGCGGTTTGAGTCAGGGACGTGACAGGAAAGGATCTTATCTAATCTAATCTTATCATTCCCCGAACTAAACCAACGACATTCTCGTAACAATAACTATCTAATTTGAAGATCAACGGCTGGTAAATTAATGAATCACGTTGTTATTATTTATTGTTTCTGACAATTATATATTCAAGACATGTTTTTTTTTCTGGATTAAAATTCGTTGGGCTTTGTGTCCTTTGGTTTAGTTTCCAATATAAAATATGGGACAAAACCATAAAGTTATATCACTCGAAAGTTCATCATGCACATTGAAATTTGCTTCATCCGCAACCGGAGCCAAAAGGTACATCGCATAAAAGAAACTCTGGTTGCGTCTTGCCTAATGATACAATCTCCATTATCCATCTTCCCACCGCTGCCCATCAATTTTGTAGATCTTATAGTCTGTCTCCAAACCCTTGCTAACTTCTCAACCACCGTAAATAAGTCCCCTTGTAGGAACTTCCATAAATAAAAATCCAAGCCGAGTATCGCGGTGGTGCCGTTAAAGGTAGAATAAGCTCTATAAATGCTTGGAAGAAGTAGTGGACAACTGTGAACCATTTTCGAGTAGCTTCCGAGGTTTGTACTTGAATAGTATCCGAATTCCATGGTAAACACTTGCAGTCCCACCAAAACAGTCACACCCGCCAAAATACCCTTAAACGCCTTCCCAGGACCAGCTAGCAGATGTCCACTGCGAACCCTCCGCATCCCAAGCTGAAAAATATACCGATCACTTCTTCAGACTTGGCAGACTTCAATATACGCTCCCACTCAGAGCCTACTGTGCCAAGATATCGAGCGCTGGAGTATTGCTGTATCCTTCCCCGGCAGCTTCCTTTATCATCTCATCGGCCCAATTGAACCCAGTCCCAGTCCCATGGTATTCGAAAGTTGGGATAAGATTAGAGAGATCCCTGCCAACCTCGGGATCTGCTTTGGTTTGTTGAGCAGCGAGTGAAGCATCTTCTCCATGAATCTGCATCATCAACGCCGCAGCTGCCATGTATTGCTGGGCGTCGACTCTGGTACTGGATGTATCCTGTGCATTTTCTTTACCAAGGGAGTTGGAAAGCCGTGTATTGTTTGCGAAATGAGAAATATTTGACGCAGCCATCATGCTCTGCTTATGGACCTCAGGCAAGGCCCTCCGAAGACGAAGCTTTGGCGGTAGGCCATATTTGGCAATAAGGAACGCCTTATCATCAATTGATTCGCTATCTTCGCTTCCAAAAGAGGATGACGGGGTAAGAGTTGTGGGAGAAGCATCCGGTGTGGCACCAAATGGCACCGGGAAAGGAAGGGAGCATGGATCAGCCCCAAAGCTTACGGCTACATCGCTGCCTCTGTAATGTGCACTCATAAGCCTGTACACTTTGTCCGCCGCAGCTATGGACGAAAACTCCACGAAGAAGCATTCCTGGGCGTCACGCTGGACTTCGAGCAATTCTTTCACTTGGCTGTATCCGGGCTGAACTATCATGTCGAAGACATCTCCCGTGGAGAATGCTGATGGAAGACCTCTGATTGATAGGCAGCGCGTCCAGCCCTGTTTGATTTGCTTCAGTATGGTAGGGCCGATGGGCCAGGTTGGATGGGAAGTTATGTGCACTGTCCTGAGAGATTCGATGGCCAAATTGGATTTCAACTGGCTGGCTCCGGATTCTTCAACGAAAATGATAAACGCAGTCAACCCCCCCGTGATTGCAACTGTGTTGCAAAGGGTCGCCGAGTAAATCGGTCCCGTGTTCATCTTGTCAAGGATGCTCTTCAGCAAAGTTCCCATCGATACGTCGATGTGGACAGCTCTGTGTCCCTGGGACAATTCATCTGGTGGGTTGTATGAAATCCCCCAAACGAAATATTCCGAGAGTCTGCCGCGAGGATTGAGGATGACATTTTGATGATCAATAGCATTTAACCTCTCCTCTCGTGTTTCCCAAATGGTTTTGTTGGCATTGTAGTCGGGGACGTATGAATTGTGAAGTTGTCCATTTTTGGGTTGCCGGGACTGAGCCTCTCGGGGGGTCTTATTGAGTTGATAGCTGACGCCGGTGACCACGCCTTTGCCAATAAAGTAGTCAGGCTCATTGACGCGCTCAATGCGAGGAGTAGGTGCGGGCTTGTCTCTCACTTCTTCCATGTACTTTTCATATTCCAAGCGGGCATGCTCCTATCAACTATTAGCAAGTACCATAGCTTTGCGCTCAGTGAATTCATACCACTGCGGCAGGGTCCAGCTCAGGCGTGGGATATGGCTGCACGGGAAACTGATCTTCGGATGGCTCGTGCTTGGCAGTTGGGATTTCACTTTCTGCTGCTAACATCTCATCCAATGACTCAATCATTACTGGGATGTCGGTGAATTCAGCCATGGAGTCTCCAGAACCAGCATCTTGAACGGTAGCATCGTGCTCATGTTGTTCTGAGTCTGCCAGGGGTGTAGACAGGCCATCCTCAGGACATTCCTGGAAAGACGGCATTCTTGCGGTGAAGTCGGCTTCAGCAGAGCAATGCTATCCGAATGAAAGGTGCTTTTCACCCACTTGACGGTAGTTGTAGGTGTGTTGAGGAGATATGGAGTGACCGGACTGTCGAAATATCCTCGACTGGATAGGAATGAATGTCAAATAGATATTTTGAACTCTTCAGAAGTTCACATTGAAAATATAAGAATAAAGCAAAGCCCCCCAGTTGAGTAGAGCTCATTATATAGCTGCCTTGGCCACAATTGGTTCTGTCGGTGAGAAGACGGCTATCGGTGACAAGAATTCCAGCAAGGACGGAGTTTCCAAACTCAGGATAGCACTTGCGTCACCACCAGTGCAGGCGCTTGCTCAAATATCCTTCTCGAAAATGCGAGATTTGCAGGAATGGATGAAGGAATCGGTTCTCTTTGATCAGCAATAAGCCTGTTGGCCAAAGAGAGGGCGATGAGCATCATGGTGACGAGCTTTTGTGGCTGTATATTTGAGGTGAAGGAATAAAATGTAAGCTGATAACTTCAATTTCGGTCAATGTTCACCTACTAGAGACAAGTGAAATCAAATCACCTTACCTGCATTGCGCTCATGTTGAAAAGAATGTGGAAACATTGAACCGACTTCGCTTTATCGTCTCAGTATGGCATGGGAAGCGTGAGAGCCCTTGTACATAAGGGGAATATTCAATCAGATGCACAATGGAACGGGGACTGGAAGCATCAAGAACCAGCTGAGTCCCCCAAGAAAAATGACAAACGTATTAACTTAATTTTTAACGACGCACCGATTTAACACCTACAATATAAAATTGGCTCTCCTATACTATCCTTAGTACAATTTGAACATGAGGTATAGTCCTGACAGAAACTCGTTAATACAACTCCTCTCACAAGTATTCCACATCAACCCACTCTCTCCAATGGGTTGTTTCACCAAAGTTTGCATCGTCAATACAGCCAATATATGCACCCTGCTCCAGCCCAAAACGCCCGCCACTGTTCCAAGTGCTCCCTTCACCCATCACACTCCCTTGCTTTGTGCTTCGGTTACAAGTGTGCCCAGCAACTCCTTTCAATCTAACCCATACAAAACCCGTAGATGATCCCACACCTCACGTCCTCTCACTTACAAACCACTTCTTCTTCTCCTTCTTCACCTGCGCCGCTGTCATCGGCGTCGTCATCATTGCGCCTTCCTTTCCTGCCGAGCCGTCTCCAAAGCCGCCGCCGCCATAGGGACCGGTAGGGCCCGAATGGCCCGTAACCCAAGGCGCAGTCGGCGGCCTCATCTCGTAGTTCAGCTCGCGCTTGCGCAGGTACCTGCGGCGGAAAAATGCTGCTGCGATCCATCCACCGACAATAGCGACAACGATGATGGCAATCATGATGACATATTGATAGTGAGCCTCGATCCTAGTCCAAATTAGTCCATATTCGAAGAGATATTGTCGATTAAACTCACCAAGTCTTCTTTTTGGGGGCCGTGATTGTGCTACCATCAGTTCCAGTCGAATCTCCCGTGCTTGCAGTATTTGTCGATCCCGTGCCTGTGTTTCCAGTGCCGGTACCCCCAGTCGTGCCGCCATTTGTAGTTGGTGTCGTGCCACCCGATGCGCATAGCCCGTTGTACCATGTCTGAATAGCTGTCAGATCTGCTGGGACAGGACACGCAGAAGCGCACGTGTTGGCAGCGCCAGCCTGTCCCACCGAGGTCGTATGAGCATTTTTGCAGAAGCAGCTTATGTCCGGCGAGGGCGTCGCTGGGGGGATACAAGAGTATGCCACGTCAAAGAGCTTACCGCAGCTTTGGGCGCATAGTGGCAGTGTATTGAATGGTACGATATCGAGGTTGGTCCCTGGCTTCACTTCGGTTTGGAGGGTAGCGAGGGGAAGGGCGAGGAGGAACAATGTCCGTAAAAGGTTCGACATCGTGATTTGATTGCTGGATTAAGATATATACGCAGCGCGCAGGAGAGGTATTATGATTGCGACGCCGCTGGTGATTATTTCCGTTCTCCGATCGATCGGGCTGGACTCGATCCGGCGGTCAAAGTACTTCGTTCGCAGCCGACGTTTCCGGTATCGATAACGACGGGTACGGTCCGGCCGTTAGGCACTGGCGTAGTTGCTGCCCTTCGAAGACGATTTCGCGATCGATCGTTAGGTCGCGATTGCCTTTGGGTCTGTTGGGTGTAAAGAGTTGCCTTTCGTTGTGATCGTCGGGTTCAATCTCTGGGGGCGGAGCGATCAAGTTTGACTCGCAATTTAACCTCTCAGGTGACGTTTTCGAATGGTTCGTCGATCAGCGATCAGCGATCAGCGGGGCAGTGAGGTGTCAAGATACAGGGAACAAGAGGAATGGAGATATTAACAAAAGAGCGACAACAAGAGAATGTAGAGTGGCTGAGGAAGAGTAAGAAGTTGGAAGTGTTGATTATCCGAAGTTGGCATGGTAGGCTTCCTTCGGCTCTCGTATGGCCAGTATGACATAAGACACAAGGGACCGTATAACCCATATAACACCAATTTGGGCGCATTTGTTCTGGAAGGCAGGCGAGGGCTAAGATTGTTTGGCTGAGATGAAGAGAAATTATGCGAATTGGTCCGTGCGTGGTACATGGTGTCCCACATCAATGAAAAGGGGCAGGAGTTGCAGAACTGTCAACTGTCAGGGCTCACGGCCCACACGCCACGTGAAGCCGTACACTTCATCATTTCCCAGTTTAGAAAAGCATAATATCTATCATGTATACAATACGCCGTGCGTCGATGTAGAATATTCTACCCGTAATGAATCTCAAAAGGTTACCGCGTGAAAACGCTCCCAATCCAATAGTCTTTATGCGGTCCCCTCACGTGATACCCCACACTCCATTTAGCTACCTCCACACCCCGGAATGCGAATTCATACTCGGGGTCATAGGTATCGTCAATGCAAAGGTGATGAGATGTTGCCTTCCATCTCCTGTCCCTTGGCGGTACCAATTCCTTCGAATTTTGCTCGTCGACCCCATGCAGAGTGCTGCTCGTCTGTTCACCTGCTGTTGGATGAGGGCATATCATCTGCAGCTCATGGAACAAATAGTCAACCGTCTCGTTGTCCGTTTTCACAAACCAAACGCTTAACTTGTCCTCGGCCTCCGCGTACCTATAGATGTACCTCCTCGTCGCTCTAAACTGCATCCCAGTATCTGTCTTAAAATCTCCATCCTCAACATACAGATACTCTGCTGCGAAACCCTCGGCCGTAGGGCGCCTGGGATAAAATCTCGCGGTTCCAAACAAAGAGCCCGAGGGGTATGTCGAAATATTACTTTTAATGGTGCGGTTCAGAACCCAGTTCCCCTGGAGGGAGCGGAAGATTGCCTTGGCCACAAATTTTCCACCTCGGCTTCCGTCAATCTCTTGTTTTATGAGCCGTAAGGTTTCTTTAGATTCTGTAGCTTCTTCACCCTCACCGAGGCCTTGCAAACCGGTTGCATACAGTGCCGGTGTGACAGGCGTACAGTAGCTATCGGCAGCTTCAACTGGCCCATGGCCCTGCATTTCTCGGAGAGATTCCATAATGTGAGTATAATCACCCATTGGAAACTGCGCGAGTCTCTCCAGGGTCTCTTTGCGACAGCTTCGTAGTGCAGGAATGATAGAGCTTGTGTTTTCGAGGGCAGAGCTCAGAGCTGGAGGCGGCGAGGCGTCGGGTTGCCAGAGGACGCGCAGAAGAGCTGCTTGCTGCTCCGCAACGCCCCAGTATGGGCCTCGGTAAAACCCAACAAAGCCTAGAGAAGGTAAAGAGGGGTGTATTGTGCTGTGTAATGACAGGGCGAGCGGTAGGTCTGGAGTTGAAGGATCGTATCCAAGAGTGGATAGAATGGATTTAGGGAGGAAGGACAGAGAGGATGCGCTATCAAAGCCCGTGGCAAAGATAATCGCAGAGATATTATCAAATGTTTCAGTTGACGAGGGCATTTCGACAATGACAGATGTATTATCGTCGGCCAGGGACTTCACTCGTCCCCTTGTTATTTTGATCGCGCCGGACTGAGCGAACGAGGAATAATTATCGCTGATTGCTAGCCAAGGGGCATCTGTTTCCTTATCTGCGGGCAAGAAAGCATGGGCAGCTGCTTCACCACCGTTAAATAATTTGAAGGCAGCGTGTGACTTCTGCGCTGCCTCTGGGCTTACGATGCCAGATCTATTTTTCAAGCGTTCTTCGGGAGACCTATTGCTAAGGTTAAACATAACCATATCGATGGGTAAAAATTCTGGCGCCGGATTAATGACCTAGTGCAATTAGAATACATACTCAAAGAAGGTTCGATCTGGTGCTCACCTTGCCATCCTGCTTCTCATTGTCAACCTGCGTCTTCAAAGGCAAGAAGAACGGCAATGTCCAAAACGGCTTGCTCGTTACATGGTGGATCGTGTACTGCTCTATAGACTCAATGTCTGATTTTCCAGGAGAATGAATCTCGGATGAAATCTGAGCTGCGATTGTCGCGGATGTTTCAGCGCCAGACATTGACCCGCCCACAACCAGAATCTTGCCTGGGGTTCCTTTATTGCCTTCCAACAATTCTTTGAGGTTTGAAAACTCTGAACTGTGAATGATGGGAATGGGCATGCCCTCTTTCTGCGTAAAAGTTTTTGGGATTATTGGCTTGCTAAAGAATCCAGAAGATATTATGACATGGTCAAAAAAGTGCTCCTCGGTCCCAACAACACTAACTCTTGAGTCGGCTGAAGTGTCTTCGGTTTCTAGGGAGTGTGGCCCTTTAACATCAGTACGCAGCTTTTTCACTCGTATCCTCCATTTTATTGGGTTAGAGGCATCATCCTCAACCATACTAGCCTCTTCAACGCGGCAGCTTGTTTTGATCTCAACCGACGGGCTGTTCAGGTACTTGTCAACATACTGTTGAAGGTACTGGCCTACATCGCTGGCCTTGGGAAACAGAGGGCTCGGGCGGGAAGGCTCATTCTCTGGCCACGTTTTGTCACTAAAGCAGACTGTATACTTGCTCAGGTTCGTAGACATAGACGGGTTTATTAAGCCTTTGTCAGTGGAATTACTGGGCCAAAGCCCACCAATTCTCGACAGCTGCTCAAAGACTGTAACTTTGAAAGCTCCTTTGGGGTACATAAATGCCCTGGCAGCTGCTATCCCACCTGGACCCGCGCCTACACAGGGTCAGTGACTGCCTCGTCTAAGGGTGACCGGTTGCTGGTCATACTTACCAATAATGCATACTGTTTTTGCCATCCTTATTTACCACTCAGCTGACTTTCGACGACGCGCGCCAGAAGTCTGCTACCACGTAGACACACTGCTTCGGTATATTCTGGAAACTTCCTGGAATAAGTATGCTTGGAGCTAAATATAAAATAATGCTCCCAGTTTATATACCAACAAACAGTTTTCAGGATGATGCCAGGAAGTTAGTCGACAATATATTCTCCTAAATGTCTTCGAGGGCACATCTCCGAACGGCTTCTTGGTCGATTTTGATACCGGAACGTGTTGGTGGGGTAGCCTACCCGTGCCGTGATTGGCCGTGGAGCTCTCTACCCCGCGCTAGCGACGCGGCTGCAGCCTCGGCGTCACAGCTCAAATTTAGGTATCCCACTTAACAACCTTTATATCCCTTCAGCCCGTCTCTGATCTGCCTGAAGATAACTTGAGCAATGTCTTTAGTCTCTGGCCCAGGCAGAGGTGGGGGCTCATCTGAGCTTCCAGAGGAAATCAGTCTCGCAGCCGAAGCCCATGTCAAATATATCCAAAGTTTGGACACCGTAAGCTGGCCCTCCTATCTCCTCCATGTTCCTCGATATATTTCATGTCTCCTTCATAAAAGCATTGACCGGTAACTGACTCCCTGAAGCGCAAAGATGAGCTAGAATACCACTACACGGAACACCTGCGTCTCAACGGAGTCTACTGGGGCCTCACTGCCCTCCATCTTCTAAACCGACCCGATGCTCTTCCGCGGTCGGAAACAATCGACTTCGTGTTCTCTTGCCAAAAGCCAGACGGTGGATTCGGAGCAGCTCCTCGACATGATGCACATATGCTATACACCTGCAGCGCCATACAGATTCTAGCGACTGTAGGTGCTTTAGACGAACTTGATAAGAGAGGCCCATGCAAGCAAAAACTGGGTGAATGGATTGCAAATCTACAAAACAAAGAGACCGGAACATTCACCGGCGATGAATGGGGCGAGTGCGACACTAGATTCATTTGCTGCGGCTTTATTGGGCTCTCTCTGCTTGGATTATTGCATCTCGCAGATGTCGACAAAGCTGTTGGGTACATCAAGAAGTGTCAAAACTTCGATGGAGGATATGGAGTTAGTCCAGGCGCAGAATCCCATTCCGGTCAGATCTTTGCATGTCTCGGCGCGCTCTCGATAGCAGGCAAATTGGATACTGTAAAGAAGGTTGAGTTATCTGGCTGGCTCTCTGAGAGGCAGACCGAGGGAGGAGGCCTCAACGGGCGCCCAGAGAAGCTTGAAGATGTCTGCTACAGTTGGTGGGTGGCGAGTAGTTTGGCAATGCTTGGGTGCTTGAATTATATTGATGGAAAAAAGCTGGAAACATTTATTTTGAAATGCCAGGACTCAGAGCGAGGGGGTTTGGCGGATAGACCAGGAGATATGGTGGATGTCTTCCATACGGTATTCGGGGTTGCGGGATTAAGCTTGTTGGGATACCCTGGCTTGGCTGAAGTTGATCCGATATAGTAAGTTGTTTCCCTCTGTAAATGCGATGCATTAACTGATACATTTGCAGCTGTATGCCAAAAAAGGTGACAGACAAGATACTGGGCAGGAAGTCATCTTGATGGAGTTTAATGGCTATGGCGTTATGGTCTGGTGGCGATATGTTATCTCTCCAGTAGTGTACACGGAGAAGTAAAAGACGTTTTCTTCCAGCTTATTCTTCTCACTTTATCTACCATTCATCGTATTTGGTCTAGACATGCGCAGTGGTCGAACGGTCTTAACTTCGGGCTATACTCAGCTCAAGTATATTTATTCCATTTATTCCGTTTCCTACCTTCATTTTCCAATATTTTTATTCTCATAGACTCTTCTTATACGTTGATCTGCAACTTTGACTATGTGTTCCGTCATAGCTACAAAACGCATGTAGGCCAGCCAGGTGCACCTTCCCCAAATCACCTCCTTCCGTGTGACTAGCTTGTCGGGGCAGCATATTACATCCTCTGCTTCTTTCGCCTTCACACCTTCTCTTTCTTTCACAAAATCATCCATTGTCTTGCGTCAGTCAGCATTTCAGTGTATACATGAAGGCTCACCAACAATCAAGGACTCTCTTGCTTCATTTGCTGCAGTAGTTGTCCTGATCAGCACCACAAGCGACACAAAACTTATAATTGATAACCGTCGTGAGTACCCATGAGTACCCCCGCTCCTTCTTGACATGGCGACATCTTCATTGCTTGTTGCAATCAAAGTCGGACATTGAACTCCTGTTGGTCTAGTTGGACATCCAACCTTGATCTTTTTTTTCAATGGTTTCCCACAGGCCTCCATCGAGCAATGCTGGTTCTACAACATAAATATACAATGCTATGGACAGAAAAATGCTACTCCAACTGGAGCTGCTATTCGGAAGCTAATAATTCAAGTTATAGGCGAACAAAATATGTCTAAACCACCAGGAAATGCTGCAGTTCCCCTGAACTGTAGCCTCTGCCCGAAGAACCCTCAGTTCTCCGATATCTCGCACTTGCTCACCCACATATCGTCGAAGGGTCACCTTTCCTACAGATTCAAGCTACAAATTCGCTGTCAAGCAGAGCCCGAAGCCAGGAGCCAACTCGATGTCTATGACGCTTGGTATGCCGACAACAGTCTTGAGGGGTTGTTGGCGGAACGCCTTGCGACCAAGGAGCAGAAAAATACCGTGAAGCGAATGAGAAGCTTCCAGAAACCTGTGAGTACTGAGATCTGCGATTAACAAGCTATCACGTGGGCTGGGCTAACGCTTTGGTGCAGCTAATCAAAGAGAATAAAAGTGAGAGCGAGATAAATGAGAGCAAGATTGAAGACATGGACTTGACAATCAACCAACTCATGGCTACACCCGCATACAAAGCTCCGGTTCCACGCATACATTTATGGTCCACCTCGCCGGCGCTCTTGGACACACCATCTGATTCGGTGCCTTCCAGCGGTTGGGACAAGAATTATGCTTATGCTACTCCCACAATGAGACGATTTGTCCCCAATTTTACTCAGGATGACAGCCCGGGTACCCAAACCCTTTTCAGAGCGTTTGTGGCCCTCCTTTCCAATACTTAGATTCGATATTACTAACACATATCAAGCTCGCCTGCTCAGGTAAAGCGAGCTGAGTTGCAAGTTGATGCAGATAGCGACAACAGCAGACTCAAAGGGGTTTATTGGCCTGGTATGGATCTTTTTGATTCCGCCACAGCTGAAATGAAGCGGATGCGCAATCAAAGAAAGGATGGATCCATCCTTGCACAAATGCAGACAACATCCCGTGAGGTTGAACCCAACGAGATTATTTATAACACCCAAGGGGAGCTCCAGAGGATTAGAGACATATACGATTCATCGGTGGAGGGTAGCCCTGTAGGTTATAGGCTTCTTGAGATACTACTATGAAGAGAGAACTAACCAAAACGTAGGTAAAGAGTGAAAAGGCGCCATCTCCAAGGAAGCGTCGTGCGCGAAAGTCGAAGGCATCATCTGACATTCCCAAGCCCAACGTTTCTGATTCCAAAAATGTCGCTAAGGGCGGCAAACCAAAACGTCCTGCCGCAAAGCAAAAGGCTGCAGCTGTGGCTGTAGTTCCGACTGTGACTGTTGATACATCACTGAACCAAAAAGTGCCAAAGCAGAATGTCTTGGGAGATACAAGCGGCAACTTTACTCCTAGTAACGACGAGGATGAAGAATTCAGGTTAACAGTTGAAACTATGAGCAAGAAACGTCAAATGACTGTCTTCAAAGATTCTGTGGAGGATAGCCCTGGTAAGACTCTTATAATAGTGTCCATTATTAAAGCTAACGGCCATAAAGGACGGACTGAAAGCCCACTTGAGGACCACAGGTATGAGGGCCAATGTTTTAACTCTGTAGTGAAAGAAGCCATAATGATTAACGTGCATTAGATTTGATTTTTCTCACGGCCTTCCGCTTGAGAATGTGTCTTCAAACATGATTGTGCACACTTCACCACGGGCAATTCAATCGCCGCTGGCCATAAGATTTGGAGGCAAAGAAAACATGCAGCCTGATTATCTGAACAGGAGATCCGGTGATGCCAGTGCCCCTGGAAATGCCTATCCACCGCACGCTTTTCACGACCATACAGCGAATCCTCTCATTTACAACCCCTACTCGTATTCATTCGGATTTAGCGAACCTCTAGCATTCCACGGAGACCCTAAGCAACTACAGTCTAGCTTCAATGGGGACTTTAAGCCTGCCGTGGTGCTCGGCCCTTTTAGGGAATCCAACTCTACCAGACACCAGAATCAATACACCAACAAGGGGTTTTCATATGCAATGTAATAGACTCGAGTCACGCTGTTGCTTGCCCGTTTCAATGGCAGACACGGAACTCTCCTAAACCATCCCCGATGATTTATTGCTGGCAAACCCCATGCATCACTTTTGGGCTGACATCATTAAGACCCGCTTGAGGATCACCACATCGACTGCTATGCTTGTGCCAAGATGGCGTGTTCAATATTGCTTTAAAGTGCTTCAGGTGTTAATTCATGTAGCTTTAAAATGCTCTTTTTCGACATCGAGCTTTCCTGTGGGCGCTGATCCATTGGTAGTTAGTTATTTTTAACACAATACACATCGCCATTATCATTCAAATATTTGACTCTAGCTGCAATTTTGCATCAGGTATTTCATACGCCCCTTAAACCTTTCCCCATCCACCCACTGTGATAACTGTATATCGATGAGCAAAAACCTCCTGCTTGCACTGGTAGTTACCTGATCTTGAGGTAGAAATAAAAAGTTCGCAACTACGTAAGTATGGATAATAGACTAGAATACGGAGACGACAGAATTGTAGTATTGATGTTGCTGTGAAGGCAGAACAAGCCAATTGGGGGTCGTCATTGAATAGAACTGAGTTGCGCACATAGCCTTCCTGTATCGCCGTAGCCTCTTTACGCGGAACGCGTCCACGGAACGCGACCCCAGAAACATCATCGACATCATTGTTCCACGCCTTGTGTCAACAAGACAGCAAAATGGCGCCACCAAATGGGAAAGCAACGGCAAAGCAACGATCAATTGCCAGCTTCTTTACACCCAAGTTGACCGTCAATGGGCTTAGCCAGAAGGGGACTCCGGACCAGGCGACCCAGTCAACTCCATCATCTACAACGCCTGTCTCAAACGGTCTGGGGGACACAGATAGCGACGAAGACATTGTAGCGCCAACCCGAAGAGCTGTATCGGCTGCCACAAAAAGAAAGAGCCCCTTGGATGAGGATGCGGATGCAGTGAATGTGGGAACTGATCGGGCAGTCAAACGAACAAAGAGCGGCGGCAATGACACCCAGAGCAGCTTCTTTGAGGGCACTACATCGAACCAATCTCCAAGACAACCAGAAAATAAGCCGACATTATCAGGCCGGACTGAAAAATATCTATACAGTGGCACGCAATCACAAGAAGCTTTTGAAACGGCAGAGCCAGAGGGCGAAGCAGTGCAGAAGCAGAAACAACGGCTTCATGATAAATTCGTGAAGAAGCTGGGCCACCCTGATAGCATGGCGCATATTAAGAGGAGGAACTGGCAAATCACGGAAGAGACCGCGGCCCTGGATGAAGAAGATGCAGATGCTGCAGAGGACGAAGAGCCTGTCCCTCCAGCTAAAGGCGCGAGGAAAGGGGCCAAAAGCAAACTTACGCCGATGGAAATACAATTCCTAGATATCAAGAGGAAACATTTGGATGCGATACTGATCGTGGAGGTGGGGTATAAGTTTAAGTTCTTTGGAGAGGACGCCAGGGTCGCTGCAAAAGAGCTAGGCATTGTGTGCATCCCTGGGAAATACAGGTTCGATGAGCACCCCTCAGAGGGACATCTGGATCGTTTTGCCTCGGCGAGTATCCCGGTCCATAGGCTCCCAGTTCACGCGAAGAGACTTGTTGCTGCGGGGCATAAGGTTGGAGTTGTGAGACAAATCGAAACGGCAGCATTAAAGAAGGCCGGCGATAACCGCAACACCCCTTTCGTAAGGAAACTTACGAATCTCTATACGAAAGGCACATATATAGATGATACTGAGGGCTTGGGTGACGCTACAGCTGGGACGCCTGGCGGAGCTCCGGCAACTGGATACTTGCTTTGCATCACGGAGGCCAAGTCGAAAGGCTGGGGTACGGATGAAAAGGTCGATGTTGGAATATTGGCAGTGCAACCTGGAACCGGCGACGTTATCTACGATAGTTTCGAGGATGGATTTATGCGCAGCGAAATCGAAACCCGGCTGTTGCACATTTCTCCGTGCGAGTTTCTTATTGTCGGCGAACTTACGAAGGCCACTGAGAAGCTCGTCCAGCATCTCTCTAGCTCAAGTACTAATGTCTTTGGCGACAAGATTCGTATTGAGCGGGTGGAAAAGGAGAAGACAGTTTCTGCTGAGAGTTACGCCCATGTGGCCCAATTCTATGCTCGGAATATCAAAGCTCATGGCAATTCTACTGATGAAAGGTCAACGAATTTGCTCGACAAAGTTTTAAAACTTCCAGAGTCCGTCACAATCTGCTTGTCCTCGATGATAAAGCATATGTCCGAATATGGTCTCGAGCATGTGTTTGACTTGACAAAGTACTTCCAATCGTTTGGCGCGAGGTCGAATATGTTGTTGAACGGCAATACACTTACCAGTCTCGAAATCTATCATAACCAAACGGATCACGCGGAGAAGGGTAGCTTGTTTTGGACCCTGGACAAAACTCAAACTAGATTTGGAAAACGACTTCTGCGCAAGTGGGTAGGCAGGCCACTCATTGATAAGGAAAGGCTTGAAGAGCGCGTTGCGGCGGTCGAGGAGCTAAAGGATGGTAACCAAGCTACCCAAGTTGACAAGCTGAAGTCGCTTCTTATGAAGATCAAATCGGATCTCGAGCGCAGTCTAATTCGGATTTACTATGGGAAATGCACGAGGCCGGAACTTTTCACAGTACTACAAACTATGCAACGAATTTCAAACGAATTTGCTCATGTCAAATCACCCGCAGATGCAGGATTCAAATCTAGTCTGTTAAACGACGCTGTGGCTGCATTGCCTACCATAGGCGACGCTATTACGGATTTCCTTGGGAAGATCAATGCCGAAGCTGCTCGTAATGACGATAAATACGCTTTCTTCCTCGAAAGTGAAGAGACGGAGGACATTGGCGACCATAAACTTGGTATTGCATCAGTTGAGCACGATCTCGACGAGCACCGTCCCATTGCTGCAGCGAAAATCAAGAAAACGAACATACGCTACGTTACCTCGGCCGGTATCGAGTTCCTCATTGAAGTGGACAATACAAACCTGAAGCACGTTCCGGCATCGTGGGTGAAAGTCAGTGGCACGAAAAAGCTTTCCAGGTTTCACACGCCGGAGATCATCAAGATGATTCGTGAGCGAGACCAGCATAAAGAAGCCCTTGCAGCAGCATGCGATGTTGCCTTCTCAAATCTGCTTTCTGACATTGCGGCCCATTATCAGGCTTTCCGTGATTGTGTCGCGTCCCTCGCGACGCTCGATTGTCTACTCTCACTCGCCACCGTAGCCTCCCAACCGGGTTACGTGAAGCCGGAGTATACTGGTGACACAGAAATCGCAGTGGTGGGCGGACGCCACCCAATGGCCGAGCAACTTCTTCTCGACTCCTACGTTCCGAACGATACATCTTTGTCAGCTGACGGAACCCGTGCACTTCTCATCACCGGCCCCAATATGGGCGGCAAATCCTCGTATGTCAGACATGTGGCATTGATATGCATCATGGCGCAGATAGGGTCGTACGTCCCTGCCGAGTCGGCGCGGCTCGGGATGCTGGATGCGGTGTTCACCCGCATGGGCGCCTTTGACAACATGTTGGCAGGAGAGAGTACGTTTATGGTGGAGCTGTCTGAGACGGCTGATATTCTCAAGCAGGCAACTCCGTGGTCGCTGGTGATATTGGATGAGCTAGGCAGAGGCACCAGTACCCATGATGGTGTGGCGATTGCCCAGGCTGTGCTAGACTATGTTGTCCGCGACCTGAAGTGCCTAACACTGTTCATCACGCACTACCAGACGCTTGCAGGCGTGGCGCGCGCCTTTGGGAGCGGGGAGCTGAGGAACGTGCATATGAAGTTTACGGAGCACGGGCGGGTTGGGGATGAGGACATCACGTTCCTGTTCCAAATTGGCGAGGGCGTGGCGCATAGGAGTTATGGGCTTAATGTTGCGCGGCTGGCACGGATCCCGAAGGGGGTTTTGGAGGTTGCGAAGGAGAAGAGTAGTAGGATGGAGGAGGAGAACAGGAGGACGCTTGTGGGGGGGCTGGCGGGATTGTTGCGTCGGGTTGTGGGAGAGGGGATTGGGGATGTGGAGCTGGATGCTTTGGTGAAGGGGATTGAGCAGCTGTAGGATTTATTTAATATGCTGTAAGATAGATGAGAGGTGGGGATGGTGCGGATAGTTTATTATACCCCTTTGGAGCTACTATCAAACGTCTGTCTGATATTTACTTGCCGTCGAGGTAATCTAGTAGGAGTACGTATGTATTTATGTACGATCTTCACGTGATCAGCGTGGTGGCCAGGAGTAAGCCAATAGACGGGGCGAACAGTTGGTCGTTTCAGAAAGTATGGGCGGTTCCTGACTACGGCTCGATATGGCTTGTCAAACGCAAGCCAATTCCAGCTTTTATTCCAGCTTTTGTGTCAAGAGTCAGCCCAGGAACCAAAAAGAAGCCAGTACTCGTCCTATGTTACGTATATTACAGTACGTAGGAGCGTACACTATATAATTCCCCCCCGTTTTGCGCAAACGTCGTCCAAGTCATTTAAGTAGGACGATCCCCTGTCCTCCGCCCCTCTAACAAGGATAACTTAGTTGCTTCACCGGTACACGCTCAGCCGCCCACGGTTCTCTTCACGAGTCTACTGTGATACGCTTCCACGTTTTGTTCCGGGACACTGCCTGTTTGGAACGTAGGACTACTCCTGTGTCTATCAAACCATTCTTGGTGTACTATTCGTGACCCGGCAATTTCATAATTGTGAACAAAAAGCTCTCAGGCTGTCTGCGAAACACACCACCGTTGCTTCAAAGGTCGCAACCCCATAGTTGCCGTCTTTGGCGAGTTCGCGAGTTCCCCATTCCACAGCCGTGAACACACCCGCCCACGACCGACCGACCGACCTTGACACAACTCACGCGCCTGGTCTCTGGGTCAAGGTTGGCTGCAGCACGCTGCGGCACAGTGCCAATCGGATCGGCCATCTCCTAAGCCATTAACAGGGACCATGGTTCGGAAACCGACTCCGCTCGTTTTCACCTCCACGGCGTCGAGCAATGACGGCGGCGCCGCCAGCGCGATCAACGAACCTCCCCAATCGGACCACAGCGTCAAGTCGCCAGGGCCGCGATCGTTCCGCTTCAGTAAGAAACCCAGCCTTGCAGATAATCCCGAAAACTTATCAGGGATGCAAGCTCCCGAGCAATATCAATTTCCGCAATCAGCTCGTATTCCCTCCTCCCCACACCAGGATTCGTTGGGGAACAACCAGCAGAACGACGGATCAACAATACCAGAGGGACAACGCGCGTACACCCCGTCGACATCGCCACAGAGGACGGGCTTTTTCGCAAACATGAAGGCGTCGAAGTCGTCGAACCGTCTGCAACAAGCCGAGGCCAAGAGGCCCGCAACAAGGGATAGGACTATTTCTAGGGACAGTGTCCAGCAAGGCGGCCCAGGTATGATCTCATCTTTCGTTTCTAATCCCAATTATCATGCTTACGGTTTTTTACTTCAAACAGAGCCTAGGGACGACGGATCCACCACACGACGACTCGTGGCTAGCCCTTCCCGATCAGAACCACAACTAAATACGTACGCCGACTCGACCCCGGTCGATACTGTAGGCGACGGTGCCCAAGCAAACTACAACTCTGCTAGCAGACGACCCAGGCCCAAAGGCTTCAACCTACTACGAAGAACAAGCTCGATACGAAATGACTCAGAACCAATGAGCTCAGGGGAATCATCAACACTGTCGCCGAACGACCAAGACCGCCAACAAGTACTGGAGGGACTACGTACAGCTCCGCTCCGTGCCGACAACGACCGAACCTTCAGAGATCTGATCAAGAACTCCAACTCGCGCAATCGCTCGGCTGACCGCCAGCCTTCTGGACAAAGACCAGAGGTGAGACGGGAGCCAAAGGATACGCACCGCGGCACGTCCTCTATATCAATGTCGCGGGATACAGGCGGCACGTCGCTCATTAACAGCCTTAAGGGCGCTGGGACGAAGGCCGCGTCGTCGTTTGGCAGGAATTTCTTCGGCAAATCGACACGCAGCGGTAGCACGAATGAGAAGGAAGGGCCGATTGATGATGAGCATTACGTGTTGAGGGTGCTGAATCTGCCGCTGATAGAGCAGACGAGGGTTTCGCGCATATCGAAGCAGCTGGAGACGTCGAGGGATAAGACGGAATTCTGGATGCCGTCGTTTCCTTGGAGGGCTATTGATTATCTAAACTATAGAGGCACGGATGCTGAGGGGCTGTACAGAGTGCCTGGTAGTGGACCTCAGATTCGGAAATGGCAGCGGAAATTTGACCAAGGTAAGGCCCCATTCATTCATTGTTGCAAGAGACAAAGCTAATATCAGTAGACCTTGATGTGGACCTCTTCGCGCAAACAGATTTATACGATATCAACATTGTCGGCTCCATGCTTAAGTCTTGGCTGCGCGAGTTGCCAGACGAGCTCTTCCCCAAGGACGCCCAAGAGAGGGTATCGAAAGAGTCGCCCAATTGCGAAGACGTGCCGCAGGTCCTGATCGACGAATTATCCAACTTACCGCCTTACAACTACTACCTCCTCTTCGCCATCACATGCCACCTCAGCCTCGTCCTCGAGCACAGAGAAGCAAACAAAATGAACTACCAAAACCTCACAGTCTGCTTCCTGCCATGCATGAGAATGGACGCCTACTGCTTCCGCTTCCTCGTCGTGAAATGGCGCGACTGCTGGAAGGGCTGTAACACTGAAGCAGTGTGGTTGGAGAAGGAGGCGAGATGGCGCGAGGAGACGAATGGCACGAAGGCTGCTGATGATAGGAGAACGAGTACGGCTATTGAGGATAGAAATGTGTCGTCCCCGGATAGCAGTCACCCATCTAGCCTCAACCGCGGGAACCAGCAGAGACCAGCCCAGAGCCAGGAGCAGGCTGCGAAGACGTCGGCGACTACTGCGCCTGCGGAGAATGAGAGGCCGGGATACCAGTATTCGAGAGAGACGCCGCCGTTGGGGACGACGAATGGCGGAAGCCCCCTGACTGCTGCCGACCAGCGAGGTCTCGGCGGTGAGCGGGAGATGCTGCTGCCGATTCAGCCAATGTCGCCAATGTATATGCCCGGCTCGGCCTTGGACTCCTCCTAAGCGCTGGTTGGTTCCTGTTCAAGCTAGTTGCTACCACAGGCACTGTGCTAAGCTGAAGAGACTTCAGAGGTTATTCTTTCGCGGTGCATATCAGTCTTGACCCGAACTACCAGGTCCCTATTCGCATTTATACAACAAAAACGTCCCCTTTTTACTCTCACCACACACATCGCTCTTAGCCCGTCTTTTCATCAGCATTTGACGTTTTTGAATACCCGTTCTTGAGCGTTTCATTTCCTAGCAGATGCATGAGTCGTCCTCGTTTTTTTTTTTTTGTTTGTTTGCGCTTTTTTTGGATTTTGGTTTACTCGCATTACTTCATAGTTGATAGGGTTGGTTGATTTGTTGGGTTGGAGGAAGATTTTCCTTATAAAGAAGCTAGGGGGGAGAGGGATGGTTGGAGGCTATATGGATCCCACAACCAGACCGGGTGCGAAAAGCTCAAGTACGTGGTTGGGGGATTGCTTTTGGAGATTGGCACACACGAGACATATATTTTTTCTTTGGAGCGGAAAATTGGGTATGCGATGCGATGTGAGCATTTTTGGCCGTAGGAACGATGGCAGGGGGTTAGTTTTTGGCATTGTACGATATCAGAAGCAATGGGGGGAGGCTTTTTTATGACGATGCGTTGGTTGGCGTGATATGAGCGGCCGAGCGATGAAGTAATGAAGCATAAAGATTTTGAGAGTTGTGCTTTCTTGGTATTCAAATGATTTGGTGACGTGAATGCTGTCTGTGGTGCTGCCTCCCATGGACAGCAGGCTACATGCAATTGCAATGGAACTTGTTCACATGGTGCTTGCTCTAGCCGCACCTAGAATCATCATCCAGGTGGAAAAATCGGCGTCTTAACATTTACAATACAGGTTCTAATTTACACCAAAATACATCCATCTCTCCCTCCCCTTCTGTGCTTCCCTTCTATGCTACAATATGCATCTTCAGCGCCTCCCTCGCAATCTCCCCAACTACCCCATTACCCGCCAACGCCCACTTCTCCGTAACAGTCCTCTCATCAACCGCCTGTCTCAGCATCCCACTCGCAGCCCAATACTCCATCAATCCCCTCGCCTCCGCCTTCGTCAGTCCCTTCAACTGCATAAGATCCACTTTCTTCAAACTCTCCATCACCCGCCAATCAGTCTCTACCCACGGCGAGGGAGCTGTAACCTGCTCCCCGGCAGCCTTCTCTTGGATCTGTTGGAACGCTAGGTTCATCGCCTCCGTCTTGGGGATATTCCCCGTCGTCGTAGCAGCCACCACCGCGCCACCGTTCGGCAGGCTCTTCGCCCCAGAGATGTGATCCACGAAATGCTTAATCAGTACCAAGTCATGAGCATGCACCCGACTAAAATCCGGCGCCCGATACGCCGACACAGTCATCATATGATTCAGCCCATCAGCGGCAAGCAGGATAGGCGGGTAACCCTCGGCCGTGATCTCCTTCCAGAGGGCCTGGAAAATGGGCCACGCGGCTTCGGGATCGCGAGCGCCTAGCTCGGCGAGGCGCGTGAGGGTGCTGTTGGGCGGGATGGGGAGGGGGAGAGTGTGTGTCTGCTTGACGGTGTGGGCGGAGAGGAGGGCGTCGTTCGCTTTGGCGATTTGGGCGAGGAGGGTGGAGGTGTAGACGTTTTGGGAGAATTGGAGGGAAGTAGTGCCGGGGAGGGGGGTGTAGGCTGTTACGGCTGTGGCGAGCTCTTTGGCTGGAGGGGGGGTTAGCGGAGGGTGTGGTGTAGGGGGGGAATGGGACGAACCGTCGGGGATGCTGATGACGAGCCAGCCTTTGGTGAAGGCTGTGGCTATAGCTTGGAGGAGAAGCATGCTCTTTCCGGTTGCTCGGGCGCCGGAGAGGATTATGGAGCCGGTTTTCTTTGTGGCTGCGGCGTCGAGCAGCTTCTTAGCGAGGGTGACGGTCTCGTCTCGGACAAGTATGCTGGGTGATCGAAACAGATCCCATGACTGGTTGTTCTTGAACGCCTCCACGACTCTCAATCGATCGATAACTGGTCCGGGGATTGTCACCACCTTGCCCACCATCGCGGCATCCACCATTGTCTCCGGGCTGAGCTCCTGGAGTCCCTCAACTTCAAGCGCATTGGTGTTGCTCAGCACGATTCGCTTCCGCATCGCCTTTCTCTCTCCGGGAGCTGGGGAGCGTCCAACCTTCACGGGGGCCTTTTTCTTAATCCTCAATGACCGCGCAGCGCCCTTTACCTTGAAGGTCATGTTGCGCACCTTCGACTGCTTTGAGTTTGCCTGTGCGCGAGCGAGGACGGCGGTCGCCGTGGAGAAGGCGGCCACCCGTTGAGCACTGGAGAGGGCATATGGAGATGCTGAGGAGGAAGGCCTGATCAGGCACTTCCAGCAATTCGTCGAGGCCATCGCCAATGCGTGGGATTGGCGAGCTATGGTGGTTGTGATGGGGGCTTGGATTGTTTCGAGGTGCATTCGGGTGCAGTACACTTTTGAAAAAGGACGCTAAAATGCGGCCGCTAAAAAGTTGCGGCATCCTTGCTCGCGCGACAAGGAAACTCTCTGTCGCTCGAACTTTTTGCGCCCCCGATAACGATACCACCACCATTTACGAATTTCTTTCAGCACAACGAACGATACTCGCAATGGCTGAAGTTCAGGAACTCACACGGTTACCGGTCGTCGTTGATAAGCCTACGCCGTATATCTTTGATCTCGGGTACCTCCTCGCAAACGACCCGAACCCGCTGGAGCTGAACAGTGAGAACATTGAGGATGATCTGAGTGCCACAGCGAGAGATGGTGCGCAGGCACTCATCAATCAGCTCTTGGGCACATGTCCGATTACTTCGGCGCCAGCTGGCGTCCTCCTCACCCTTCCAACCCCGAGTACGCACCTTCCGCGTGAAAAGGTAAACCTCTTTCAATTCCCTGCCGCGTATAGTAGTACATGCCGCTAACTCTCTGCAAAGCCTCTTCCACCGCCAAAGGCCGAGACCACCTGGGAGCGCTTCGCTCGCAAGAAGGGCATTAAGGCCAAGACTGCCGATGTGCGCCAGAAGATGCAGTACGACGAGGCAACTGGGGAGTGGGTGCCTAAGTGGGGTTACAAGGGAGCCAACAAGGCCGGCGAGAACGACTGGATCGTGGAGGTCGATATGAAGAAGGAGCGTGAGAGGAAGGAGGGCACGACTCAACAGGGTGATGGAAGGAGAGACCGTAAGGAGAAGGTTAAGAGGAATGAGCGTCTCCAGAGAGCGAACGAGCGCAAGGGTAGAAAGGTGGGAGCGAAATAAGGGCCAAAAAAGTAGTTGTGGGGCATTGTTCGGCGTTTGGGAATGTTGGCGTTGGCTGGGTGGGAAGAAAAGGTCCGGCTTTAGTTTGATTGATGGCTAGCAGTGGACACGGCCAACGTCGAATACAAAACATGTAACTTTGATAACTTCTCTGGGAATCTAAAGTGAATGGGATTGAAAATTGCTGCAGTCCTTGGCGCAAATAAATGCAAGCTTGTCAGGTGCATGCAACCCAGAATATCATCACGCGGCGGCGGCTATCTCTCAATAATAGGAAAGCATTGAGGAAATTTAGCTTTGAATTCGTAAACATCTACCCTGCGCTCTCCTAACGTGAACACACTGTATACCATCCCAGGAAACGCCAGCACTCCAATGCACAAGCCTACATATAGAACATGCAATAACTTCCCCCCTTTTAAATTAGAACATGTCCTCCACATCCGCATCCTTGTCCACATTCTGGAGGAACGCCAGTCTAGTACCATTACCGGCAGTTTGCCAAATCTGTAGTATTCATTAGTATAATACGGGCAACTAAGTTGGGAAGGAGGGCTTACATCAAGCTGCGTGTACTCATCAATCGCCTGCTGGAACTGATCGATTGTGAACCCCTTGGCAATAACTCTCTCCTGCACCTTTCTAATGCTGAGTTCGCCGCTATCCGATCCATCATCAACATCACAAGTGCCTGCCTCGGCCAGGGCGAGGATGAGATTGTAGATTTTACTGCTGGGTGTGCCATCACGTCCGCGGTTTGTTTGCTCATCGTAGAGACTCTGCTTTGACGCATCGATAAGCCTCAAGGCTTCATCAACATCTGGCAAAATAACCTCGTTGTCGAATCGCAATCGTGCCAGAGCTTGCGACAAACGAACGACGCCTAGAAGTGTACGGGCAGAGGTGTGTGTGAACTGCTTCGCAGTCTTCTCATCGCGAGCTTGCTGTGCGCGCATATCGACATAGGCGCGGACCATGTACTCAGAAACCTTGTTGGTAATGACAGGGCGGAACGAGCGTGCTTTCGCCACGTATTGGCGGACTTCATCCTGCGACAAGACAATGCCATCCGTTTCGGGGTGCTTGTTGTGCATGTGCACATATGTGACGTGCTTAGCCAGCATAGCATCTGTCTCCCGAGTTGGCTTGTCGAGAATCAAGAAAAGTACGTCGAAACGGGACAATAGCGCGGCAGGGAGGTTGATGTTTTCAACCGGGCTAATACGAGGATTGTAACGGCCATATTGGGGATTGGCCGCGGCAAGGATAGAGGTGCGAGCGTTGAGGGTTGTTGAGATTCCGGCCTTCGAGATAGAAATGGTCTGTTGCTCCATGACTTCGTGAATGGCAGTGCGATCGCTATCGTCCATCTTATCGAACTCATCAATGCAGCAGACGCCATTATCAGCTAGAACAAGGGCGCCGCCTTCGAGTACCATTTCGTCGGTGACTGGGTCTCTCATGACAGCGGCAGTGAGGCCAACACCACTCGAACCACGACCTGTGGTATAGACTCCACGAGGAGCAACCTTGGTGATATATTTGAGGAGTTGGGACTTAGCCACACCAGGATCGCCCATGAGGCAAATGTTGATATCGCCACGGATTCTCATTCCATCACCCATCGCTTTCGTCACACCCCCGACCAGTAATAGCAACAGAGCCTTCTTGACATCAAGATGGCCATAAATTTCAGGCGCAATAGATTTGGCCAAGTACTCGTACATTTGCCCTGATGCACCGTACGCATTAAGCCTTTTGAAGATTTTCGGGTCGCTTGTCATGTGTTCGTATGCCTTTTTGTGTTGCATAACGTGCTGAGCCTCCAGATATGTGTCTGTTAACAGACCAGCTCTCATCGCTTTAAAGCCTGTATATGGGGTTGGCAGAAAGATTCCGCCGCAGTCGATGAGGTCTCCTGGGCTGATCTGGCGTACAAGTGCTCCATGACAGAGAATGGTCAGTTGTCTTGGGATATGTCCAACTGGAACTTGATCTGGGACTTCTTGAATTTTGACTTCCTGGAAAGGAACAAATTTGGAAGCTCTCATCGAAGAGAATAAGTTCCCCTTGGCATTGTTGACTTTGCAGTCGTCTGACGGACATTCAGTCAAAGGTCCATAAGACTTCGTGGTAACGGGCTGGAAAACTTCGCAGCCACAGATACCACAGGTATATGCGCTGACTAGGATAGAAGGCTTGACATCAGACACCCTTGTTGCGATGCCGCGAACGGTGATGAGGTGGCCGAGATGCTCGCCGCGAACCTCGCGGACTGCGAGAGCTCTGGAGCGAGTGATCTCATTGGCTGTCCGCGGCTTAAAGTTCAGGCTGTATCTCCGAGTCAACTCCGCGGGGTAAGGCGCTGGCAGGACGGATGGGTCGTCCATGTTCTCCTCATTGTACCGATTCTCCACGTTCCTTTGAGATCGCTGCGACATGATAATGTCGAGAACGCTGTCTTTGTAGTTGATCTCCTCCGTTGGCTCTGGCATCACCTTGTCGACGGCCCTTGACATGATCTCGATGTAATGGTGGGTGTTCATTTCAATCGATTTGACCAAATCCGAGAAGATATCATCATCTTCTAAAGACTTCTCGTATTGCGCCAGGTCGTCGAGGTCTATCGTTATCTCATTTGCCTTCCTATTTGCGACCTTCTGCAACAAATCCATGTACTTGTTTGCGAATTTCTGGGGTTGCTGTTTATTCGCATGCCGGCGCTCAGCTGCCTCCTCATCACTATCAGCGAAGTCGTATTCGTCACTAGTATCACCGTCGTCGATGCGCATGTCCAATGCGGCATTCTCGATTTCGTGTGTTGCCGATTTGAAAGACTCCAAAAAGCCCTCAAACTCGCCTTATATTTTGTTAGCATATACGACACATATCTAAACTCATGCTAACATACTCTGTTGCTTTGCATAGTCGACATCCTTGCGGTAGGTTAGGAGCGCCATTGCGCTGAGAGATTTGTTGTTCTGTAGTTGCTCTGTAGGCGCTCTGCTTGGCTATGATGGTGTTGCGGAGCAGTATCTAATTAGAAGGTGGGTGCGGAGTGTATTGGTGATGGTATAATTATGTGGAGGATGTTGGGTTGGCACAATCGAAGTTATTTAGAGGGGCTGGTTGCAAGGAGTTGAGGTTGGATTTGGCGAAGCTTTGATCTTCAAGCGCGACGCGTAAACTGAACCCCCATGTCGCGTCCTTGAAAACTACTTAACGCGATATCCCAAAGAGGAATGGTCAATATCGGGGTACGCTAGCGCCCAAATCGGTCGGCCTCGGTTGTTCGAGATGGATTGTCGGCACGGGCTGGAGTCCTCAAACTGTGACATCGTGAGATTTACAAGACAGACTCCTCCTTCTAACGGACATATTTGTTTCGCGCAAGTCAGATCTTTGGTCGCATTGCGTGTCTCTATGATTTCAACTTCACATTTGTAATATATTTATTTCCATGGCGCCAAAAAGAGGCAGTGGCCAGGCGGTGCCTGCCGAGTTGTCATTAGTTCACCTCAAGAACTGCTTGGTCAATCTGCCGTCCTCTTTGGAGTCTCTACTTGTTAATACCAATACTGTGAGATTATCCACCTCCTTTGTCAATGCGCCATGCTAACAGCCAAGGTGGCGCAAAATGTCATTGTCGAACTTAGCTACAAGGAAATGCCCCCGCCATCCGCCACCGGCGACAAGGCGGAACCGACACAGAAATCGATATATGTTGGATGGACAGGTATGCCGAGTAGGCGGAAGCTTGCACCAATAGTTAGCAAAGACGGCATAAGCGGGACACGAGGCAATGCCTCCGGTCGAGAGCAAGAAATCCCACTTGTTGAGATAGATGCAACATTCGGTCAAACTCTCGGCTTGTCAGATGGGCAGAAAGTCACAGCAAGCCTTCATCTCGACCCTCCGCTCTCTCACACGGTAAACATAGAGCCGCTTACCTCGGCCGATTGGGAGATTATAGAACTCCATGCCACATTCCTCGAACTGAACTTTCTGTCTCAAATAAGAGCACTACCCAATCCAACCTATGTGTCGGCCAATGGTCAGTCAACAAAACCGCAGGCTCTCACCGTACATCTCTCTCCAAATTCGACCGCAAATATCATAGTTACAGGTCTCACTCCTGCGCTACCATCGACTTCGCCCTTTGCCAAAATTGCGCCAGATGCAGAAGTCTTCGTGGCTCCAAAGGCCAGAACTTCAACTCGCGCGACTAGCAGAGAGAACCGCAGTAGTGCCGGAGCATCCAGAAGAAGCGCAGGCGGCAGGAGTGGCGCAAGCACTGCTCGACAAAAGGCCGAGAGAGAGGCGGAAGCGCGGCCTTCGATATTATTCCGCGGCCTCGACAGAAGCCAATGCGATGATTGGTTCCAGGAGGACGAGAAGCAAAGCCCCCAGAGTTTAACTGTCTGGGTGGACAGTGAAGTCATACAAGGCAAGAACCTGCGCGGGGTCTCCTACGTTTGTGTTACGGTGATTAAACCCGCTGGCCTCGACGCACCGGTGGATCCTCAGAAGCAGCAGCAAGATGCCGAGGCAGCTGGTGAAGCAGGGAAACCCACACATAAAGTCGTTGCTAAACTGGCCGAATGGGACGACCCACCGGACAGTCGTCATATTGCGTTATCATCTACACTATGCGCATCACTGGGTTGTGCTGGGTTTGTGGGAGGTCTGGTCAAGATTGAACCAGCACCCCAGCAGATGCCGCTTCCACAGCATATCCGCAGAGAATCAGGGTCCGAACAAAACAGCTCCACTCAAAAGCTAATGATTTACCCATTTATTTCACCCAACACCAAACGATCTGACGGTATCAGATTCGGGGGAGAGTCTAAAGCTGAGCGGGAAGAGGCTGCAAAGCGCATTCTCAACGCTTATGGCAGGCTAGTTCCTGGGGGAGGTCTGCTTGATGGGCCGCTCACAGATGGGTTAGTCTTGCCCCCACATACAGACCTTACGAGGTCCTCGTCATGGGAGGGCGGATTAATACGTTTTGACCCATCGGTACAACCGGGGGAGGCAGGAAGCCAGCCATGGGGGTGGATTATCGGATCTGGGCGCAAATTTTCAATCGACATCCAAAATCCGATACCACAACCAGGATCTCTTTCTGGCAGCGATGCTATTGGAGAGTCCTTATCAGCGGAAGCTCCTCAATTAGTCGGCATTGATGCTTTACAGTCCCAGCTACAATCTCACCTCACGCATTTATCGGGAGTACTCCTTACCGGAGGCCTCGGTGCTGGGAAAAGCTCTGTTGCGCAGCTACTGGCACACAAACTACAAGCCGAAAATTTGTTCCATACAACTTATTTCCCCTGTCGGAAATTGGTCACAGATGAAACCCGCGTGGCTACGATTAAAGAGACTCTTACCCGTGTCTTTATGGATGCGGGCTGGGGTGCACGCCTTGGAGGTCAGTCTTTAGTCATTCTGGATGACTTGGACAGACTGTGCCCTGCAGAAACAGAGCTAGAAGTAGGCAGCGAGAACGGTCGCAGCAAACAGATTAGCGAGATTATCTGCTCGATTGTGAAGCAATACTGCGGCCAAAATACTGGAGTTGTTTTGCTAGCAACTGCCCAAGCAAAGGAGTCTCTTAATAACGTTATTGTTGGTGGACATGTGGTGAGAGAAATTCTTAGCTTGAAGGCGCCGGACAAAGAAGCGAGGCGGAGAGTCATGGAGATGGTTGTCAACCAAAACGTAGTGGATAACACAAAGGACTGCGATGACGATGCAAACACGGGTAGTCGGCCGCCTACTGCTGATGGCGAGACGGACGAAGAAGACGCCGGCGGTTGGATGGCCGTCGCATCATCGTCTAAAAAGTCTGGGTTGGCTTCTGAGAACACTGAAGGGTTTGTCCTTGGTCGCGAAGTCGACTTTTTAGACCTTGCAGGCCAGACAGACGGATACATGCCTGGTGATCTTGTCTTGCTCGTATCGCGGGCACGGAACGATGCACTCATTCGGTCCGTTTCAGAAACGTCGTCCACGATCCAATTGGGCAAAGTGGACTTCCAGAGCGCGCTGAAGGGATTTACTCCGGCTTCTCTTCGTAACGTTACTCTGCAGACCTCTACAACTACTTTCGACTCTATCGGTGGTCTCCACGAGACACGCAAGATCTTGCTCGAAACCCTTCAGTACCCAACCACTTATGCCCCGATTTTTGCGCAGTGCCCTCTTCGACTCCGTTCCGGTCTCCTCCTTTACGGATATCCCGGATGTGGCAAGACGATGCTCGCAAGTGCAGTGGCAGGTGAATGCGGCCTCAACTTCATCAGTGTCAAGGGCCCTGAGATTCTTAACAAGTACATTGGTGCTTCGGAGAAGTCCGTCCGCGACCTGTTTGATCGCGCTGAGGCAGCAAGGCCATGCGTCCTCTTCTTTGACGAGTTTGATTCCATTGCACCAAAGCGTGGCCATGATTCTACGGGTGTTACAGACCGCGTGGTCAACCAGCTGTTGACACAGATGGATGGCGCAGAGGGCTTGTCTGGGGTGTACGTTCTTGCGGCCACTTCCAGACCTGATCTGATCGACCCCGCCTTGTTGCGTCCAGGTCGTTTGGACAAGTCGCTTATTTGCGATTTGCCAACATACGACGACCGTATCGATATTCTCCGCGCTCTTGGAAAGAAATTGAAGCTCTCCAACGAGGTGATCGACGGGCCTGAAGGCGGTCTTCGTGAGATCGCACATCGCACGGAAGGATACTCAGGCGCTGATCTACAAGCCCTGGTATCAAATGCGCAGTTGGAAGCTATTCACGACGTCCTAGGTGACCAAGATCACACCACTCCAAGCAAAGCAAATAATAAGCGTGGTGCGAAAACGGGCGTATCGCCCACGTCTGCGAAATCCTTTATCCAATTCCGCTACGGAGAAGCAGAGAACGAGGCGGAGGTCGAAGCTCGTGCCACCGCAGGGTTGAACCGCTCCAAGGCGCTCGCGGAACAGGCAGCTATCACCGCTAAACTTGTTGCACTTAAACTTGCCAAGAAGAAGCAGAAGTTGGCGCAGCGGGGAAATCTTGGGAAGGACAAGGCTGATGGCGAGCCAGAGGAGAAGGAGCATAAGGAGGTGACGATCGGGTGGAAGCACATTGTGAAGGCGTTAGAGGGTACGAGAGCGAGTATCAGCAAGGACGAGAGACGGAGATTGGAGAAGATCTACAGGGAGTTTGTAGTGGGTAGGAACGGGGAGATGCCTAATGGGCAGGGCCCGACTGAGGTTGGCGGAAGGAGTAGTTTGATGTAAAGGCATGTAAATCTATACTACATACAGGATATGACATTTACGATATCTAATTCAATTTTGCGGATCTTTCATAATTCCTCTGTCCTAGTATTTTTGTGACTTATTTGTGAGAGTTTCCTTTGCCCGACGTCGTTGGCAAGGCGAGGCTACTGTGGAATATCCGTGGGCCGAGGCACAGTTGCCACATGGAGAAATGTGGGTATTTTCTTGGGGTACTACGAGTATCATGAGCGTTCATCCAGGTTCTTGGGTCAAATAATACCAGCATATACACTTACCCTGTCTATATTAATCCAGTTATTTATATACTGTCAAGTCTATCTAAATATCTTTATAATGTCCAGCAGGCCAGCACCAACGCCCTCCAGCTCCACTGCAGGGTTCTTCCAAGAACGTCCAATCGTCCCAAATCAGCTTCAGGATGACCGGGCCCTACAGCGTGTACTAGCATGTATGTTTCACGCAAACTGCCTGTCAGCACTAGAATAACGCAATTAATGACAACATATAGTGTATCTCCCATCTGAAATCCAGCAAGAAATATATCCGGACCTTAACCGCTTCGGAGATGTGGTACTGTCCAGAAAAGTCCTTGATTGGGTCGCGGATTCGGAGAAGAACCTCCCATATCTGAAGACATGGGACACATTCGGAAAGAGGCGGGATGAGCTGATCACAAGTGAGGGGTGGAGGAATCTCCAAAACTTGGGCATTGAGGAGGGGATAGTAGCAATCCCCCACGAGAACAAGCACAAGGAATTCAGCCGAGTCCACCAATTTATCAAGTCAGTGACTGATAGCTTCTTTGGTCTCCTGTAGGACTGACACCCAATACAGATACCACCTTTGGACCGCCTCCAATTCCTCCGTAACATGCCCATCCGCCATGACGGACGGTGCCGCAAGGTTCCTATCGCGGCAAATGGAATCGCCAACCCTCTCCCCTGAACTCCGCCCCATCCTCCAATCCGCCTACACACGCCTTACATCGCGCTCCCCCTCTAAGGCCTGGACATCCGGGCAATGGATGACCGAGCGCCCTGGCGGGTCCGACGTCTCCTTCACTGAGACGCTCGCCACGCCCTCCGCGTCCCCCATCTCCGCCAAGTCCATCGACGGCAGCCCACTCGGTTCCTGGCTCATCAACGGCTTCAAATGGTTCAGCAGCGCTACTGACGCCCAGATGACTATCCTCCTCGCGCGCACCCCGGAGGGGAAACTAAGCACCTTCTTTGCGCCGATGCGGCGGACAACAGATGGAACAGACACCGAGCTCAACGGCGTGACGATCCAGCGGCTAAAGAACAAGCTGGGCACGAAGTCGCTTCCGACGGCGGAGCTGGTGGTCAAGGATATGCGCGCGCATCTGATGGGTGAAGCGGGTAACGGTATCCGTGAGATCTCAACGATCTTGAATATCACGCGCGTGCATAATTCGGTGACGGCGGTCGGGGCGTGGGGACGCGGGCTGGCGATTAAGCGGGCGTTTGCGAGAGTGAGGAAGGTAGCTGGGGGAAGGAGACTGATTGATATGCCGAGCCATATTGCGGTGATGGCGAGGGATGAGGTGGAGTATCGGGGGTGGATGCATCTTTCCTTCTTTACGGTTTTGTTGCTCGGAATCTCGGAACAGGGGTCGGCGAGCTATGGGAAGGGGGTTGACGCGGCACTGGTTCCGGATTCGAAGGATGTGGTGAAGTTGCTGAGGGTGTTGACGCCGGTGCTGAAGGCTGGGAGTGCAAAGGCTTGCATTACTGGGTTGCAGGAATGCGTTGAGGGATTGGGCGGGGTGGGGTACTTGGAGAATGAGGAGATGGATTTGAATGTGGCAAAAATCTACCGGGACTCTAATGTGCTCAGTATCTGGGAGGGTACGACAGAGACTCTGAGCTGGGACCTGGTGAAGATCTTGAAGGGACGCAATGGCAACGGGGTGCTTGAGGCCCTGGCCAGGTGGATCGGTGGCGCCAAGGTCGGGTTCGACGTTCAAAGTAGGTGGGAGCAATGGGCTGCGAATGTGAGAGAGAAGAGCGAGGAAGAGTTGATCATTGATGGGAGGGAGGTGCTGCTTGAACTCGCGAGAGTTGTAGGTGCATTATTGTTAGAAATCGATGCGAGAAGGGACGGAGATGAGGTTGCCAAGGAGGTGGCAAAGCGTTGGTTAGCCGGTCCCAGAGATTGGAAAGCTCAGGGATCGGGGAGTTTGAAGGAGAGGGTCAGGATGAACAGTAAGATCAGCTTTGGGGAAGCCCCAAGTGATGCGGCTTCGAAATTGTAAGACGAGCGTTACAGCCAGGGGTAGTTGGCGCTTAATTTTGATAGCTCACAGTAGGCTGCTATGTAAATAAGAGCAATATGTTGTAAATTCTAAATCAGTGTTGTCAAAGTACGAGTCTCTCATAATCTCGGTCATCTATACGAGATAATATGGGGTATTAAGAGGATGAGGTCCTTTAATTATCTAGGTCATCTTTACGAGATTAAGATGGCGTATAAGGTGGAAAGAACCCCAACTAAAGGCAAGTAATAGATTCACTACTTACGACTTATGAAAATGAAACTCTCTAGCCATCTTTTCGGCGCCTCTATCAATGAGCCTTGCGGCCGCCGCAATCGGCAACCTTCGTGAGTGTCACTGATTTACCCCATTATCATATTGCAACGCTAATTTATGGATACACAGCAACCGACTGCAAGAGTAGCAACCTATCCTTTGACAGTTCAAATTCAGATACTCTCGCCGGTTGTGCAGGGCTTGCTTACAGTTGCGATGGCGAAGTCGTACAAGTCAACAGCACAAATGAAGCTATTCCGGCCAATTGCACACCATACCCGTACAAAATCTTCGTCGATGGGGACATCATAGGGCCGTTGGTAATTCCTGGGATAGCTGAAGCGTCTCCAATTCACCAGAATACCTCGGTGCCGTATACTCCAGCAATATTACTAGCCTCGACCTGCCAGACCTCCAGAATGTCACATCGAGCTTCGTGATCTCCCATGTGTCTTCGCTCTCGAGTTTGAACCTCCCAAAGCCCAAGAATGTCACCGAGAGCCTGATACTCGATCTATCAGATGGCAGCCATCAAGCCTTCCTTCCCGAGCTTGTCCTATGCCCGTAAATAAGTCTGACTGGCAATATTGATGCGTGAGTCCCATCTGAACCATTCTCCTCAGATCATCAAGGCTATTACATCCTCTCAGCATTGAGTTCCGCGCTTTGAATAAGGCGCTGAGTCTTGACATCTACACAACAGGAAAGCTTGATTGTGCAGCATTTTTGAAGAAGCTAGACGGCGTGGTTCACACCAGGGGGCAAGGTAAAACTTGTACGTCGCGAATCAGTAAGGGCACCACCACCTCCAGTTCCCTGCGCCTGTATACGGGCGACAGCGTTAGAGTCGGGGTTCGCGGGGGGTTGTTCGTTGGCAGTCCTCATGGCGTCCGTGTTGGCGCTATAATGATGGAGAAGACGACAAGACTTCGCCATCCGGAGACACGTCCTAGAGAAGACGGGTCCCATGGGATATAAGTCTTGGTATATAGCTAGCGCTGTGGAAAATATGATTATGTCACCACTACCAGGTTACTCAAGTAACCGAATGAACTAATGTGGGCATGGCCTGTATTTCGAACGATTTTGGAGATAGCTGTTGCACAATAATCATCCCACAATTATAGTCCCTACCAAGCCTTTCTCAGCCTCCTTGCAGGTCGGTTATAAGTGAATCGCAGATGGTATCTAGTGCGCTCATGTCAGAGCTAAGAAGCTCTAACTTATAAGTTACCAATAACCATATCCCATTGCATTGGGGCCCTTCGATGTCCAGCCAGCCAATGGAGTATATATCCATATGCAATGTTAGTTCCATCCGCACCATCATCAGCTTGACATATTTGGACCAAATATCGCGCAGTTCATAACGTCATATTGCTCTCAGCTCTGGAAGGGCTGTTCGCCAGACGCTCCAGCCAAGACTAATATGGGGTCGAGTGGAGCCACCTTGGAGTCAACAGACGCTGCTCAAGACAGCGGCCGGATCTTATATATCGGCCGTTCAAGGGGGTATTCGAGCAGCTACTCGCCCAAATATCTTACGCGCGGCGATGTTAAAATCCGTTGGTTCAACAGGATGGAGGAATCAGCTTACATCAGATTTACCCCTCACAACTGAGCGCTAGCCGTGTGATGATCACCCCTAGAAGCTATAAGTAGGCATGTCCGTTATCACTTTATTTTCAAGAGGTCAGTTTTGTGTCTGTGTTGCTAGAAAATTACTTTGAAGATTGAAGACTTGTAAGAATACCACCTTTCTACTTTGATAGAGTTTTGAAACCGACATTTTTGACAGAAAACCAGCATCAATGTCGGGAACATCAAACACAACCGACGGACTAAATACCGCCGCAAAAATGTCGTCGCAGACCTAGCTCCGAAGCTGAGCTCCAATGCCAAAATCGTGACCGAGCAAGATGAGGAGTTCAAGGCGTTGCATGGAGCAATGGAGCAACATTGGGAAGAAGACACCAGCAGCCATCGTCGCAGTCGCAACCGAAGCCGATCTCCAAGAGACTGTTCGTCCATCCATCCTAAGAGATCTACAGGGGCGGGTTCTAATACAGTCACAGATTAAGCTGTGTTGCCCACGGCGTGGGATTTGTGCCTAAATCCAAGGAGGGCGCTGGCGTGTCTGATGTATGTTGGAAAGGGAGAGGCGGGGAAGTGGGAGGAGAGTGCGTATGGGCATAGGGGCGTGGCGGCGTGGGTTGAGGCGGTGGCTTGGTATACGGAGGAGGGGTCGTATGAGGCGGCGTGGGAGTGGCAGGTAGAGGCGCTGAGGATTGTGACGGAGAGGTATGAGGTGGGGGGGTCGAGATGTTGCAGAATTCGTCGAGGGAGACGCAGATTGAGAGTCGGTTCCCTGGGGAGGGGAGACTGAGTTGACGGCTTTGAAGAAGGAGTGGGATCCGGAGGTTTTCACGAATGTTCTTCTGTGAGCAGGGTTGGAATATTGAGCGGTTCTTAGGTAATAGGCAGGCCTTTATTCGATGCCCATGAGCAACAAAATGCGCTTCATAACATTAAATCAAAACAACCTTCTACTCATGCGCAAAAATAATGATTTCGGGATTATTAGGAGTTATTTAACTATGCAATAACCTCTCACAGTAGATTTATTTTATAACATTATAGTTTGTATAAAGCGAGCAATTGCTGCAACGAGGTATGAGTCTGTGCTCCGGCGATTGATAGAAATAATACACTGATACATTGGATATTCGATATTTCCCAAGAGCACAGCGTAGGTATACGAAAAATGACTATTAAACCCTCATCCCATCCCATGCAACGACCAAACTCCCCCGACACCCCCAATATTCCCCCAACACCACCACTTTTTCTCTCAAAACAAAAAAAAACACCTCCCCGAAACTACCTCCTCGGACCCGGACTAAACCTCGCCGGACTCAACCTCGCCCCCTCCCCCTCCCCCTCCCTCGCCGGCATAACCGGCAACACATACGGCTCCCCCTGCCCAACCCCCCTCAAATCCGCCCTCTCCATCATATCCGTAAACGTAGTCTGCGCCGACTGTCTCCGCTCCTCCACCCCCAACCCGCCGCCGCGCGCCGTACTCGGATCCGCAAAGATATTAATACTCTCCGAGCTTGGCTCTCGTCGCAGCTGACCTGCCAGCGCCTCCTGCTGATAGGCCCTCAAATCGCGATCCGGGATCGGCGGGACCCCGCGGCGCGGCGACGGCGAGAACGGCGGTCCCATCCCCAACCCCCGCGTCTGACGCGCCCCTGCCGCCGCCGACGAGGATTTCCGGAACAGGCTCCGCACGCGACTGATCCCCGTGGCGGGGGTGCCGGTTGAGGTTCCTGGGCTGGAGGGCTGGTAGCGGCGCACGAAGTCGGTGCGGAAGTCTGAGCCTTGGTAGGTGGGGGAGGAGATTTTGGGGGCGCGGGCGTCGGCGCGGCGGCGGCGGGCGCCGAGGAGGCAGAAGGTTGTTAGGGAGAGGAGGATGCCGGCTAGGATGCCGGGGAGGAGGCCGGTGATGATGGCGGTTGTGGGGAAGCGGGGGCAGGTTGCTGGGATGGAGGTGGGGTTGACGTTGAGGGGGGAGATGGTCGTGGAGGTTTCTCTGGCGGAGGTCGAGTCTGTTGGGAGCGTGGAGGTGGAGGATGGCGATGTAGATGATGCTGGGGGGGAGGTGGGGGGGGGGATGATGGGGGGAGGAGCTTCTGGTCTAAGCTCTGGACACAGATCGCTGTTTTGCCAGTGCCGGAGCAGGAGAAGCCGAAGGGGCAGCAGCGGTCGCCGCATTCGGGCAGAGTACCGCTTAGATCCGTGGTCTTGACGGTTGATTCGGGGTGGAGGGCTGCGTTTTGGTATGGGGTGCCGCAGAGGATCGGGTTGATGGCGGTGCAATCTGAGCCGGTAGGGCAGCAGAGGAGTGTGGTATTCGAGGCGAGAGTTACGCAGCTTGAGCTGCTGGGACAGCAGAAGTTGGAGGGGAAACCGGAGCCGGCGCAGAAGTCGAAGTTGGAGGGGCATGCTGCTGAGGTTGTGGTGATGAGGAGGGTGAGGGTGGCTAAGAGTGCCAGGCCCAGACCCAGAGGGCTGAGGTTTTGTTTCCGCATAGCGGTGATGGGTTTCTGTTGTTCGAATATATGCAGGTTCGTCTTCCAAGCCCTGAAAAGTAGTGTATAAGGTAGAAGCCTACCCAAGCTTATAGTGGTCCTTTCGTCTGAAGTGATTTCACCTATTTATCGCCATGTATTCTTCACCTCCCAAAACCCAAAGCTCGTCGTATATTCTTCACCGTCCCTTGCGTCCAGAAATAATAGAGAAGGCGAGAACAGACCAGAGGGAGAGCGTGAGTGAAACAAGAAAGAAATCCAAGGAAACAAAGGAACCACCATCCGACTCCCCTCCACCCACCGCCACCACCCGACTCCCCTCACTCCCACCATCCCCTTCCCAGAAACCACAAAGACAGCCCCATCCCCATCCATCGCGCTCGCCATACACCACACGCGCGCGCGACCACCACCACAAATAGCACAACACATCTCACTCCCTTCATCTCCCACCCCCCCCCCCCCCCCAACGCGCGCGCCAAAATAACCCCCCCGCGACCTGCATCTTGACTGGCTACCAGCGCTTGCGACCCGACAAGCGAGATCTACCTGCAGTGCGCCTCGGGAGCTAAGGGGGGGTGATTGGTTATCGCTGTCGCTCCTGCAGTTTGTTTCGGCGCTTACGGGGCGCGTAGAGGGGGGACGTGCTGATTGGCTGGGTCGTGCTTTGTTGAGTTGCTGGTTTAGGCGTAATTACCAGTCTTCGGGCATGGGTTCAGAAAATGGGGGGGCGAGGGGGGGGGAAGGGTAGGTGGGAGGTTGCGGGGATGAGGTGGAGGCGGTGAGGTGGAGACGCGGCGAGGTAGGTCGTCTTGGATGGGATCCTCATCTCATGGGGAGAAGCGGACAGAAGCCTCGGGGGAGAGGGGATACAGAATAAACGATGCTGTGCTCCAGTGTACCGGCTATATATTCTCAAATCGAGACATCAAGTTAGTCCGCAGCTTAATTCCCATCAAGATCACTCAAAATCACAAAGTCAGACCAGTAGCAGTAAAGACCCATTCATATAGTTTATATAATTTTATTCGCTCCCCCAAAAGGGGAGGTTGATTGCTATCCTATCTATCCCCAATATATCCCCCGTAGGAGCTGTGCTCGACTACCCCCTCCGAAAATAAAAACTCCCATATTGCGCCGTGTAAGGGTATGCCTGCCTGCTATGCATACCAAAGATCCAAAGAACCCCCCAAAAAAACTGTGAAGACAGTAGCGGTATAGTGATGATGATGGCAAAGGCCGCAAAGGTCCGCTGCCCGAGCTGCTGATAATTCCCTCCATTCCAGTCCTCACCCTGTCCATCCCTCCCAAATCCAGCCGTCCAAACAGAATAGAAAAAGAAAAAAGAAACAATACTCGCAGAGTCGGCAGGCTGTTTTTTTCCCACAGGGAAAATGGATGTTCTAGATCAACAAGAAGTCCCAGCCTTTGCTCTGCATGACATCTCTCCAGGAGACGACTCCCTCCGGCTGCGCATCCGCGCGCGCCCACACCTCGCGCAGGAGGCATGCCACGCGGCCGAAGCTGCCACAGCCCGCCGCATCCCCCAGATCCGCAACGCGCGCGTCGAAGAAAGCGCGGAAGCTGGAGCCGGCAGTGCTCACCGCGCCGCCCATGAGGTACACCCAGACCATGCTCTTGTCGAAGCCGTGCGCACCGGCGGGGATGTAGGCCAGGACGCGCGTCAGGTTATCGACGAGCCGGACGCAGCTTTCCTGGGCGGGCGAGAAGCCCGGGACGAGGGAGCACAGGTAGATGCGCGCGGCGATGCGGAAGGCGGCGGTGATGTTGATGCTGAGCTGGTCTGCGTCGAGGGCGCCGCTGTGATCGAAGGGGTTCTTGAGGCTCATGGCGCTGCTCTCGGTGTGGGTGATGTGCTCGCCGAGGGTGGTGATGTAGGAGCACAGGACGTCCATGCCCATGCCGCTGTGCTTGAGTCCCTCGAGGCACGCGATCTCGGAGATGAGGAACATCACGCGGTCGTCGCAGCCGGTCAGCTCGCGCAGCCCCAGGCTGGTGGAGCTGAAGTTCTTCTCGCGGTAGGTGTCTGCGAAGGTTGGGGAGCGGCCGGCGAGGGCGGCGCCGAGGATGTCGATCCAGGCCATGAGTGTCATGTTGAAGGGGGCGGACGCCGTGTTCGAGGTGGCCTGCGCAGGCAGATCGAGCTTGTGGACGAGGTCGCTGGCCGCGTGGAAGTGCTGGTGCCACGAGACGTCTGGGAGAGCCTCGTCGACGCGACCGACGGCGCATTGGAGGAAGATCATGCCCAGCGTCGTATCGAGGATCTGCTCGGTCGGCTCGTTGCGCCCGATGGACGCACACAGCTCGCGGATGCCTGCCTGACGGTGTCGCATGATGTCCGCGTCGATCGCATCGCTGTTGTCGTGAGCGGTCACGGTGGACTTGTAGTGCTGTGCCGAGATGTTGAGGGCGCAGTGCAGGTAGCTCTTGTTGGTCTCGAGCGCAGGCAAGATCAGGTCCGAGAGCGTGGGCGCGCTCACATTCGCCTCGAGGACGGGGAAGATTGATGGGAGCACGTTCTGGATGAAGTGGCCAAGCAGGGACTCGTCGCTCTGCTCGAGGTCAGGCAGGAGCGGGTGGCCCGGGGCCGAGATGACATCCGGCGAGTCGAAGAAGCTCGCGGTGAGCTCCTCCGGCATCGACGCGCGGCGCTCAAAGTACATGTCGTCCAGGTACTCACCCTCTCCCTTGTAGGAAGACAGCGAGGCGTCCTGCGACGGGTGATACTCTTGGGGTGTGTGGAAAGTGCTGAAGGTCGACACGGTCGATTCTCGCCTCGTCAGGCCATCCTCCATGAGTACCTCGCGCTCGGTCTTGACACCGACCTCGTACGGCGCGAACTCGGAGTATAGAGGGGCATACTGCGCATGCGATGAGTGCACCTGCGCATTGTAAGCGTCGTAGCTGGCGATGCCCGGCGCGACGTCAAAGTTGAAGTCGAGCGAGAAGGTGGAGTCGGCGGAGCCGGAGCGCGTGCGATCAATCGAGTCCGAGTACGTCGCCGAGGTGGGCAGAGAGTGGGAGAGTCCAGGCGGGGTGTCTGCGCCCGGCGGCAGGATTTGCGACGCCTTCTCGGAGAGCTTCTTGCGCTTGATGATCATCTTGATGGCGTCCTTCTGGTGGCGGCGCGAGTCGCCATTGCTCCACCACATTGGCCGCTTGTAATTGCACTCGAGACCGAGGTTCTTGCACGCCGAGCAGCACGGGCTGCCCTCGTCGCACTTCTTCCTCCGTAACCTGCAGGTGTAGCATCCTAATGGGGGGGGGGGTTCTAGTTAGTACACGTGCATATTTATTTCTCATAAGCGACACGGAGCTCGGAAGGAAAATGGACCAGTATCACATCATAGTGGTAGACACGGGGGACAAACCTGTGCGTGATCTCCTGTGCATCTGTGCCTTGGACCTGTTCTGGTGGGTGCTGCTGGCCTTGGAAGCCGGCTTGGGCCTTGGTTGTGCCACGGTCATTGTGGTGGGATTCGATCTGGTCATGGAGATGGAGCTCGAGGTGAGAGACATGGCTGGTATTAAAGGGTATAAGCGTAGGGTGGTGGTGTTATGCTTGCGAGGTACGTGGGGCGCCAGTCGTCCGTAGTGGGTGTGGGGGGTGCAAAAGAGGGGGGTGTGACTCGGGTGAAGGTCGGGAAAGCCAGTTCGGGACGGGAGTCTGTGGTGCGAGAGTCGGCGATAGGAATGCGTCGTCGGCGAACCGGGGGTTGGTAGGAATGTGTCGTCGGCGAACCGGGGAGTGATGGTAGTAATGCGTCGAAATGAATGATGGGATCAAAGCGAAGTCCAGCTTGGCTTTGGGTCGGAAGAAGATGACAATTATAAAACGAAGGAGTAAGGAATAGTAATAGTTTGAAAGTCGGAGAGAGAGAGAGGTGGAGGTGGAGGAGGAGGAGGAGATGGAGATGGAGATGGAGAAGAATAACACACACGGTCCAAGTTTGGTCAAGATTGGAGATGGTGGTGTGGTCTATATATTGATATATTGACCACGACGCATGTCAAGTGAGGCCTCTCGGAGAGAAGAGACCTGAATCTATTTTTACACCTCCCCATCTCTCTTGGGATGGATGGGATGGGATGGGAGGGATGGGGATGTTGTGTGGTGGAGTTTGTGGTGGTAGTGGTGGTAGTGGTTAGTGGTGGTAGTGGTGGTAGTGGTGGTAGTGGTGGTGGTGGTGGTGGTGGTGGTGGTGGTGGTGGTGGTGGTGGTGGTGGTGGTAGTGGTGGATATTTTTGGCCCTCGCAAACAAGAGCCAAGCCTAGTGGGGGAAGAAAACGAGACTGGACTCCATCCAGTCTCCTGAGGGGTGACTGGGCGAAGAATAGAGGGCGATGAGTGGATGGATGGGTATCGGTAGCGGCGGCGGTGGTCTATATGGGTGCATATGTGGGTGCGCAGCCGCCGTCGTGGGCCATTGCTGGCACCAAGTATTGAACAAGCGGCATGGGTGAGGGAGAGATGACAAGCTTGTCTGTGCTGTGAGTGGTTGAGGCAGCGCGAACCCTCGCCAAGAACAACCCAACCCCAGGATCCAGCCTGGCACGGGATCCAGCAAGAACAACCGAGGCGTCACAGTGCGCATCCCATCCCATCCCATCCCCATCCCATCCCCATCACCCACCTCACCCACCACCCACCACCTCACCCACCTCACCCACCACCCACCACCTCACCCACCACCTCCCATCACCCACCTCACCCACCACCCACCACCTCACCCACCACCTCCCATCACCCACCTCACCCACCACCCCAACCCCCCCCCACCTCCCCCCACCATAACCACCATACACCCCCGTTATCATGACAGTTGCCCTCGCCCCAGGGATCCCGCAGTAGCCCCTCCGTAGCGTGCATTACTCCCCTACGCGCCGGGAGCGACCGTCACCAATCAATACGTCCTCACCATCACGCGCTAGCCCCGATCTGGGGCTCGTGCGCTGCGGGGCCGGGGGTGGGGGGATGGGAAGCACGGGCGGGCGCGGGCGGGTGATGGGATGGGGTGGGATGGGGTGGGATGGGGTGGGATGGGCTTCTTTTTGATGGGGATGGGGGTTGGGGGGGATAGCCGATGGAGATGGAGATGGGGTATAGCGTATAGCCGATGGAGATGGGGTATAGCGTATAGCCGATGGAGATGGGGTATAGCCGATGCAGAGGAGATACTGTATGCTTGGTGGACATGCGCTGACTGAGGGTCGGATGGGCTGTGGTAGTTTCAACATGTGGTACAGTACCGTCTTCACTTTCCCCATCCATCGCCAGCAAGCTGTGCGATCCTAATTACACTGCCTAGTGTCACCGCACCCTCCACAGCCCACCACCGCATCGCCCTTGGGAACGCAAACACACCCCACCACCGCATCGCCCTTGGGAACGCAAACACACCCCACCACCGCATCGCCCTTGGGAACGCAAACACACCCCACCACCGCATCGCCCTTATGCAAACACGGCCCGCCCTCCGTCGTCCCAGCCCGTCAGAAACAAACCGGAAAAGGTCGCATAATCAGATCCGATGGTTGGCATGCCGTTGCATCGTGTGGGACTCGACTCAACTCCGTCCAACCCCCGCCCTCCCGAGTATCTCCCACCGTCCACTGAAGTGCACGGATCGTCGCACCCCCAATGCCTGATGGCGGGTATCCGGCACCACACCGAGTACAGTACAACGTACAAGGTGCAGTACACCGTTGAGGTGGACGGGCCAGGGATGCTCGGGGCTAAACCCTCCTCTGTGCGCTTCGCTCCCACAGATGCATGCGCTTTACGAGTACAACATACATCACCCAAGGGAAAGGCTAGGGCTGCGATGGGGGAGCGAGGTTCTGCTGCTGTGTCTGCGCCAAAGGAGTGCGATATGCACCCACGGAGGAGTGTCTGATCGCCTCTGCACGCTATATTTAGGACACATTCTTGACGCCGGCGTCGACCAACGTGTGCGGGCGGCCGGCGGCCAGCGCTCAGGTCAAGGCTAGGCGAGCGCCATGGCGCCGGTGCAATCGCAGATTCGGTGGGGGTACTGTAAACCTGGCCGCGTCTTGGCCCAATTAAACTCGGCCCACACCGAAAGGACAGCTCGGCTTGCGTCACGTTGGGATTGCGTCTCAGCACTGCTACAAAGTCATGTGTGCGGCTTAACCCAACCAACTCTCCCCTCCCCGCCAACCTCGCTCCAGCTTCGGCCGCGTCCCACTCAACCCCTCCAGCTCCGATGCTGATCATCAGGCCCACTCCCTCGGCCGTTCTTGCAACTTGGAGAGGAGCCCATTTTCCGTGGAAGACGACATAACATGGAGACGACATAACAGGGCTCGTCGCATAGAGGCGACGCTCGGGTAGAATTATGTGTACCACTGTTGTATGCCGTATGCCGTATGCCGCTCAATGCCGTACAACGCGTAATGCGACTGGGACGTTTTTAAAACCCAATCCACAACGGACAGTTCCTTGTGTGCAGTCCCATATGCGACCGCCCGTCCATTGATGCACGTGTACGCCTCCATCCTTAGTGGTAAGAGTTGCGGTACCAACGCAACTTCAAATATTCGGTCGTTACGAGCTATGCAGTGGGTATACTGTATCCCAAGTACTCGATGCATCGCATCCGATCCCGACGGCTACGAAAAAGCAACAAAACTTAATAGCATAGTAATCATGTCAAGCTGTCGTCCTCTCCAGGATCGGACATGTCCCGTTTCCATCTGAGCATGCACCCCAATACCATGTTGTCACTCAACCCCACCACTTGAGCAATTCCTCACGCACAGCATAATCTGCTCTGAATTAAACGGTCGGGAACCGACGGAGACCGGGGGCTGGTGCAGCGATTATGCTGTTCCCAAGGCAAGGGGATCGCGATGTGCACGGTGGTGTGTGCAATAGCAGGGAAGAGAGCGTCACGTTGGGCTTGGATGGGGAAAAGTCGAGCATAATTGTGGCGTATACGTGGCGCCCAACCCAAGCAGGCCTCGAATCGGGCGGCGGGGGTGAAGAAGAGAGGGGTAGAGGAGCCCTCGGCACATCTGGTCGCTGTGTCGGAATGCCGCTGCGTGTTTCTCCACCATTACATTCCTTTTCCCCTTCGTTACCTCGCTTGGAGCGGGCGATGAGTGATATGTAAGACACTCAGAGAGTAAGACAGTAATATAAGTCACGCCAGTTTCTCGACATCGGGCCGCTCCTTCCCTCCCATACCGCCCCGCTTCGAGCCCTCTTTCTGTCACCCGTCACCACCCACCTCGCTATCTATCAGAATCAGGGTCTCTTGACAGGAAGGAGTGACAGCAAGGAGGGGACTGCTTCTGGGCCGCCATTAAAAGATATCCTAGACTGGATATCTTTTCTCTATCGATGACACCCGAGTGTCGGCCCGTTGATAGAAACGTGAGCTACTCGCACTGCAAGCCCACCAAAACAGGAAAGGACGACATCTGAGAATAGATAACCGACCACATGCAGGGCGCAGCGGGGGTTTTTGGGACAGAGTAGGGTAGGAAAGGTAGGAAAGCTAAGAAAGGTAGGAAAGGTAGGAAAGATAGGAAAGGTAGGAAAGGGTACGGCGCGTACAGATGAGCATCGCTGCTAGTGTTGTAGTGTGACGGGCCAATGATAATTCGCAGCACGATATCTCCATAAATAACCGACCAATGAAAAAAATCAGACGACACACATCGGCTCAAGTTTTGTTTTAAACAGGGAGTATTTCTGCACTTTGTATGCACTTTGTATGCACTTTGCTGTGATAACCAGCCATCACCACCTGATCCATGTCTCTCCAGAATCGAGATGGTACTACTTTGGCTGCAAGTATTCTCACTGGATGGCCAACAGAGGTACTTCCAACTCCACTACCATCCCCGTCCACTCCTCCCATCCCAGAATAGCATTTGTCCCTCCAATTGTAAATCCCACCATACTCCCATGTCCCCTATCTCGTGCAGTTATCACAGCAAATATTACATCCCCATCACAGTGGCCACAGCGCCTTCCCCCCCCCCAGCACAGCCATCGTGGCCGCCCGATTGGCGCCATGAAACAAACCATGCCTCTTTCCACAGTGTGTCCAACCCCGCCAAACAGCCACCTCTCGCCCTCCCCGCCATGCCCTCGACCGTTTCTTACTTATACAGACCGTAGCCGCCAGGCATTTCATGCCCCTCTCCTCTTGATACTTCCCAGAACCAAAAAAACTCTCTCTCACTTTTCCCTATACCCCGTAGCGTTTCATCGTTTAATCAGATCTTCCCTTTTTCCAGTATCATCTCGCTCGGCAAGTTAGAACAATCGCAAGACTATATTTTTTATATTTACACACTATAACGAATTCCGGCAACGGGCAAAACAACGATTATATATCCCCAGACTCAGAGATTTTGAAACGAGAAACAAGACATCGTCGCACTATCACCCTCGCGCATTACCACTTTTGTCGCAAGACGCCCGGAGCCATGGCGAGTCGCCAGCAGGCCAGTAGTAGCCGGCGCGCATCCCAACTCTCGCAGCAACGCACCGCCGCCCTCCCCCCGCTCGACACCCGCGGCGAGATGTTCCAAAGGGGCCAGCATGGGTCCTTCTTCGACATGAAGGCGCTGGCGCCTCGGCCGATGTCGTCGTCGACGGAGATGTTTGACACAGACTTCGAGGATGATGGCAGCGAGATCGAGGAGGGCGAATACTCACCTAGGATCAGCATTAACTCCGTATGTCTGCCCGCCCGTCGCGGGGTATTTCTTGTCCATTGTAGATTGCTAACATGCGCCCACAGGCTGGACGGAGGAGTCAGACTACACTGTCCTCATATGAGGATCTGCCGACGCCAAAGTCAAATAGCTTCCATGGCTTTGACTTCCAACTCCAGCAGACTACGGCGCCGGCGCCGGGCAAGTCAGTAGAAGGACCAAAGGGACCACATCTGTTCAGGATCTCCCAGGAGGTGACGCCCGAGGAGGAGTACTACCTGACAATGTCGCCGGTAACCCCGCGATACCCACCGTCGTCGCGGCCCGAGACAGCATTCAGAGTCCCGTCGTTGCCATACCCACAGCCAGAGCTGAAGCATAGGCCAATCAGCACGCTGACTGCAGCGGTGACGAAGCTGAATAAGATGGAGGTAGCCATGTGGACGCCTCGCCAGGTGGCGAGGTGGATGTACCATGCAGGGTTCGAGCCAGCTATTGTAGAGAAGTTCGAGGAGAACGATATCTCAGGCGAGATCTTAACCACCCTCAAGTTTGAAGACCTCCGAGAACTCGACATCCAGTCTTTTGGCCAGCGTCACAAGCTATGGGCTGAGATCCACACTCTCCGCGGCGATGCAGTGGGCGCGCCAACGTCGCCAACTGAGATCGACTGCGGCTCGAGCGACGAGGATGAGCGCACGCACAAGAAGTCCAAGCCGCGCAGGAAACACAAGAAGTCCAGCTTTGAGGATATCATCTCCCCACTCGAGTCCGTCTCCATCGTCGGCATCGAGCAGCTCATGCCCAAGGCGCACAAGTGCTCCAAGGGTGAGAACTGCTCGCGTTGGAAGAAGCAACAGCGCCTCATCCAGCAATTCAAGATGGGCCACCCCGTCAGTCCAGACGGCGGCATGATCCTCATCGCCGGCGACCCAGGCAACCCCCTCACAGCCGAAGCCGTGCGCCCCTTCTCCGAAGCCCAGCCGTCCGTCGTCGCCTCCTCCGACCTCCTCGGCCCCGGCGAGATCCCCTCCTTCTCCCACATCGACCCCGAGCAACTCGCCGCCCTCACCTCGCGCGACCCCCAGGATAACGTCAAGCAATTCCTCAACTTCCAACACGTCGACCAGAACTGGTCCTCCGAGGAACCCCCAACTCCACCATACGAGATGTTTCCCTCCCTCCCCGCCCCCCTCCAACACTCCGCGCAACCAACCCACCCCCTCACCAACCTCCGCAACCTCCCCAAACTCGCCATCCCCCCTCCCCGGCCCCCGCGCTCCGCATCCGCAATGGCCTTCTCCCCAGGCCCCATGGACCGCGCCGAAGCCCTCTCCCCCGACCTCCGCAGCGCGCGCGAGCGCCAACCGTACCGCTTCGGCACACCAGCCTCAGACATGGACGTCCCCGTCACAGCCATCAACCTCGGTCCCATCTCGCGCGACGCCTCCCAATCCGTCCCACCAAACATGTCATACCGCAACAACGTCCCCGCCGCCGGCCCACCTCTCTCCCGCTCAGCATCCCGCTCCTCCCGCCGCCCCTCCTACCAAGCAGGCCTCCCGCGCCTCGACGAGGACCCCGTTGTTGCGCCTCCTCGGCCTCACCGCTCCAGTGTCCTTGGCCCGATCTCGCCCCCGCGCCAGGTCGTGGCTTCAAACGCATATTCACCTGTTCGTGCGCCCACTGAGCGTTCTACGGACGACTTGGGACACCAGGGGTGGATGCGCAAGCGCAGGACCCGCATGTTGAGACATGAGTGGCATGAGCACCACTTCACGCTGCGCGGAACGCGGTTGGCGATGCACAAGGATGAGCGCGCGCGCGAGGTCCTCGAGTCTATTGATGTGGACGACTACGCTGTGGCGTGCAGCTCGCTTGCGTCGTCGAAGATCAACACGGCGTTTAAGGCGATGAATATTAAGTTAGGGAAGAAAGAGGAGGAGGGCGCGTTTGCGTTCCAGCTCATCCCCGCGGTGGTGGAGAAGGCGGAGAAGTTGAGGAAGAATAGGGAGAGTGGGATTTTTGGGAGCAGCAGTGTGGAGAAGGATAAGGTCAAGACGCATCATTTTGCAGTGAAGTCGAGGGATGAGAGGATTGATTGGATGAGAGAGCTTATGCTTGCGAAGGCGCTGAAGCAGAAGGGCGAGGGCTTCGAGGTCAATGTCAATGGCAATATGATCTAGGTTGCGACAGACTGAAGTGGTGTGTTTTTTTTGTTTGGGTTCTTTGGGTAGTTAATGTTATCTGCTCGCATATTTAGCGGTCCTTACTGTTTGTGGTCGAGGTTTATTATTACCCTACTTTTTCTTGGAACGGCTTCGCGGCCTGGATGGAGCATGGAATTGGATTTGGATTGGACCTGGATGGGATGGGGATGAGATATAGCCATGAAGATTCGTGATATACAATCATTACTTTAGTATAGGAAATAAGAAATCAGAGAACATACTCCAAAATCTTCACTTTTAGGTGCAAATGCGTTTTCTGGTGCATACTGGAAGGCGCGACCTACTTGCGCGCCTTCCTCTACAGTCTGCGAGTGCATCGTGCCTGCCATATCCCATTAACTTCCAATCCCCCCCCCCCCCTTTCCCCTCAATTCACCCCCCAACTCACCTCCACCACATCCCCAACCCTAATCGTCCTCCCCCCATCCCCAGGGTCAACACACATATGCCCCCCAAAAAACACCTTCCCCTCAAATCTCCTCGTCCTCGCCAGCGTCACAAAAGGCTCCTCATCCTTCACCCCTGTCACCTGATCCACACACACCATATAACACCGTCGACACGCACCGAGCATCTTAAACGCCACCCCCCCAATCCTCACCCCCCCCACTGATCCTCCGCATACGCCTCCCCACCGCCGCGAGACCCAACAACCACATTCCCCCGAAACACTGCGGCATCAGCCTCTTTCCCGCCGGTGGAGCGGATGGTGGCGTTAAGTGCATCTAAGCTCGCGCGGTGCACTAGGAGAATCGGGCTCTCATTCGATAAGAGGATCGGGCGCGGCGCCATGGCGGACTCGCTTTCCGAGTCTGGCGGGGTCGGGGGAAAGGCGCCGGGGATGGAGGAGGTCCATGATGGCGGCCTCTTGGAGCGCTGGTGCCGCTGCATGTGCGCTTTTGAGTGGCGAGTTGACAGGCCGGCGCCGCCGGCTGGGAAGCGCGCGAGGGTGCAGGGCACGGCGAGGGCGTTGGAGAAGAAGGCGCTAATGTGCGGTTGGGTGTACGTCTGCGCCGCGACATTATCACCGCATACGCGAGCGCCGAGGGCGCGCTGCGCAGGTTCGAAGAGCGAGGGGTCGGGGGACAGGGGGATGATGAGAATCTGGTCAAGGTATGTGACTACGAGGTGGCCTGTTGCGAAGTTGAGGGAAGGGCGGAGGAGGGCCATGCGGGGGTACCGCTTTTGGCTGAGGGCTTGGCCGGTGCCTTTGTGGATGAGACACCATTCGCGGTCCCAGGCTAGGCCTTCGGGGCGGACTTCCCAGTCGGTGGCGGGGGGGATGGGGAGGCCGCCGCAGCTTTTGATGGGGAAGATGGTGAGGGATTCGACGTAGAGTGTGTTCTCCGTGGAGGGGGGGAGGGGGATTTGGGAGGGGTTGAGGGCTTTTTCGACGTAGAATTCGTGGATGAATTCGATGAATCGGTCGATATCTTGGTGGGTGCTCATGGCGCCTAGACTGGCTCGGATGACGCCGGTGGGCTTACCGGATATGATGTCGTTGTCGCCGCCGCATCTATAACCCGCGGAGAAGTTTCTCCTGATCTCCCATGGAGAGAGGTCGAGGGCGTTGGCTATGCCGCCGGGGTTACAGAGCCCACCAGTTCTGATGTGTATTTTCCGCACCGTAGCTAGCTTCTCGACCTCGGTGTTACTGACCCATGCACCATGACTATCCATCAAGTTGAATGTGACAATAGGACCTTGTGTAGACTTGCCCTCGAAGGAATTCACATCTCTCACATAAAGCCGACATACGTCAGCCCCATTGGCATGTTTCAGCAGCCTGAGGCTAGAGTAGAGCTTTTGTGCTAGAGAGAGTGTGTGCTCGGATATCCCATCCATCGACGTATACAGCTCTTTATGGACATCCATGGCTATTCCGAGAGCCATAATATTGTGCATTGGTAGTGTGCCATCCTCAAGACTCGCGTGTATATTTTCAACCTTTGGCTCATGCCATTGCTCCTTGATACAAGCGACAGTCTCAACCGTTCCGCCTCCAAAATATTTGCGGCCCTGCAAGACATCTGCAGAGTCTCTTCGCACTATCAGCGCACCGAGGTCTGGGAAGCCGAAGATTTTATTGAAGCTGAGGACCGTGAAATCTGGGGCGTTGCGGACATCACCTAGGTCTAGCTTCGAGGTTGACACTAGAGCTGCCGCATCCAGCAGCGTATATATCTTCGACTTTCCTTCGGATGCCGTGCGTAATTGGCCTGTCCAACGGAGTGGCAGCCTCCTTCCGTTCATATTCGATTGTGCAGGATAGGCAAAAAGTGCCAACCGGTTGTCCCCGCCACGGTTGAAAAACGGCAGCGACCCAGATATCATAGCCTCAACATCGTTGCTGCCAAGGCAGAAGCTTTCTATAGCCGTTTCCCTAACGCCAACAAGGCTTGTATGCGAATCGCTGTGGTAGCCATATGTGAAACCATCGTCACGCGACCGGAACGCATCCATGATGAGTTTTATCCCAGCAGTCGCATTGGCGACGAAGACAACATCGAAATCGACCGGGTCCGAATTGAAGAACTCCAGGACCCTTATCCGTACATCGTCAATCCGCGCCGTAGACGCCTGGGAGGATGGGGAAGCAGAGTGGGGGTTGCCGTAGAGGTTCGATATCATTTCGGTGGCGAACCGCTCCATGAGAGACTTTGCGTATAGAGTTGTTCCGGCATGGTCGAGGTATATTTCATCTACATCAATCATTAGTTTCCGAATATTAAATATTATCGATTTGCGCATACCTTTGAGCATGGGATACTCCCTCTCTCGCATGAGATCCACTTGCTCGTTCATATCTGACATTCAAGTGCTTGTCTCCATAGGAAACAAGCATGCACAGTATTCAGGGGGGATGCCGCAAGAATCCTACTCTTGCCATACAACTTCTATAACTTTGCATATTAAGAACGCATGTATGGGCATTAGCAGATTGATATCTCACCCACCTTCCCGTCCGTATCCTCGATCGAAGAGTCGCTCATCGGAGCTCGCCTCGCGTCGGTCGGAGATACCTCGGGACCCCTTGCATGTCGGTGAATCATATTTCCGTCGCCGCTTAAGCCTTGAATCCTAGGCATAAATTATTTGCAGAGCTTCAGTAAAATCCTTGGGGTGGATATACAGCGACAAGCATCACTACCATCAAAATGTTACGACCACGCATTATCCGGGCACTGCCGACTCTGCGGAGATCGATACACAGACTGCCGCCTCTGGAGAAGTTCCAGGAGGGAATTCCGGGCCTCCTCACTCAGGATGGGTTCAGAATTGCGTGGACCGAGTATCAAGGGTTGATGCTGGAGAAGCTCAATGCCCTCACAGTTGGTGCGTATTCTCTTAGATGGCTTCTACAATCCCTTCCGCCCTGGCAATTTGCTTGTACAACTGCACGGGTCTGCAATTGGCTTGCGCTGCCCTCCCTCCCGCCAGCCACCACCCCCTTTGAAGCCTCCGGCTAACTCCCCTCTCCTAGGTTCCGGAGAAGACTACTCGAGCTCGACCAAGAACCTCCTCATCAAGTACGCGCGCCAGCCATCAATGGCGTCCCTCTTCAACCACGCCTCCATGGCGCACAACAACCACTTCTTCTTCTCCACCCTCTCGACCGACACGACCGCCATGCCCGCCTCCCTCCAACGCGGTCTCGAAGCCTCCTTCTCCTCGATCGACACCCTGCGCCGCGAATTCGTCGCCACCGCCAACGCCATGTTCGGCCCCGGCTTCGTCTGGCTCGTCAAGACCAAGGAAGGCAAATACGCGCTCCTCACCACCTACATCGCCGGATCCCCCTACCCAGGCGCCCACTGGCGCCGCCAGACAAAGGACATGAACACCGAGGCCGCGCCTGTGACTGCCGACCCGGCTAATGCCGCGGAGTACTACCGCCAGCAGGCTATTGCTAATATGCCGATTGCCAATACGGTCGGTGCGCATGGCCCGTTCAGCGCGTCGGCGAAGTCGGCGCCGGGGGGTGTCGATGTTAACCCGATATTGTGTGTGAGCACGTGGCAGCACGTGTACATGCCGGATTGGGGTGTGCTGCAGAAGAAGCAGTTCTTGGAGGCGTGGTGGGATCGCATTGATTGGAATGTTGTGGCGGATGCGGCGGGGGATAGTAAGTTCCAGGGCCCGCAGTTCAGGCGGTAAGGGGTGAATGGAGGGGAGATGAAGTTGAGTGAAGTTCAGTGAAGTTGAGTGGAGATTGTAGCATATATAAAAAGGCGTTTTAGGCTTACATAGAGACGTGTATAGTAGGCAGTGTACGAAGAGTGTTGGCATGGTGGTTATATTGAGAAGTATAGAATTGTATGATCATGGTGCAAGTTTGTTGAATTACGCATAGTGAATGGATTCCATGGTCTGCCGAATTACTTGACAAATATCAACCCACGCCGTTGCCTCTGAGAAATGAGGCCAAACATAATAAATATACGGCTACTCATCTCACCTTCATCCCCAGCATTTCGAGCGGGATCTATGGATGGGACCTAAGGAAGTTTACACTCAAATTCTGGTCCAGACACAGCAAGGAATCCCCAGCAAAGGAATACAAATACGATTCTTTATTCATTCATGCCACCCATTCGCCTCCACGCCTCTACTCCAAACCCCTCCCCCTACTCCAAATCAATAACCACCCTCCCTTGCAACATCCCCCCCCCCATCTCCTTAAACACCTCCGTCAGCCTATCCATCTTCTCAACCCTCAAATGCGTCGACACCAGCCCCCTCGCCGCCAACTCCAACACCTCCGCCGCCTCCCTCTGATTCCCCACCGCCGACCCCACAATCGTCAACTGCTTCGCAATCAGGTCTGCCGGCACCGCACTCGCAATCGGCACCAGATCGCCCTCCGGCATACCCACACACACCACCGTTCCGCCGAACCTCAGCAGGCCCAGGGACTGCGCATACGCCTTGTTGACCGCCGTGCACACAATCACCGCGTGCGCTCCAAGGCCACCAGTAACCTTCTTAATCTCCCCCGCCAACCCCGCATCATCGAACTTGGTGACATCGAAGAACGCCTCCGCGCCACTCTCCTTCACTAACTCCTCCTTCGACCCGTGATCAACGCCAATCATCCTCAACCCCATCCCCCTAGCACCAATCTGGACAGCCAAATGCCCCAGTCCACCACCGGCACCAGCAACGACGACGAATTGACCAGAGCTCACACCGGATTTGCGCAGGGCGGCGTAGGAGGTTAGGCCGGCGCAGAGAAGGGGGGCGGCGGCCTCGGATTTTAGGGCGGCGGGGATGGGGGTTACGTAGGAGGCGGGGCCGAGGACGTATTGTTGGAAGGTTCCGGGAGTGTAGTAGCCGGAGATTGTTTGGTTCTAGGTTGCATGTTAGCCAGTGGAGAGGAAGAGAGGGGGGTGGGTGACGTACGAAGCACACGCCGTCGGCGCCAACGGAGCAGGCGGCGCAGGAGCCGCAGGCGTAGGAGATCCACTGGGAGGTGTTAGATTGGGTTCCTTTCCTCGGGTGCGGTGTTTGGGGAGGGGGTGCAAACCTTAATACCGACGCGGTCGCCGACCTTGACGTTGCTGGGGCCGGCGGCGGGGCCGAGCTTGTGAATAATTCCGACGCCCTCGTGGCCGCCGACCTGGCCGGGCTGGGTGGGGAAGGGGAGGCCTTTCCAGGAGTTGGTCATGACGCCCAGGTCGGAGTGACAGACGCCGGAGTGGGTGCTGGGGGTGGTCAGCGGGGTGTTCTCTCTCGAGTTTCCAGTGCGAGGAGTGCGAGGGGGGGCGCGTTTGCGGCTGCGACGAGGGCTTACAGGCGCACGAGGACCTCGCCGGGGCCGGGGGTGGGAGTGTCGAGCGTTTCAATCTTGGTGGAGATTGTGCCGGGGGCATCGTAGACGACGGCTTTGTAGGTGGCTGGCACGTCGAAGATCTGGGGAGCTGCTGCTTCGGCCATTTTGGGCTGTGGGGTGTCGAAGCGACGAGGAGCTGGGGATGTGGGTTGCTTGAAGATGGTAAGGGATGGATGATAAAGGTAGGTACGGTCTTTCAGTTCACTTGTGGAATAGAGGTGGGATGATGAAGTGTTCAAGCTCTGAGAGTGGGCTGATGCGGAAATGTGTATATATATGAGTATTATCTATAGGACCCGCCTTGTGCAACGCTACTCCGTACATCCGCAGCCTTTCATCCGTTGGGAAGCTGTATCCTCGGCGTTGATGGCGCTTAGAGGGGAGTGGCTGTCGATATGTCCGAGTCTGCGACGGGGTGGGGGGGATTGCGGGGTAGCTGGGGGTTAACCTCGCTTGAAACTTGGGGATGAAGTTGCGATCAATAAGCTTTTGGAACTGCACGCGGGGTTGAGTTGTATGCTCCGTAGTGGAACATATACTCCGTGTCCGTGGTATATATAGTACATATGGTATAAAAGTAAGGTGATTAATCCAGTGTTCAGTCTAGTATTTAGAGGTGAGACACTATACCAGAGGGTCCTCTCTATATCCACATGTCCTGGCTGTCATCTAGGCTGGCATGAAAAAGAATGGAGAATAGAGCGATTCAGGAGTGTTTTACAGCTGTGGATTTTATACTGCCTGTTTTGGCGGTGCTAAGCCAAGCTAGAGTACTACTAGAATAGATTAGTATTAGAGCAATTGAATCCTTGTTTAGTGCTTGCCGTACTCGTACTTTGGGTCAATAATAGTTAACAGGCGACACCGTTGGAAAAATTGATCATGATTATGATTATCTGTCGATAATCATAATCATGACTATAATATACCTTATTAGGCCTAGTGTACCTTATTAGGCCATACGTTATTAGGCCTAGTTGTTAACTAATTAGGGGTAGTTTTTAGATAGGCGATAAGCGATAAGATAGGAGATAAGATAGGAGATAAGATAAGATAAAAAAACAAAATGTTTCTAGGAGAATCCTACAAACTTTTACTAACTTCTATATAATTCTAGATGCTTAATAACTGCTTATAAGTATATAGCGAATGTGCTAAACAAGCGAATGTGCCAAAATTCTACAGCCACCCTACTACCTAACTAAACATAGTATTTCTCAACAACACAACATGCCTTAGAAAAGCGACAAGAGAGAGTTAAACCAGGCTATCTAGGCTATCTAAACAGACCCTACATAAAGCCTCTATGCTATATCTAAGGTCTATTTTGTAGACTACTGCAAACTTGCTTACTAGCTACATAGTATGCAACCATGATGTAATATTATAGCTAATTCATAGAAATTAACAAACCTAGAGTAATTAGTCCTTGTTAAACACATACTTAACCTAGCTACTAAAGGATTTCCTCTGTAGATGCCTGTTGTTAAAGATATGGCAAATCGACTACTTGTAACTCCCTAGAGTGTTAGTAGTTATCCCTCTTAGTCCTTAATGGTCATAAGAGCCACTACTTAGACAAGTTTAAGGAGTACTATAAAGAACACAACATTATAACTCTCTACATGCCTGCTCATTCTTCCTATATACTCTAACCGCTTAATATTAGCTGTTTTAGCCCTTTAAAAAAGGCTTATAGTTTGCAAATTAAAGATATGATGTGAGCTTATATTTCTTACATTACTAAGGACAACTTCCTTTCCTGCCTTCTTGTAATGGTGGGTGCACCAGATATGAGAATCTAGCCACCCAAGGAAGGGATGAATTTACTAAGACAACACACTGTCTTAGGAAACAGAGCCAAAGGGTTGTAGCTTAGACTATTCCACAACGCAGCAATCAGGTGTATGATGTGGTGAAGTGGTTTAGACAAGTTGCAACAAATGTTGAGTCTGAGAACTCAGGGGTAAGTCAGAGGTTAGCACCTCACTGACTTTTCAAAAAACAGAGAATAACAAGATCAATGCTTGGAAGCTTGGAAAAGACGTAGAAGTATGTGCTAGTCGATTTACTGTATTGCCTGCTTGCCCTTTCTTAAGGAAAGGGCAATCCTATTTATGCCAAAGGAGTGTAGTTCTCTCATTTTCCATGACTTTCCATGACTAACCAGGCTTGGTAAATGTATTAGAAATCAAGTGCGACCCACAACTAGCTTGCTAATCATGTAGTGAACGTAAGAGAATCCCATAGAACCATCTCTTGGGTTCCTAGCCTATAGGAAGTGAAAAGGAGGTCCAAGGTCAGAGTACCTATAGACAAATTATGTCATAACTTAACCAATCTTGTGGGTAACTAAGGAGCGATGACGTGTAATGAATCATAGAGGGTTGTAGAAGCTTCTAGAGCTATCGTTCATGTTCCTAGGCCTCTAGTTGGTAGAGATATGCCATGTGGTAGTATTGACCCACCCCCTTAAGGAGGAGATTTTCTTAATAACTTGTTCAATGAGTGTCCAAATGATATGCCGTGATGTATGTAGCATAAACAGATGTAGTAGAAGAGTTTGCAGCAATCGTTGAGTAGTATTGTTTCTGTTGTTGGTGTGATAAGCCAAGATATGTATGGTGACTTGTAGGTTTGAGGAGGAGATTTCTAAGTTTGCTCTTGAGTTTGATAGCAAACTGAGTGCAACGAATGTCAGTATGACACTTCTACACTACGTTTAACATTGTAATAACAGAAAGCAACATTTAAGGAGGCCTCTAAGGTGCTAGACTTCTTCTATTTAACCTAAAAAGAGTAATCTCTACACTTGATCTTAAGTTAAGGACACTAACACATTTAAGCTCCCACCTAGGTACTGCTTAACCCTAGGTTTCCTAAACACCAAATAACCTAATTAAAGCCTTATTACAGTCTACCTTTATTAAAAACTGAATTGCACGTCATTTCTCTAACTTCAATCTACACAGCTGTTGATTAGTTTACAAAGGGTGCATTACAAATAATGCATTAATTAGCACTGATAAAAGCAGAGAACTAACACCTACGACAAGCAAATGAAGTGCTAAGCAAGCGTAGAAGGAGGATCACTTAGTCAACAAGGGGCGCAGGAGTTACAGGATGAGAGGGATGTGTGCAGTAGGTAGAGTAGAAAATAAAGGCAAGTAGTGGTCGGAAGCCAAGGGAAGAAACGCGTGCACGTCGCTATGGCAAGTGGGTGATAAGGGGCTACTACTACTTCAGGCTATGGCGAATACTGGCCTCACTTGGCAGCTTGCAATTACTACATTCGGTAATGGTCAATTCAACCGATGGTCAAGCAGCTAAAGCCCTCAACTGTCGAGCGCCTACAGTCCTATTTCCTAATTAGGAAACAGTGGAGTTTACGGGGTGCAGGGTTATATTTATCGATTTTTCTACACCAACTATATACAGGCATGTAAAATGAGCTGTTTTACAGCTGCTGAATCGCTCTAATAGGTACAGTAACACAGTCAACTGTTTGTGGCGCTGTTCGACTTTATAACATCTCATTAGTCCAGCGAAGGCACAGGTGCGGGGAACACAACAGGCCGAGCCCGCCTCCATATGCACGTCCAACAGGCCGAGGCCGACTCCATATGCACGTCCAACAGGCCATGATAACGGCTGTGTTACACTCTCAACCCTCACAACACTCCCATAACCCATCATCTTTCTCAAATCAGCCTCCCATACCCTCAAGGCATTTCCAATCCCCATCCAACCCCACATCATGTCCACAACCACCCCCTCCGACCCCTCGCCATCCCCGGCTTCCCCCAACTACCCCGCCTTCCAAACCGAGCTCTACACCTCCTCCATCCTCCACGGCAAGAAACCCCTCGTAACAACCGACCCCAACAAGCTTGAAGCCCAAGCCCGCGCCGCCCTCCCCCTGCGCTCCTACAACTATGTCGCCGGCGGCGCCGGCGAGCGCGCCACCATGGACGCGAACCGGCAGGCCTTCCGGCGGTGGGCGCTCGTGCCGCGGATGCTGAGGGATACGTCGGCAAATAAGGTGGGGGTGGAGTTGTTTGGGGTTAAGTATGGTGAGTTCGTTCGTTGGGGGCGTCAATTTTCCCCTTTATGTGAGAGGAGGGGAGGTGGACTAGGGCTAATAGATATGCAGATTCCCCGATCCTCATGGCACCCGTAGGCGTGCAAACGATTTTCCATGAGGACAGGGAAATCGGTCTCGCAAAGGCGTGCGCGGACATTGGGGTCCCGTACATCATGTCCACAGCCGCAAGCAGCACCATCGAAGAAGTCGGCGAGGCATCAGGATCCGGGCATCGGTTCGCCTCTCCCCCCCATTCCCCTTTTGAAGAACCCCGCTAACCCCCCCTAGCTGGTTCCAACTCTACTGGCCCTCCACAGACGCCATAACGCGCTCTCTCCTCTCCCGCGCCAAGAACTCGGGGTTCAGCGTGCTAGTGGTGACACTCGACACCTGGTCACTCGCCTGGCGCCCCGCCGATCTAGACGAGGGGTACATCCCCTTCATGGAGGGCGTGGGCAACGCAGTCGGATTCAGCGATCCTGTTTTCCGCGCCGGCTTCGCAGCAGCTATGAACGGCGCCACGCCGGAGGAGAAGATCGGTCATGCGAGCGCGGGGTGGGTGAGGGAGGTGTGTCCGGGGCGGAGCCGGACGTGGGAGGATTTGAAGTTGTTGAGGGGCTGGTGGGGGGGGAAGATTGTGTTGAAGGGGATTCAGCATGTTGATGACGCTAAACTGGCAGTCGAAGCCGGTATGGATGGTATAGTGGTATCTAACCACGGCGGGCGACAAGTCGACGGTGCCATCGGATCTCTCGAAGTTCTCCCCGAGATCGCCGGAGCAGTAGGAGATAAAATCACCGTCCTCTTCGACTCCGGGATCCGCACAGGCGTCGATATTATCAAAGCCCTCAGTCTAGGGGCGGAAGCAGTGCTGGTGGGTAGACCGGCTGTGTATGGGTTTGCGATCGGTGGCGCGGAAGGGGCGAAACAGGTGCTGAGGGGGTTGTTGGCGGATTTCGAGATGAGTTTGGGGTTGGCGGGGGTGGATGGGGTGGAGGGGTGTAAACCGCAGATTCTGAGGAGGGTGGAGGGGGGTGGGGATTTGAGGAGCTCGAATTGACGAGGGCTAAGGTCGGCTTTGGACCCGGGGGGGGGGATATAGGGTATGGATTTCACTTCTCTGGGGCGATGATAGCGGATGATACGTGTTGATTCGGCGAGCTTTTTAAGTGAGATAAAGTTCCAGAAAACAGGACCCATCCACCATCCACCATCTCCCATCCACACCCCACCCCCCCTCGCCGCCCCACACCCCAAAATCCCCAACCCTCTGCAACCGCCACCCCTCATCGCCATCCCCCGGCAACGTACACTGTTCCCCATCCTCCATGGCATCCATTACATAGCTTCCCCGCATCACACCACACGCCCTCCTCCCAGCATCGATCACACGCAAAGCGGGCCCCTTCCTCCTCCTCCTCCCCCCCGGCTCGCGGAACCTGCAATCCCCACCCTCCCACACACAAACCACCCAGAGTCTCCTGTCCGAACCCACACTCCCAAGCTCATAGCAGCGTGTGCATCCACCCTCCTCCTCGCCATCCCCCTCATCACCCCAAATCTCGCGCAACCTACAACCCACACCTACCACCCACACTCCACACAAGATTACATATTCAAACACACACAACCCCAAGCCCAAAGCAGCGAGCGCATTTTACCCCCCCCCCCCTCGCAGCCTCGACACCTCAGCTCGTCCCCCGGTCCGGCGAACGCACATGGCATGGAGACGGCGCAGGCTACACCATTAGCCGTGCGCGTGAGGAAGGGCGTTTCGGCGGGGCACGGGAGGGAGAGAGAGAGGTGCTGCGCGTGCGGGTGGGGTTAGCGCGTGGGGGAGGCGAGGGGGGGGGCGTGGTGTGGAGGAGGAGGTGGGGGGGGGAGGGTGCTGCGGGTGTAGGGTGTGTGGTGTGTTGAGTCCGCTGGTGCGGGGTGGAGGGGGGGGTCGTGGGGCGCGGTGGTGGTGATGGTGGTGGTGGGATTGGAGTGTGTTTTTTTTGGTAGATCCTTTGGTCTTGGTCGGGAAATTCAAATGGGGAGGAATGGGAGTGGAGTAACAGCGACAATACAAGTGGCAGTCGGTCAAGCTGTTCTTATAAAGACGTGTGTTTCAGGGGTTCACAAACGTGGCGCACACATACCATCTCCCCGTTGGTGATAGAGCCGAGTTAGATTCGACGTATCGCCTTGAGCTTCAAAGTAGTGTGTAGGGTTTATTTAGAATCCTCTTATTCGGCGTGGAGTTTTTAACCTGGTTCTTTTTAATTCTGTGTGCTATGCTCTGTGTGCTATGCTCTGGTGTGCTATGCTTATATGCTGTGTTCTCTGCATGTATCCCCATCTATTTACGCCTACCCCAGCCCAATCCCAGAACGCCGAATATCACACCCCTTTTTCCCCCGTCGCTAGATTTCAAAATGCTCTCACCGATACAAACAGTCCGAGGAAGGCGAGGGGGAGTTACCAACTAACCCCCCTCCAGCCAAACTCCCCATCAACATTACTCCACCCCCCCTTTTCAACCATCTCCCACCCCCCCATCACAGCAAGGATCTTACACCCCATACTACTAACCCCACACACAATCCCTCCCCCCTCCTTCCCACCCTCTCCACCCCCCGCCCCAGCAAGCACAGCCAAATCCAACAAGTACGCTCTCCCCACCAGCCCCCTAAGTCTCCACCCCTCCCCCCCCCCCTCCCAAGTCCCCAAAACATGCCCGCAAAAAACCCACCCTCCCACCCCACCGGCGTCTCCACAAACCTCCTAAACATGCCGCGCTCATCCGGCTCCCCCTTTTCTTGTGACGACGATAGAGGGGGCCAGGATGCGAGTTTAATAACGGATTGTGCGCGTACGGTGCCGATGAGGTCGTCATCTGTGTAGACATCTGGGTCGTCGCTGGCGACTACGAAGACGCTGCGGGAGCGTTGGGAGGCGCCGGTGGGGCCGGGGAAGGGGGTGGAGAGGAGGGAGTGAGCGGCGGTGAGGTAGTGGGAGGTTGGTATGTAGGCGTCGCGGTATTGGAAGGATAGGGGGTGCGCGTCGCCGTGACGGATGTGCAGGGCTATGATCTTCCCGGGGTTTTCGGGGTGTGCGACCATTGAGCGTAACTCAGCCAGGCGCTTGGAGACGTGTTGGGCGTCCTCAGGCGTTAGGTGGAAGAGTGCTTTGTACCCCTTCCTCGCCATATCGAAAATCGGTTTCTGCCGCGAGTTACCGGCGCGATGCGCGTCTTCGAAGGCGTTGTGGAAGGCCCCGCCGAAGGTGTGGGATGTTGTTGCGGAGGAAACGAGGAGGTGCGCTGCTGAATGCGGGCAGGGGGTGATGTAGTGCCGTGGCGGGGGACGACAGGTGGCGGGGGGAGGGGGAGGAAAAAATCGGTGTATGCCCCGTAGGACCACCTCGTGTCGTCGATGAAGAACGCGCGGTCTTCGGAGAGGGCGAGGCCGTATGCGGTCCAGAGGAGCATTAGGGTTGGTGCGAGGCCCGCGGAGGGGGTTTCGAGTGTTACGGTTAGGGAGCGGGTGCAGGCCGGGAGAGAGGGAGAGGAGAACGATTCCCCCAGCAGTGGAGGTGGAGGAGGGCGGGAAGGGCGGTAGGTTAGGCCTGCGGCTTGGGAGGCGGAGAGGAGGAGGCCGAGGCGGTCTGCGAGGGTTGGGTCGAGGAAGTTGGGATCGATGTGCGAATAAGGCTTGTGCGCGGCTGGAGGGGCGGATTTATGCAGCAGACTCGAGACGTGCATTGCTATCTCCCCTGTCTGCGCGCAGAGCTCGGCGTAGTCCCCTGGGAGCAGGGGGAAGGCGGTGTGTGGCGGGATGGAGATTGTCCAGCGCGGTTTGCCGGAGGAATCGGTCACCACGACGGGCGTGGGGAAGTCGGGGAGCGAGTCATCCCCCACCAGCTCGTAGGAGGTGCCGGAATCCGTGGACCAGGCGCCCATGGAAGGGGGGTGGCGGTGCACCCTCAGGAGAGCGGTGGCGTAGTAGACTATCGTCGAGACGCCAAAGACCCAGATGAGGAAGCGGGTTAGGCGGCGCAGACGCCGTGGGGTGGGTGAGGGAGGGGGTTTCCCGTGCCGTGGGACGAGGGCGGGGAGGCTGGGGGAGGCTGGGGGAGAGGCGAGGAGGCGCGCGAAGGTCGAGCGGGAGGTTGTGGCGGAGAGGGGGCCGTGGTCCAAGGAAGGGCGGCCGCGGCGGAGGGTCATGGGCGTGGGGGGTTGGAGGGGGAGAGGAGCATGTTGGCGCGCGTGGGGGAGAGGGTGAGGTCGAGGTGGTTCGTCATGGCTGGTTCGTGTGGTGGCCAGGTGGGTGACTGTGAGGGCCGGCCTGGAGTAAGATAGATAGGTTGGCAGTGGTGGTCGACGCCAAGCGGTCCAGACCAAGTGTGTAGCTGCTCAAATGGCAGAAGGGAAAGCAAAAGGGCGATATAGCACCCCAGGTCTCGAACGTAATAGAAAATCGGTGTGGTGCCAGCACGGACGAAGCTGTATATCCTCTGTCGAAAAAGGGCGGATAGGAAAGAAAGATGAGAGGTCTTGACCTGAGAGAATAAAAAGGAAGCAAAAGAAAAAAGAAGACGAAAGAAGTGATATCGAAATAGAAGAGAAAACCGCAGCGCTAAACGTTGCTCCTCCTTCCTCCTTCTCCTTCCTCCTTCTCCTTCCTCCTTCCTCCTTCCTACTCCTCCTCCTCCTTCCTTTTTCTTTGTTCGCGTCCGCTTGTTCGCGTCTGGTGTGTCCGTTCGAGGGATTCAAATCGCGTCGCAGGGCTGTTTGAGGTGGGTGCCGATCGGCAGATCAACTGGGTTGGTTGGTATCCGTATCGTAGATGGGCGGGACGCGGTCGAGGTGCAGTAGAGGTGCAGTAGAGGTGCGGTCAAGGTGCGGTCGAGGTGCAGTAGAGGTGCAGTAGAAGTGCAGTCAAGGTGCAGTAGAGGGTTGATTGTGCAAATTCCTATATGGTATATCCCGAGTGATTGGAGGTTCTTCCTTGAACTGTGGGTGGTGTACTACGTCTCACATTGTGCAGCCAGTCGGGTGTTACCGACCTCCGACTGGTTGAGTGGTAGAGTAGATTAGGGGATTGGCACTCTGGGTGTCCTTGGGATGGGGAATTGCTCTATTAGAGCAATTTAGCAATTACTGTCGCACTTTTAGCATGTGACAGTAACTAGGGCCCCTGCCCCTCTACAGTCAACTCCCGTCAAGTCAATACAATTAGTAACACGTGTAAATATCGTAAAAGTGAAAATATCGTTATATTGAAATGCCAAGTATTATGTAATCCACCTATCTAATGTCTCCTTAAATTGCCTCAATTTCACCCTCTAAACGCTCTAATGCCCAGAGGTGATTGGCTTAGAGAGCATCCTGACACTCTGTATACTCAATTAGAACTTTAAGGGCATTGCGAGCATTAGAGGCTGAATAAACTGCCTCTTTAGTCTTAAGTGTAATGGTGGGTGCACCAGATGTGAGAATCTAGCCACCCAAGGAAAGGGGATGATTTTACTGAGACAACACACTGTCTTAGGAAACAGAGCCAAAGGGTTGTAGCTTAGACTATTCCACAACGCAGCAATCAAGTGTATGATGTAGTGGAGTGGTTTAGACAAGTTGTAACAAATGTTGAGTCTGAGTGTAAGGACACAGGGCACCCAGCTCACAGTAATAGCATATGAGAGTGCGAGTCGGAGGCTAAACGGATGCTATCCTATAGGTCTACTACGAAGGTATGTTCTACCCCATCGCTGAGAGGAAGGATTTTCTCAGAGATGGTTGATTTCTTATAGCGATTCGGAGGGTCCTCGGTGTGCATTCGTGACGACCCTGGAATCGATGGAGAACGAGTGTTTCGAAGAGGCGGCAATTGAACTGTTTCAGGGGTGTTTCGTGTGCGAGACGTTCGTTGCTCCGTAGCTTCGACTGTGGGTATGGGGGCGTCCACCGGTGGTGTGGACGGGATTCTGGTCTGGGCTGCAGTAAGGATAACTAGTAGATCCTTGACCTCCTGTATAGGTGGGCCATTTGGCTCGGGATGTCTTCGGATGGCACAGCGGTCGTAGCTGCAGCGGTGGTTTGTCTGGTAGTCATTCTGGGCAGTTGACCGTCGTTGTCTTGGGGTATGTTTGATGTCAGCTTTTTCAACATATTGCCTCTGGTGTGTATCGGTACCGATATGAAAGAGCTTGACTTCCGGTAGCTCATAGCTATCAACGCTCTTGTCCACAATTTCCTCTGTGCTAGGAGGGGGTTCTTAAGGATCTCGTATCCTATTTGGTGCCAACGCGTTGGTGACTTTACCAGCTTGTTCTGAAGAATCAAACCCAGATCCACTGGCTGTCCGTGAGATCTCTGGAATCACGGCTATTTGAAGTCGTCAGGTCTCTCCTCCGAAACGTCACCGAGTCGCAGTCGATGGTGTAACGGTAATTCTCCTGAGTCGGGTCGTCACGAATGCACACTGAGGACCCTCCGAATCGCTATAAGAAATCAACCATCTCTGAGAAAATCCTTCCTCTCAGCGATGGGGTAGAACATACCTTCGTAGTAGACCTATAGGATAGCATCCGTTTAGCCTCCGACTCGCACTCTCATATGCTATTACTGTGAGCTGGGTGCCCTGTGTCCTTACAGGAATGAAGAAGATGACCGTCAAAAACAACAGCTTCAAACCCTATTACCCCTTGAGAGACTCCATCCGGATCTCGCACAGCAGCTAGAACTCAAAAGTCAAGGGCAGGCACAAGATGCTCAACTTGCACCAATCCTACCACAAGATCAAAGCATCCATTACCAGATTCAAGCTGCGCAGCTCCAGGATGAATTATGCAAGGATACAATCCGAAGACTACAGAACAATGAGCGAGATAGCCCAAATATAGCCTTAGCACATTGCGAAGAGAGAAATGGACTCCTACTCTACCAAAATCGAGTTTGGATCCCAGAAGACGTCCGAGTTAAACTCCTTCATGAGGTTCACGACCAGCCAGCAATGGGACACCCTGGAATTGGGAAGCTGATTCGAATCATTAAGAGACAGTACTACTGGCCCCGGATGGACAAGACTATCACTCAATATGTGAGGAATTGCCATACCTGCAAGAGATCAAAACCAACCCGGGACGCATACAATGGACTCCTACAACCAATCCCAATTGGAAGCCAACCATGGAAGGACATATCATCGATTTTATTACAGGATTACCATTATGTGAAGGAAACAATTCTATCCTTGTAGTAGCATGCCGATGTAACGCTGACTTCTAAACGATAGAAGACACAGAGGTTCTCTTGCGTAAAGGTTTACTTATCAGAGGAGGCAGGGGATCAGACACAAAGGCTTCAAGTAACACGTTACTAGTATATAACAAATACTGTATTGAGTTGAGCACGAAGCTCCTATCTAAGGAAATACTATCTACTTATATAGTGGCGTCGTGCCTAGTGGACTCTTGGGAACTCACTCGAGTCCTCAGAGTCCTGGACTCTTAGGATTCTTCTCATCATCCTGCGAGTCCGTCACGTGCCTAGTGGACTCCTGGGAACTCACTCGAGTCCTCGGAGTCCTGGACTCTTAGGACTCTTCTCATCATCCTGCGAGTCCGTCACGTGATACTTTCGGAACTACTATTCCCCGCTGCCCCTCCAGGTACCAGGGCCGGTCTCATGCGACCTCCCTCCTTCCTGTCCTGTAGTTGGCCAGCCTTCTTGTTCCGTCGTAACAGCCGACTTACAAAAGAGCGCCATTTTATCCCATGCTTTGCAGGTAAAGAAGGCACTACAGCAGAAGCTACAGCGAGGTTACTACTCCAGCATGTATGGAAACACCATGGTTTACCAAATTCCATCATCTCAGACAGAGGGCCCCAGTTTGTAGCTGCAGTGTGGAAAATCCTCTGCAAAGTTTGGAAAGTTACAATCAAATTGTCTACAGCCTTCCACCCAGAAACGGACGGGCAAACTGAAAGGTTTAATGCAGAACTCGAGCGATATTTACGGGCTCATGTCAACTATCTCCAAGACAACTGGGTTGAATATCTTTGCATGGCTGAATTCGCAGCAAATGCCCTTCCATCAGACTCAACAAAAGTTAGCCCATTTTTTGCAAACAAGGGTTTCGAGCCAAGAATGAGCTTTGATATAGAGGATAGCACGTTCCAAACTGCCCTTCAAGAACATAAGGACATAGCTCAAAACATGAAAGATATTTGGGAATTCCTACAAGACCAGATCGCCCTCTCACAAACCCGAATGGAGCACTTGGCAAATCAAAACAGGAAGCCAGCACCAAGATATAAGGTAGGAGACCGAGTCTGGCTTTCTACTCGGAATATCAAAATAAGCAAGTTGGTCCATTTCAAATCCTTGAGCGAATTGGGAATGTTGCATACCGACTCCAGCTACCACCAAGCATGAAGATACACCCTGTGTTTCATAGCAACCTCTTACGACTTGACTCAGATGATGCTTTACAAGGCCAGCACCATGAACCACCCCTGCCAATCATTATAGAAAATGAACTTGAATGGGAAGTTGAAGAAACCCTAGATTCTAAACTCCTACGGAAGAAGCTGTTCTATATGGCAGCATGGAAGAACCACCCACTAGACAACACTTGGTATCCTGCTACAAACTTCAACAATGCACCTGAACTCACACAAGCTTTCCACTGAAAATACCCGCAGAAGCCACGATGATCTTACTCTTGATCAGGAATCAATCTTACTAGGGGGGGGTAGTGTTATGATTACAGCTCACAGCTTGTCACAGCTTGTTACGGTTGTTACGGTTGTTACGGTTATTATGGTTATTACAGTTGTTATGGGGATTACGGGTGTAGCCTTAGCCACAAGGTTACAACCGCTAAGCAGACAACTGTATGTTATGAGGAATAGCCTCACCTTCCTTCATTCTTCTTCTTCTTCTCTCTTTAGATTTAATCTAGATTACTTTTCCTGGACTGGCATCATGACCTCTATGACCATCGTAACATGGAGGAGGATGGGGCATAGGAGGGAGGAGGCCCTGTGTCAGAGGGGACTCGGACCTGACTCTTCGCGTGTGTCATACTGTCATTCGTTGCACTCAGTTTGCTATCAAACTCAAGAGCAGACTTAGAAATCTCCTCCTCAAACCTACAAGTCACTATACATATCTTGGCTTATCACACCAACAACAGAAGCAATACTACTCAATGATTGCTGCAAACTCTTCTACTACATCTGTTTATGCTACATACATCACGGCATATCATTTGGACACTCATTGAACAAGTTATTAAGAAAATCTCCTCCTTAAGGGGGTGGGCCAATACTACCACATGGCATATCTCTACCAACTAGAGGCCTAGGAACATGAACGATAGCTCTAGAAGCTTCTACAACCCTCTGTGATTCATTACACGTCATCGCTCCTTAGTTACCCACAAGATTGGTTAAGTTATGACATAATTTGTCTATAGGTACTCTGACCTTGGACCTCCTTTTCACTTCCTATAGGCTAGGAACCCAAGAGATGGTTCTATGGGATTCTCTTACGTTCACTACATGATTAGCAAGCTAGTTGTGGGTCGCACTTGATTTCTAATACATTTACCAAGCCTGGTTAGTCATGGAAAGTCATGGAAAATGAGAGAACTACACTCCTTTGGCATAAATAGGATTGCCCTTTCCTTAAGAAAGGGCAAGCAGGCAATACAGTAAATCGACTAGCACATACTTCTACGTCTTTTCCAAGCTTCCAAGCATTGATCTTGTTATTCTCTGTTTTTTGAAAAGTCAGTGAGGTGCTAACCTCTGACTTACCCCTGAGTTCTCAGACTCAACATTTGTTGCAACTTGTCTAAACCACTTCACCACATCATACACCTGATTGCTGCGTTGTGGAATAGTCTAAGCTACAACCCTTTGGCTCTGTTTCCTAAGACAGTGTGTTGTCTTAGTAAATTCATCCCTTCCTTGGGTGGCTAGATTCTCATATCTGGTGCACCCACCATTACACTTCCAAGCATTCATCTTGTTACTCCTTGTTTCTGAAAAGTCAGTGAGGTGTTAACCTCTGACTTACCCCTGAGTTTCCAGACTCAACATTTGTTGCAGCTTGTCTGAACCACTTCACTACATCACACACCTGATTGCTGCGTTGTGGAATAGTCTAAGCTACAACCCTTTGGCTCTGTTTCCTAAGACAGTGTGTTGTCTTAGTAAATTCATCCCTTCCTTGGATGGCTAGATTCTCACATCTGGTGCACCCACCATTACAAGTTCTCAGACTCAACATTTGTTACAACTTGTCTGAACCACTTCACTACATCATACACCTGATTGCTGTGTTGTGGAATAGTCTAAGCTACGACCCTTTGGCTCTGTTTCCTAAGACAGTGTGTTGTCTTAGTAAAATCATCCCTTCCTTGGGTGGCTAGATTCTCACATCTGGTGCACCCACCATTACAGCTTGCCATCTACATAGCAAGCTAGGTCGTTTGCTAGATGCTATAAGGGTCAGCTTCTATAGCTATCATAGAGTAATATATAGTATTTACCTATTTCAAGTATAGGATGTCGTTCAAATTGTTGATTATGGCTAACTACATACAATACACTACTAATTTACTAGGCTAGAAATGGCTCTGTTATAGTGTGACAGTCCCCTTTCCTATTTAGGCATGTAGAGCTAGAGTAGGCACCTTAGCATTAGGTACGCCTTACTAAATATGCTACTGTTACATGCTAAAAGTGTGACAGCAACAGTTGCTAAATTGCTCTATTAGGGATGGGGTGGGGATTAGAGGGATGGGATGGGCATGGGGGATTGAACATAAACCTGCCTTGGTTCTCAGGCACAAAACATGAGTGAAGTATGAGGTAAGGAGGAGTACTAGACTGGACTGGACTGGACTGGACTGGACTGGACTGGACTGGACTACTAAGTGGTTGGTGGAAGTAGACCGGTCGCCACCGCCACCGCCACACAGCCAGACAACCGCAGCAGCCTGACCTACTACCAGAGACAGACGGACGGACGAACAATCAACCGTCCATGATAGCATCCCCCACTCCTCCCCTCTACCATTTACCCCACCACCCAACTCTTCCCCCCTTCCCCAATCCAAGCTCTCCCATTCGCCACACCTCCGCCACTACCACCCTTCCCCCAACTACCCACCAAACCCTTCCCAATCGCCAATCGCCAATCGCCAATCGCCAATCGCCAATCCCCCGCTATCCTGATTACGCTAAGATACCTGCCTGCTTATGCTTGCTTATGTACGCCTAACCCAGAACCAGAACACACCTACCTACCCTACCTACCCTACCTACCCTACCTACCCTACCTACCCTACCTACCCTACCTACCCTACCTACCCTACCTACCACCCTTTCTCATCCTCTCATTCACACAGTCCCCTTCCCTTCCATCCTTCATACAAACAGACATCACCAAACGTTATTCGCCTTGCAAGAATCTACCATTGCAAGTCACAGGAGAGAGAGCTACACCTGCTGCATAGCTGCCGCCGCCTGTACAAGCTGAGAGACGACAAGACGGAGACCAACGAGACACGACTGTGTCGACACCTTCCCTACATAACCAACCTGACGAGACACGAGACACGAGAGACGCACCACCTCACCGCTGCAATACTACCCCCGCCCGCCCGACGATTCCGCCGAAGTGACAAGGTCAGTGGCGTCGTCAGTCAGCAGCGCCGTCAGTCAGCAGCGTCGTCAGGCAGCAGCAGTCTGCTACGTGAGGAGAGACGCTGACCCAGTCTGCAATCAACAGTCCAGTCTGCAATCAACAGTCCAGTCTGCAATCAACAGTCCAGTCTGCAATCAACAGTTCACCTCTACCACCCCAACACCTCTACCACCCCAACACCTCTACGAACCCAATACCTCTACACGACAAACCCCGGCACTCCACACCAACCCCCCACACCAACCCCCCACACATCCATTCACCCTTCACACCACACCACCACAATGACGACACAACCACCCACACCCGCCACACCCACAACAATGACCGACGACAACCCCACCCCCACCCCCAACCCCGACCGCCGCCGCGGCTCCTTCTCCAGCGCAACCTTCTCCGCCATCTTCGGCCCCCGCGGCGCCCCCGCCAACGGCACCAACGGCACCCCCCCCTCTGCCCTGCGCCAGAACCCCTCCCCCCCCTCCTCAACCACCTCCTCCACCACCGCCGCCCTCCCAACCCCCTCCTCCCGCCGACGCATGTCCATCTCCACCCTCGGCCTCTCCGGCTCCCCCCTCTCCACCTCCGCCGGCGCCACGACCTTCTTCCCGCGCGACCGCCGCGCTAGCATCGCCTCCTCCACCGCCTCGAGCCTGACTAACTCTGCGGTCTCGGAGTCGGCGATTGAAGACGACTCGCCGGATTCGGGGAGCGTGCCTACCACCCCGTTTTCGAGACATATGTCCTTCGGTGGGTCGTCGGGGCTGTTTCCCCGCGGGTCGGGGAATGGAGCGGGCGGCGTGGGACCGACGAGTCCACAGTCCAAGTCCAGAAGCCCCAGTGATGCGGGGGGTCTGAATTGGTCCGAACAATTCCGGGAGCGCGCAGCGAGCGCCGTTCATAGGCCTATGATGGGCAGTTCCCCCCCTGCTGCGGGGGGGGGGTTTGGTAGCATGGGAGCGCAGGGGGGTCAAGGGGGACCTCCGCATGTGAGAGCGAAGAGCGAAGGGGGTGATCAGATGATGGCGCAGGTGCCGGCGAGGACGCAACCGCAGCCGGTGCCGCAGAGGAAGGAGAGGATGAAGCCGGATGAGGTGGGGGAGAGGATGTTGAGGGGGGAGTTTTATATGGATTGAGCTGTGAGAGGGAGAGAGTGTTTGTATGTGTGTAAGGGAAGACTTGACGGTGCGGATGATGGCTGTGTGACCTGGTGCCCGTCGCTGCATTTGTCACGTTTGCTCGGTTTCTTGCTGACGTAGGCCGGCAGACGGGGGGATGACCGGTGGCTGGCACGGCGGATACACGCACCTCATCCCATCACGCATCATACACCCAGCTCATCCCAACCACACCTGAGCGCTCTACCTATGCACATACATTCTCCCCATCCAGTTCCCCCGACGACCGAAACAAACAAACAAAAAACAACACCATCGACCAGCCAACACACCCACCCACCCACTCGCTCACTCGCTCCCTCTGCCCAGGGCAAAGCAAAAACAAACCAATTCAAGAAGAAAAAAGGAGCTGCGACGGATGCGATGGCGGCGAAATGAGGGGGCCTTTGAACGCTTTGTGGGCAAGAAAGAGACGAGGAATTCTGAAAGAAAAAAAAAAGAGGGGGGGGGGGGAGAATGTTAGAATCTTGGCCATGGCGAGGGGCGCGGCGCGGGATACTCGCAAAGAGGTTCTTCGGGCGGTGTTAGGGGTGGGATGGCTTGCATACACATACATTATCTCTGTATGAATTCATCATACCTTTTTTCGGGGGCCTGCTTGCCCTCAATTACCTTGTCTTCTGTTCTGTATGAATAGCTCGTCTTTACCCGTCTTTTCGTGTTTTTTGGGGGGGAGGTTTTCGCTGTGGTGAGAGGGGGAGGGAGTGGTTTTGGGAGGCGGCTGGTGGGACTTGCTTTGCTTCGGCTGGCGCGGGGAGGGAGAGGAGGTTGCCCGAGGGGGGGTTGATGATGGGCCGGGGATGAGATTGTGATGGATTACGATGGGTTATGATGGGATGGAGGTATTTTTTTTTTGGGGGGGGGTGGGGCGCAGGCGTCTGGACGAGATGGGATGGAGGATTTTTATCTGGGTTTGGCTTTGGGTTTTCTAGTTTGGGGTTTTCATTTTGGGGGCTAGGGGCGGTTACGAACTTGAAATGCGAGGAATTAAATAAATATAATGAAATAAAAACCAGCTACATTGCGGGGTAGTCTTGTTGTGTGTGTGTGTTTGTGTGTTTACGGAGAAGCGATAAGTGAGAAATGAGAATGATGGATGAGGTGAGGTGAGAAATGAGAATTGAGGATAAGAGCGATGCATACAGGTAACAGCACCAGCTCCTTCAATGCCCCCCCCCTAAAAAGGGGTAGGTATGCTAACCCTAGTTCATGTTGGTGCCAGTGTGGCTGGGAAGGAGGGAGGAAGGAAGGGAGGAAGGAAGGGAGGAAGGAAGGGAGGAAGGAAGGGAGGAAGGAAGGGAGGAAGGAAGGGAGGAGCGAACGAGGTGTTTTGGCTGCGGTGGAGGAAGGCGCTAAGGAAGGGGGGAAAATGAAGGAAGGCACGATGTAGCAAGGGAGTTTTGTTTAGGGAGGGAAGGAGCCGGTATGACGGGTTCGGGGGGGGAGAAGGTGTAGAGTGTTGTCGTGTTTTCGAAGTTTTTTTGTAGTTTTATTGTTTTTCCAGTTGGGGTTTCCCATCTCATCTAAAGAACCCAAAAATAATTGGGGGTTTTTCTTGTTTTATATTATATTCCTGCAAACCCAAACCAAACAAAATCCAAAACAACCATCCTCCTTGATTACGCCATCACCCTCCACCATAGCCGTCCCGGACAACATGGAGGAGGGCGATGAAGAATGATGAAGAGAGCAAAATCGGTAAAAAGCAGGGATAAAAAAAGATGAAAAATAGCACGAGAGAAGAGGATAATTGGCGAGGCTGACGGGGGGGATCCGATCAACAGATCCCCTCCCTCTTGCACTGAAGAAATGAGAGTAGCACAGACGACAAAAGAAAATCCCCCATCCACAGGCCCATAGTGAAAAAAGGTCGAGATCAGGTAAACCCCATCTCATCTCATCTCATCTCACTTCATCCTCTTCCTCCCCCTCCCCTCCCCTTCCCCAGCCCCCCTCTTCCCCTCCCTCGCACCCGCCCCCTCCCTTCTCAAACTCCCCACCAACCACCCCAGTTTCTCTCCATAAACAACCGGCGCCGCCCTCGCCCCAAACGCCTCCCTCGCCTCCTCCAGCACCCCCACAACCCCGCGTCCCGCATCCCCCAAATTCGCCAATCCATCCACCAAAAACCGCTCCCCCCCAGCAGGCGGCTCGCTGCCGAAGAAATGCGCAAAGATGTTGCGATCGGTTAGGGAGAGGGTTTGCTGGCGTGTTCCTTTCCAGATGGGAGTGGCGTAGACGTCGATGTTGCGCTTGGAGAGGTCGAGGAGCGTGAGAGCGAGGGACTCGGCGGCAGCTTGGCGCGCGGCGATGGAGAGGGGTGCGCGCGCTTCGTGGACGCGGGCGAGGATTGCGGCGACGGCTTCGGAGACGGCGGTAGCTGCGAATTTCACATCATGCACCACCACCAGCGGCCCCCCCGCAGCAGCAGCGCGCGGTCGCGTCGCCGTATACGCATCCAACTTCGCCAACGCCGCTGCAGCACGCGCGCGCTGCTTCCGGAAAAAAGACGCCGTGCAGTGCGAGGACGGGACGAGCGCGCGGAGGTGGCGGAAGAGGTCTGGGTTCGCGAGGGCGGCGTGGGCGAGTGTTTTCTCGAGGTCTGTGGGGAAGAGGAGGGGGAGGATGGGTCGGGGGGGGGGGCGGAGAAGATGTCAGGGCGGTAGTCGTCGCGGGTCGCTGGGGAGAAGGAGGCGAGGATGTCGCGGATATCCGTGATTCTTGCTGCTGTCGCGGCGGCAGGGGAGGGCTTCGTATAGCTCGGCGCGATGCGGTGGTCGCAGTCGAGTTCTTGGAAGAGGTGCGGCCCCGAGGCCGTGATGTGGTGGTAAGCGTCTGCGTTTGCGGGGGTGCGGGAGAAGCCGCGGGAGGAGAGGGGGAGGGGGGTGGATTTGTCGGAGCTGGAGAGGGTGTGCGAGGCGATCTGGTCGAGGAGCCAGAAGATGTGGCGGCAGGGGCCGGGGTCGGAGTCGCAGTGGCAGGTCGGGCTGCGGTACTCGGAGTCCGGGGCGCCGACGCGGACGGAGAAGCTGACGGTTTCGAAGATCTGGAAGGCGAAGTACTCGGAGCCTTCGGAGGGGTTGTAGACGGAGCAGTGGCTGAGGGTGAAGGGCTCGTTGAGGCCGGCGCGGGCGCGGCGCGTGGTGCTGCGTGTGAGGCGGCTGGTGTCGTAGCGGAGCTTGGTGTGGGCGGAGCGGAGGATGGAGGCGTCTTCGGGGCTGGAGTCTTCGCCCGAGTCGTCGTTGCTGTCCTCGCTGTCGGAGGCGTCAGAGGAGTCGTTGCTGGGCTGGGTAGCACCATCTTCTGGGCGGGTGGATGCCATTCTGGAGAGGGAGAGTCGGGAGAAGCCTGACGCGGGAGACGACATATGCGCCTGAGGTGAGGATAGGATGCTCGATGAGGTGTGGAAGGGCAACCCATGATGGCTTCCATTGAGTCTTATAGTCCTCGCCGGACAGCATCCCGGCGTGTTGGTTGGTGTTTGCCTTCGGCCTGAACCATCAGTAGCAGCAGCAAGGCTTTCCGGCCTAAAATCGGCATGCGGTGAATAATGTGATATCGAGGGAGGGTCAAGCCCAAGGCCTCCTCTCCAACTTTCCAACGGCGCTTACACAGCATCGAGGGCGGCGGATATCCATCAGATGGAAGTATAAAAAATGATACCAGGCCGGCCATGGCGAGGCCCAGTGCATGTGTACATCGCGTTGGTTATCACGGAACCTGCTTTCGGTGACCTCAGGGCACAAGGTATGGTGACTTGGGAGGTGATGCGGGCGTTGCTACTTTCTCCAGCTTGTCATGCCGGTTAAGCCACAATATCCACACAGCATCACTCAACGGTAGCGAGTTAAAAGCTGCAGACGCTTGAAGCGAGCACTAGGATGGCAGCCCCGTCATCCCCGCTGTCTCTTACGGTGGGATATCAAACGACGCTCTCCTCACAGAGAGACCTCATTTTCTTCTGCATTTGCGCATGCCCGGAACAACCGTAAGCGTCATAGTTCTTGGCGTCGACGACGATAGTAGAACTTCTTTTCCCATTTCCCATCAGGCCGCCGCGACACTGCCCGCGGATCGTGGCTGAGGCAGAGAGAATAGGGCTTGCATCATGCCGTGAAACGAAACGTAACCTTGATACCGTTAGTCGTCTTTGGTGCTGCTGTTTCCCTCTGCCTCTCTCTCTGCCTGGTCTTGCACTTGGCCTCGGTGGCCCGCATGGCCGCCGATATGGTCTCCGAGTCTCCGAACTGGCCGAGCCCTAGATCCAAGTCCCGCGGCCATTTCAGAGGCCATGTCACCCCATTATATGTCTGTGATTGCCGCAGGCAGCAAAGTAAAGGGGGTGTGTGTGGTGATGCTGCTACCTACAGTGTGGCGCAGGTTCATTCGATGAGGCGATGCACACTGGACCACCACAACCCTAACTTACTACAAGCGCGTGTTCTCAAATATCTATCTCCTCAATACTATCTCGTTCGAGAAGTCCGAGAGAATAGCGGCCAGGAAGATAAATTACTCCATTGAACTGTACAGTACTGGACTTTACAGTCCAACTCAGGCTCAGGGGCTATGCACTAACTTACACACCAGTGAGTGGTGTTACTGCCAACGGTCTCATCCAACAGGGCCATATCCACTTCTTGAATACTTCTCGAAAACCAGGAATTGTCCTGCATGTACTCTCAATCAAGTGATCTCCGCGCTAGGCTTCAGCAAGAATGATGGCCGCATAGGCACGATCAGAGAGAAGCAGCTGTCGTGGCTCCTGTCGGACTCATCTCCGATGTGGTCTCCAAAATCCATTGCCGCGGATTCACCTCAGCGACTCTGTGTATCCCCACCAATCTAAATATCACATATGATTATGTAGTCGATCCCTCTTCTAGATTCTGAACAGCCTGAGGCCACGAGCAGAATTAGACATCCCCATCCCGCATCATCATCCCGCATCATCATCCCGCAAAGACGATGGCTCCCGCTCTCGATCGTCCAATCGCGAGCGCAAAGCGCCCAAAACCACAAAGACCTTAAATCCCACAGCCGAGGGAAGCTGCTTGGCCGAGTGCAGGGTGGTGAATGGCCGCGGGAGACGGAGTCCTGTGGCGATACTGGTGTTGGTTTTAGGCCCCCACTATCCGGCCCTTGCGAAGAGCAAAGCAAGCAAGCAAGGAAGGAAGAAAAAGTCTCACGAGCACAGAAGTACGATTGTGGAGATATTTGGAATTGCTTGCAACACAAGAGACCCAAATCCAAATCCACAGTAGCAGGGTCCCCCCTATCTTCCAAGGCTGTCCACCCAACACCCCCCTTTCCCCCCCACCCCCCCCCCCTCCCCGCCGCAGCCGCAGCCCTCCCCCATCAACGCGGTCGCATTAAAGTAACCGCCCCCAAATGCGTTGGTCATACCGAGCACGGATCGCGTACAGCACCACGAAACGAACGGCCAGCCGCGGACGCTGGTTTACCGCCGGCGGTCGTGGGGGCGGGTAACGCAGATGCACGACTGTGGGGAGGGGGGGGTTAAGGTGGTGCCTTGTCACCTCATTTGCGCCTGCGGCATTTGCGCTCGTTTACAGGAGGGAGGGTGTGGTGATGGCAGGGCTGGTGGGCGGCCTCGCCGGTTGGGGGGCAGAGGAGGGGAGGGAGAGGTGAGGCGAGGTCCGAACGTAGTGCAATACGCGGTTGCCTGTGGAAACGGGGGGTTCACGGTGACTGAGCGAGAGAGTGGGAGAAAGGGCATTCTTGCTTCGGTATCTAGAACCGGCTACTCAAACTGTTATGTGATATTAGGTAAATCTATATATCTGTTTCCTGTCATTCCAAACGCCGCCCAGTACAATTATTTACACTCCGCGGAGCCCGCCAATCCGTACTCCCAACCATCCATCTCTGCAGCGACCTTATCACAGGCTGGCCCTTAGTTCTTCTCCCGCTTCTCCCACACAATCATGGCCGGGGTCAGCGGCCGCGAGAACAGCGAGCTGTAATCCGTGCCGACAACCTCGTTCACGCCGTCAGGCAGCCTCCACTTGAACTCGCGCACCATGGTCGCGATGATGGCCCCGAGCTGCAGGCCGGCGAACTGCTCGCCGATGCAGCGGTGGCGGCCAGCGCCAAAGGGCAGGTAGGGCGACGTGGCGCCCTTGCTGATCATGCCGTAGCCGTAGTCCTCGTGCTCCTCCTTGATCTCGCCCATCTGGACGCCGGCTGCGCCTGCGTCCCAGCGATGGGGGTCCCACTTGAGAGGGTCGGGGAAGTACTCCTCCATCCGCGCGGTGACACCGGCGGAGGAGAGGAGGGTGTGGGTTGTTGGGATGACGAAGTTGGTTCCGGGGACGGGCATGGGGGACTTGACTTTGCGGAGGATGGAGTGGATGGGGGTGTGGAGACGGAGGGTCTCCTTGAGGACGGCGTTGTTCAGGGTGAGCTTGCCCAAGTTCTCATAGGTCAAGGGGGGGAGGTCGGCGCCTAGGAGGCGGATCTGTTCTTGGTAGAGTCCCTCGATTATATCGGGGCGGGCGGCGAGGTTAAGCATCATCCAGGAGCTGGTCGATGACGAGGAGTGCTGTCCCGCCATGAGCATGGCAATCATCATGTGTGAAATCTCCTTGTCAGGGAGAGGGGTGCCGTCCTTGTAAACCGATGCCATCAGATGTCGGATCAAATCGTGCTCATTCTCATCAGGGACGTTTCCGGCGCGACGTTCCTGGATGATCTCCATGTATGTCTCGGAAAGGATTCTCTGAGCGCGATCGCGAGCACGGTTTTGTGGCAGAGGTGCCCAGTGAAGCATGAAGTTGATCGGGGTGAAGCCCATGTCGAGGTCGTGGAAGAGGTTGGCAAATTCGGCGTTGAACCTGGATCGGACTTCCTTCCCTTGGAGTGTACGGGAAGCGGTGTAGATGGTGATCTCAGACATGGCTGCGGGAACGTCGGTTTTACCGCTGGGACCCTTGAACATCGGGCTGGTCTTGATGAAGTTGGTGACCTCCTGGACGATAAGGGGCACGTAGGACCTGAATGTCTCGGTGGTGAGACTGACTTTCACGAACTGTGCCAGTTAGCCAATAATCATTTCTCAGTGTATTCAAACTCCGTACTTTCTTCTGCTCCATGAGCTTCGAGTTGGGGCAGTCGTAGACAACTCCGGTACCGAAAACTGGCGTGGTGAGCTTTGTGTAGATCTCCTCCGCGTTCACGTCCTTGAGCTTGCCGTTGAGGATGAACTCGTTGCCAGCTGTTCCAAGGTATACGGTGGTCTTCTTTCCGAGGAGGATAAAAGTAAAGATATCACCATACTACTAAAGTCAGCTTGGTTCTTCGCCCAGCACTTTCATGTTCACGAACCTTTTCTCTGCACTTGAAGAAGAAGGGGTATGGGTCCATTCCATAGCTGATAGTGTTTCCGAGGATGGGGAACCAGTGGAAAACAAGCGGCGGCTCATTGGGGTTTTGGGGAAGAAGCTGGCTCAAGACATTGAGGACGACAGCGAGGACGATGAACGACGCGAATCCGACGGCTGCCACGACGCCGAGACCACGCTCCGAAATCTGCGCATTGATTGGGATCAGGACGGCCTCAGTAAGGCTCTCTGTTAGGCCCATTGTGCCGTATGTGTTCGGCGAGGGAACGGTCCAGGTGGTCGGGGTGAATTCGTAGGAACCGAAGTGGTGTTTGGTTTGGACAGGAGGGAGGGACAGGAGACAATTTGTATAGTTTTCTGGGGAGATAATCGAATTAGGAAAGGTGGCTGTGATTGGCCCCTCGAATGTTTGGCAGTATTTCATTAAAGTTGCTTAGTGCCATGGCTCCTTTGGCCACCGCCGGGCAGAAACGAGTATTTCGGCCTAGCGTATTCATTGTAGCCAATGAGGGTGCGCTTATAGTAGTCTGAGATTGATCCCAGAATTCCAAGGCATAAACCTATACGAAAACGAGCACGAGCACGAGCACGACCAGAATGCCCGATCACGTGTTTAATGATGAAGATACCTCAACAGCACTGTTTGGGTTATAAGAATACACAGACGATGTTTGATAGCCGCACAAATATCCACTGAGCCGCGTGTCACATCTCCGCAGTCACGGTCATTACGCCAATAGGCTCCAGGCTAAAGTCAGCCCTCTCCGATGGCCACCACAACCTCCTCCGGCCCGTTCCTATCCCTCACCCCCTACTCCCTCACCCACCTCCCCCGCTCCCCCCAAACCAACAGCTCCTCAGACTATCCCGACCTCCCCACCCCCTATGCCTCCGCGCCCTCAGCCACCTCCCTCCTCACATCCCTCCTCACCGAAGCCCTCACCCTCCTCTCCTCCGCCGCCCCCCGCGACGGCTCCCGCCCCTCCTGGACCCTACAGCGCAAGCCACGACACTACCCCAACTCCACCGCCCCCATCCACCTCTCATCCGGCCCCCACAACGGTGCACACTGGGTCTGCAGACGCAGCTCGCACCGCGACGCCGCCGAGCGCGAAACCGCGTCGTGGACTGAGTTCGAGGCGGCGTTCAAGACAGAACATACGCTCCACGAACAGGCATTCACGCCTTCAGTGATTGGCTTCGAGAGAGTCGCGTGGTGGGAAGAGGCGGTGAAAGATGTGAGCCTTGAGCTCCCGCATGAGCAGTGGAAGGGAGTTAGCCTCGAGCTGCTAGAGATCGTGCATAGCCTCCCAAAGCCCCTGCACCCGCGCTCCTTCCCGGTGCTGCAGGGGATCGCAGAGCGAGTTGATATGGGTGTGGAGGGCGGGGAGTTTGTGGTGGTGACCGTGCCGGTGGGTGTGAAGTGGAAGCTGTGGGCGCAGGCGGTGCCGGCGAGGTATGCGGCGGTAGAACGGTTTAGAAGGGTTGGGCCGGATGTAGAGTGGGTTATGGCGACAGCGTCGAGGGCGGGGGGTGTGTTGCCCGGGTGGGTGCAAGATATGTCTGTTCCGGGGGTTGTGGCGAAGGATGTGGATTTGTACTTGAAGTGGGAGGCTGCGCAACGAGAGAGGCGAGCGGAGGCGGATATGGAGGAGTCGCTGGAAAGTGACGGTGACGGAGGAGCAGTCTGATATTGGGCGGTCTTTGGACGATGCGGAATCACTAGCTCCAGGAAATGCTGGACAGGGAATACTATGAAAGGGAAAGCCGTAATAGGCGTATCCGCCACGGATTGTGATGGAGGAAGGAAGGGAAGGTCACTGAAGACACCATGGAACATAAAAAAACATACATATCTCTATTTCCCTCCCTCCTTCTCCCTCCCCTCCCACAACTCCTCACTAGCCTTCCTCGTCCCCTCCACAATAATCCCATGCTCAACCTCATGAATCCGTCCCTCCAGCCCCTCCAGCGTCTCGCCCTCTTGGAACTCAACCTCCCGCACCAATACCGGCTGCCCGCGATCCACCTCCGCAACAACATAGTGCACCATCACCCCCGTCGGCCCCTTCGACTTCCCAGCCACGAAATCCTCGTAGGCGCGTTTAATCGCGTTAGCGCCGTCGTAGGCGCCGGGGAGCGCGGGGTGCAGGTTTATGACCGGGACATGCTCCTTTTCGAGGGGCGCTAGGAAGGGGGGTGATAGAATGTGCATCCAGCCCGCCTGTGTCCGTTAGCTTCCATCTCCATCACAGTAATATAGGAGGTTAGGATAAGGGGGGACTCACGCAAACGATCAGGTCCGGCCCGTCGCCCAGGATCAGCGCTGCGAGATCGGCGTCATACTTCTCGCGACCGGCCTTGATAGCCTCGGGGTCCTTTTCGCCGCTCTTGAGGTAGTGGCCGGCGACGAGGTTGTGGTAGGATGTCTTTATGCCGGCAGAGCGGGCGCGGTCGAGTCCATAGGCGTTCTTTTTGTTGGAGATTACGTGCGTGATGACTGTGTTTGGGAGAGTTGGTGGGGAGCTAGTCGTGGCGTCGATCAGGGCTTGGAGGTTGGTGCCGGAGCCGGAGATGAGGACTGTCAGCTTCGTTGGGGGGTGAGAGGAGGAGGACATCGTGAGGAGGTGTTGGGGAAGTTTAAGGTATGTTTTGAGAGCTGGTGCCGGTGTAGAAGATATTTAGATTGGATTGCTGCAGCACCAGGCGCGAATGAGTTCCACAGGATATTCGACCCGCTCAAATGTATTTACACGAATCAGCTCGAATGAGAACAGATGAGCTGGCTATGTGAGACAAACGGATAGAGCGTAGCACTTCATCCCCAATCGACAACCATCAGGCAAATAATTCTACCCCACCACACGTGACCCAAACTGCCCCGCTTCTAGCGTGGTCTGTGTTGTAGGAAGGACCGAGATATTGCGACCGCGCGCAAATCGTGCGGTGTGTTTGGTGACCGGACCTTCGGGCTTTTGCGCAACGGGTAGGAAAACTCGACAGTAGACTACAGTATATAGAATAATGAATTGATTTTTTGATTACTACACTATCTACTGGGCCTACGTACTGTATTTGTAGGGCATCGGGGGAAGCCCGAATACTCTCCAGAATAGGGGTTCAGGTATCGGGTGATTTAATTACGATCATCCCGATGCCAATCCACCCCGAGTCCCAAATGGAGAATCCGACGGGTCGCCTGGGAAAATCCCAATTTCCTGGGCCTAAAGTGCCCGTATTCCCCAGGCTCCTGCATCTTTCTCCAACAGTCTGACAGGTAATGATCTCACACCCGCCAGGTACGACGACGTCCTCCCCGAGCTCACCTTAGCTATCTCCTCACTCCTACAACTATCCACCAACCCAAAAAACTATCTACCACTCGTTGAAATCACTTGAAATCGCCATGTCACCCACTGGCAAAGGCATCGGCGCCGCCCCGAAGATCGACGGCTCAGACCTCCGCATCGGCATCGTGCACGCACGCTGGAATGAGCAGATCATCGAGCCACTCCTCGAGGGCGCACGCAAGGAGCTCCTCGCCGCCGGTGTGAAGCCCGCGAACATCGTCGTGCAATCCGTGCCCGGCTCCTGGTATGTCTCCCCCCATTGACCATGCCGCTACCCCACCCCGCCCTACCCCGCCGAACATACCGGAGCAAAACACGAGCACGCAGCTAACCTCCGCAGGGAGCTACCCATCGCCGTGCGCGGGATGTACACTGCCTCCCAAATCCAAGCTACTCAATCCTCGACCTCCTCCGCCGGAGACCTCCTCGGCTCAACCTCCGACCTCGCATCCGACGCAGCCGCGACCCACACTCCCCCCTTCGACGCACTGATCGCTATCGGCGTGCTGATCAAGGGCGAGACGATGCACTTCGAGTACATCTCCGACGCGGTGTCGACGGGCCTGATGCGCGTGCAGCTCGATGCCGGGGTGCCGCTTATCTTTGGGCTGCTGACGGTGCTGAGTGAGCAGCAGGCGCTGGTCAGGGCTGGGCTTGGAGGGGGGGAGAAGGGCGCGAAGGGGTATGCGGCGCATAACCATGGGGAGGATTGGGGGAGGGCCGCGGTGGAGTTGGGGCAGCGGAGGAGGGAGTGGGGGGAGGGGAAGATTCTTTAGAGGGTGAAGTGTTGGTGAATACGATATAGAGAATAAAATGTCTGCATTAGTTATGCTTTTTTTGGTGGATTGGATTAGAGGTGCTCAATGGAGCACAATTAGACTGGGCTGATGAGCTGGATCTATCAGCGGATGTCATTCTCAGCACTGATTCTCATCCTGCAGCACGGCAAAACTGCAAGCCCTTCTCGACCTGCGAGTAACGCCATCGTGGAACGGTGGATGTTCAGAGTACGAGCACTCAGTGTGTATTCCAAGCCTGTCATGGCTCTTTTTCAGCTGCCCAGCGATGATGACGCTATAAATTGCGACGACTTTGACTTTGACGGTGAGTATAGTCCAGTGGAAACCGCACCGTAGAACAGGGCTGAGACCAGGAAAAGTAGGACTGAGCACACTGGCATGGCATCCACTATGGGGAACAACCGCCAACCCAACTCAATTTGGGAAGTATGTCGCGACATGAAAAGCCCGCCAGCAGAGAAAACCAAAAGGATTGACCGCTGATTCGCTCCGCCCCGGCGACTCTACGATCCGAAGAGTGATAGTCGCCTTGATTGCTGACGCGGCGCTGTCAAAACGAGCATGGGTGGGATGACACCAATTCCGGCTCAGCACCAGCCAGCCCTTTAAGCTTTGCAAAGAGCTTTATATCTCCTCGCTGCTGTCCATCGTGTGACATCTCTCGAGGAAACATCACCGTCGCACCGACAAACTACGTGCCCTTTCCAACCCCTCATCACACGCTGAAAAGCCCCAACCACATCCCCAAACACCAACCCAGTCACCACCGCCGCCAAAATAGGGAATCTCACGAACTACCTAACCATGGCTCACACCAGCCGCTACGAGCGTGTTCGTCCCTCATCTCCCCTCCTGATATACACGGTGTTTACGAGGTTCTAGGTTGGGGATATTCTGGGTTAGGTGTACAAACATATTTCAAACTCTATTATATAGTCACCAGCGACACATAGCTATTTCATTAGGCAAATAATAGAGCATTACGACTTGATATCTCATTCTACAAGTATGTAAATACACCTTCCAACTCCCCCAAGGTCTCTTAGGAACAATCGCTACCAAAAATTGTACCACTATTCCCCCTATGCACGGCTCCCATAACGCCACGCCATTTTAAATCAGATACCAACCTCATCACTCATCGCTATCATCATCACTATCCTCCACCACCCTCCTCCTCTTCCTCCTCCCCCCACCCCCCTCGTCCCTCACCTCCACAGGCCTCCCCGCCGACCTCCCCCACTTCCCAACCAGCGTACTGATATCTGGTAACTCCTCATCGCCATCCATCGACTCCTGCGTAGCCGTGAACTGTGTCGGTTCGAAGAACGGCCTCGCTTTCGCTAGGGGACTGACTGATGAGAAAATGGTCTGCTGTTCTCGCGCGGAATGCGCCTTAGGCGTCTCGTCGTCGCGGACAATGAAGTCGTCGAGATCGCTGTCTTCTTCATCGTCGTCGTACCGCGGGGCCGCTGAGCTGCTGGACAAGGTGGTGATTGAGTCTACAAGTGGAGATCGGGCGTTTGAGCGATGTTTAGGTCGGGGTGCTGCACGGTTGCGGCGAGGTGGGGTTAGGGTCTCTGATTCTTCGGCGGAGAGAGAGAATAGGTCTGGTGGTGCTGCGGAGGATTGGCTGGTCGATAGGTCTATCGAGTTCTGGCTGGACCTTAGAGGGAGGGGGTCGTCTTGTACACGCTCCCAGCGACCCAATGTCTCGTCATTAATATCTTGCATTGACTGCAGCATCTTCACGAGCCTCTTTGAAGCGGCCCCGTGTTTGACACGCTCCGTCGGCCGTAAAGATCGTTGCAGCTCAATGTGCTTATTTAATTCCGGGACGCTGACATCCAGTGTTTCGAATCCGCCGGCGATGGTTTGATATGTCTCCAGCAACAGGACTTTGTCCGAGTGAGATAGAAACACCGACTCGAGAAGTGGCTTTTCCATCCGTTGATCTTCTGATAATTCCGACACCACTTCTTCTACGGCTTGTGCTAATGAAGAGCTCTTTCGGGAGGTTTTCTTCCCAGACATCATTGCCGCTACAGACTGAAAGCCTGTCCCAACATCATCAGGCATGTTGAATTTCTTTGGCGGCCTTTTCGGTGCTCGTTTCGCCCGACGCTTCGGCTCTGGCAACGACGGGTCTTGGGTGTTTTCCACTGGTATTTCAATGTCCCTCTTATCAACAGCCGGCACGATATCTCGGGGCACTATGCGTGTTGACAGATCAAACCGGAAATTAAATCGAGATCCATCACTGATCATCCGCTGCATAGCCTCGTAGTTATCTTTCGCCTTAATGAACGAATCCTCCTCCTTCCCACGCATCAGGAGTAGTACGATGTTTCCCGCCCGCTTTCTGCCCGTCCTTCCCATCCGCTGCAGCATGCGAATCGGGGAGGAAGATGCATCGTAGCAGACGATGAGATCAACCTGTCCAATATCAAGGCCTTCTTCGCCTATAGATGTGGCAACAATGACATTGAAAATTCCCTCTTTGAATTTCCTGATCGTCTCAATCTGCATAGCTTGGTTCATGCCATCAGAATGCTTCGTGCCCGCTTGACCGACGAAGACAGACGCCCTAACCATTGGCGCATGCCTATTCAGCACCCGGGCCACTTCTTCGGCACTTCCGCGGTATTCGCAAAAGACGATGATTCTCGTAGTGGATGGTGGTGCTCCATCTTCCCTCCTTCCGTCACCAGCATCGAGGAAGTGATTCAACACAGTATCGCATAAGTAGGTGAGTTTTGGATGGCCAACGAAGTCATCCTTGTTGATCCACATATTTACCAGATCCATCATCTTCTTAAAGTGCGGACTGTCCATAATTTGTTTCTTATATTTCCCGGGTTTAGCACCGCGTTCCTCTGCTTCGGACCGGAAATCTTTCATCGTTTGGAAGAAGGGCCCAACGCCATGGAAATTCAGCAACTTTATCCCATGCGACACGCCGGCGAGAACTGTGAACAGGCTTCTCATCATGCCTTTCAACCCAAAGTTCGCCGATTTCCCTGCAGGCGATTTCAGCCAGGTCTCTTGAGCCTTCAACATTCCAAACGGCGTCAGCGACAGAGGATCCCGGTTGTAATACGCATTATGACCGCATAATTGGTCCACCAGGGGTTTCAACGTCCTCGATAAAAGATCTTGAACCTTTACAATCTCTTCCGATGGGTCGAGAATCACTTGGTCAATGTTGCGCTGGTGGACGTATTGCTGGATGTCAATAGACTCTTCGGTCCTGATCTCCACCTTTGAAATCTCGAGGCCGTTGATGACTTCTTGAACGGCCTCAACGGACGAACCAGGGGTGGCTGTTAACGCAAGAATGCGAAAGCTCTTCGTGAAACGCCGCATAAACTCGATGACCTTGACGTACGAGTAGTTGCCCGTTGCTCGATGCGCTTCGTCGACCACTAGGAGCACAATCTTCTTTGGATCGGCAAGACCTGTTCTCAAATCATTCTCCAGTGTCTGAGGTGTCATGAAAAACACTCGTTTGGAAGCCCATTCTTCTGCTCTCAGCGCCGGACTAATCTCGCCCGTAAGCATAGTCGTTGATGATCTCGGAATGCCAGCAATATAAAAGCACGCATCCACCTGCTGCGCCACGAGAGGTTTGGTTGGAGCCATGAAGACAATCTGGGAATCTTTCGTCCATCGATAATAGTTGAGCATGATCGTGGCTGCAATAAACGTCTTTCCCAGACCGGTCGGAAGTGCAACGAGCGTATTATTGAAGAGGCCATTTTTCGTAATCGAGTACTGGTAATCGCGAATAGCTCCGAGGTTTGTTGGATATACCCATGTCTTGAGCGCTTCGATATCTAGCGAGTGGTGTGTGGGAGCTTCGGGGGGCAAATCAACCCGGTAGCTGTGGACTTTGTTGACCTGGGATGCCGGGAGCGGGTTGTCTGCTGCTCGTCCACCGAATAGAGTAGTTTGGCGCAGTCCCATCAGAGGCGCTACAACGCGTTGCCGGGGCAGTAGCTGAGACTCTGGCGGACTCTGAGGGGTTGCTGGTCTCGCATCAGGCTCGGGCGATGAGCTGAATGCGTCTGATGGAAGACCCTCAAGCTCTTTGTCGGCGTCAAACCCGGAGTAATTCGTAGCCATGGTGCTATTGGTTTCCAGTCTTCTTTTTCTTCCTGCTCATCTTGAGCTGATGTTACCTCATAGCTGTCATCGATGCTGTTGTGAGAGCGAGGGAGCGAGGGAGCGAGGGAGTTGTTCAGGAAGGAGTTTCCACCATGGCAAGGCTGAGAGGCTGAGAGAGAGACGCTGACGTGACTGACTTCGGGGACGCGTTTGCAACCTTAAATACTAGGCGTCAATCAATTCCGCCACTAAATCTTTCGTAGTTGCCCTATATTTTTAGACACCCAGAATTTCCATCACTGGTCTTCCTGAGTTGGCCTTATAACATAGGCATAATCTGTTTTCGGAGAACTGGAGAATCTCCGCATCCTAAAGTTACTCTAAGTATAGTTCTTTGGGGTACGTACCCCATTTGTCTTGGCCCCAAGTCCTCGTGGGTCCCCAGCCAAACATGGCACGATCATGTGACGTCAATACGAGTAGTACAGTACTCGAGTATTCAGTTTACACTCCGGTAAACCGCATCACATGACATATTTCCTTCCTTCTTATCACTTGCTCTGTTTCCGCCGCGGTTAGCGTCCACTCCGCCCCTCCGCCGCCAAGATATCCCCAAGAAAACCCCCTCCGCCGAGCCTAAATGTGTAGCAGACACGGCGTCTGATTACGTCGTCATTTCTATAGTGTACCAAGAATACAACGTACTCATACCTCCTCGGGCGTGTCTAGGTACCACCTTTGGGGTTTTCATGCTCCAATGGCTCCAATGGGGCCATTTAATTCGATCAACCCTTGAATGAGCCAAGAATATTATTTACTCGCAAGTCCCCAATGGCGTCAGATGCATCTCTTGGTAACCTTTGTATGCTTGGACTCTACGGATATTCCCAATTGCGAGATAGTCATAAGGTCTGGGCTATCCCCCTCATTTCTGTTTCCTTTCGTCATACTAGCAAAAGTTGAAATCCCACATTGTAAGCCTATGCCTCGCCTAGATGGCTCCAAAGAAGAATACCAGCAAGCAGGTTCTTGATCCTCACCCTTTCTTACTATCTGTCCATGATGTTGCCAGTCAGCTGGGAACAAATATTGAAACCGGCTTGAGTGCTAGGAGGGTGGCTGAACTCAAAAATGAATACCCTCCAAATGAGTTGGAAGGTGGGGAAGGTCCTAACTGGAGTACCCTGTTGGTGAAACAAATCAGCAATGCAATGATATTGGTATGTTCCACCTAAAAGGCCCCGAAAGTATGACAATCTCTAATGCTCCAAACAGGTGCTTGTCTTTGCTATGGCTCTCAGCTTTGGTGTTGGGGATTATATTGAAGGCGGCGTTCTTGCAGCAGTCATTGTTCTCAATGTCACAATCGGATTTGTCCAGGAGTTGAAGGCAGAAAAAAAGATGGACTCGTTGCGGGCACTGTCATCACCCAGTGCCGCCGTGCTGCGAGATGGCAAAATAGACGTCATCCCGAGGTAAGCTCTATTCTAATGCTCCAAACAGGTGCTTGTCTTTGCTATGGCTCTCAGCTTTGGCGTTGGGGATTATATTGAAGGCGGCGTTCTTGCAGCAGTCATTGTTCTCACCGAGAGTTACTAACATATCATAATTAGTGCCGAATGCCTTCCAGGAGACATTGTAGTCTTGAAAACCGGTGACACTGTTCCAGCTGACTTACGACTCTTCGAAGCAATGAATCTCAACTGCGACGAGAAATCGTTAACAGGCGAGGCAGAACCGGTTGAGAAGACGGTCGAGAATAACATTACCATCCCTGGCACAGAGACGCTGGCTACCAGAGAAGAAGAGGTAGGCATTGGCGATCGCCTGAACATCGCATACTCGACGACTACTGTTATAAAGGGCCGCGGGCGTGGTATTATTGTCTTCACCGGTATGTTAACTGAAGTCGGAAGAATTGCAAGTGCTACAAATAAGAAAACTCGCAAGCCTGGCCGTTCAATGAGTGCAAAGAAATATGGTAAGGCTCAACCGATCAAGGGATTAACTCGACGAACATATGATGGAATTGGATGGTTTCTCGGCCTCACAGTTGGGACCCCACTTCAGCGAAAACTATCCAAGCTGGCTTACCTTTTGTTTGGTTGTGCCATTTTCCTGGCCATAATCGTGTTCGCTGTCAACAAGTTCAACGTGACAAACGAGGTTGCCATTTACGCCATTTCTACCGGTATTGCCATTATTCCGGAATCTCTGATAGCGTACGTATTACCTCCCTCTACATGGATATAAGGCTAATTAATCTAGTGTTCTTACTATTACCATGGTTGTTGGAATGACGGTCATGAGAAAGGCTAATGTCGTTGTCCGCGATCTTTCGGCCCTTGAGGCCCTTGGCGGAATCACCAATATTTGCTCCGACAAGACAGGAACATTAACTCAGGGAGCTATGATCGTGAAGAAAGCCTGGCTGTGGAAGACAGGAGTTTACACGGTTCAGCGCTCAATGGATCCGAATGACCCTACGCAAGGTGTCGTTACTCAGAATATTTCTGTGCAGGGCATCGAAGAGGCACAACCAGAAGCGAAACGTGTCGACTATGACCAGCAGCGCTCCGCTGCTGCTCTAACATTTGATGTACCAGCTGAGAAAGCAATCAAAGACCAAATGAATGGCGAAAACAAAAACGCAGAAGAAGAGGCCGCGGAGATGAATCCTGCTCTTGAACAATTTCTACAAACGGTCGCGCTATGCAACTTGGCAACGGTCATGAAAGAGAAGCCCGAAGGCTCTAACGAGGAGATATGGCAGACTACGGGCGAACCTACTGAAATTGCTCTCCAAGTACTTGCCTGGAGATTCCAAATGGGCAAGAAGTCCTGGATGCGCCAAGGCTTCAAGCAAGTTGCCGAATTCCCATTCGACAGCACCATCAAGCGAATGTCAGTTGTCTACAACTCAGGGGCAGAGAATAGCCTTGTTTTTACCAAGGGCGCTGTCGAGCGTGTCTTGGACCTCTGCACTACCATAGGCTCTGGTGAAAACCAGGAGCCTCTGACAGAAGACATCAAAGAGAAGGTTCTCAAGCAGATGGATGTCTTCGCAAACCAAGGACAGCGCGTACTAGCTGTCGCAACGCGCACATGGAACGGTGATTACAAAAAACACGCCGATAGCGTAGCACAACAACACAAGGGCAACAAAGGTGCAGATGACGAGCTCAGGGGCGAAGTCGAGCAAGACCTTACACTCCTTGGGCTCGTTGGTATCTACGACCCCCCACGTGATGAGTCCAAAGACGCCGTCCAACAATGTGCTGAGGCCGGCATCAAGGTCCACATGTTGACTGGTGATCACCCTGCGACGGCCAGCGCAATCGCCAAAGAAATCGGAATCATTCCCCACAATATGTCTGTCTTGTCGCCAGAGGTTGCTGCTTCGATTGTTAAGAAAGCCACTGATTTCGACGGCATGACTAATGAAGAGATCGATGCAATGCCGGAGCTTCCACTTGTCATCGCGCGTTGCGCTCCCAGCACCAAGACTCGCATGATCGAAGCACTCCGCCGCCGTGGACTGTACATGGCCATGACTGGTGACGGCGTCAATGATGCTCCATCTTTGAGCAAGGCTGACGTTGGAATTGCCATGGGTCTCGCTGGATCCGATGTTGCGAAAAGCGCTGCTAAAATTGTCCTCACAGATGATAAGTTCAACTCCATTGTCTCCGCAATTAGCCAAGGTCGCCGCATGTTCGACAATATTCAGAAATTCGTCCTTCATCTGCTGACTTCTAACGTTGGCGAAGTTATTCTTCTCATCGCCGGCCTTGGTTTCCAAGACAAGAACGGCTTCTCCGTCTTCCCACTCTCGCCACTCCAGATTCTCTGGATTAATATGCTTACATCGTCATTCCCGGCATTCGGTCTTGGTAGAGAGAAGGCTAGCACTGAAATTATGCGTCGCCCACCTCATGATAACAAGAGAGGTGTCTTCACTGTCCAGATCATGGTTGATATGATGGTTTACGGTCTCTTGATGGGTGTGTGCACTCTCATGACTTTCGTGATCATCATCTACGGCGTGAATGATGGGAACCTAGGACACGACTGCAACCGATCCTACAGCTCATCCTGCGACGCAGTATTCCGCGCCCGTGCCGCTGTCTTCGCCGAATTAACCTGGCTTATTCTAATCGCCGCTTGGGAATTCAAGTCTATCCGTCGCAGCATGTTCCGTCTCGACCCAAGCTCTGAGAGTAGATTCCCCTTCTTCAAGGACGTGTATGAGAACAAGTTCCTGTTCTGGGCCGTCGTTATTGGAGCCATATCTGTGTTCCCAGCCGTCTACATCCCTGGCTTGAATACCAACGTCTTCAAGCACAAGGGCATCGGATGGGAATGGGCGCTCTCATTTGGCGCCGTCTTTGTGTTTGTGATTGGCGTCGAAGCCTGGAAGTGGGTTAAGCGCCATTATCATATCTTCGAGCGTGGCTTCGAGGACAGAAGTGAAGACGAGCGCCAGAGCAGGTTCGGGAAGTTGAGCTTGAGACAAGGCTTCTTTTCCATGACTCGGGCCAGGACTATGAGTTTCAAGCGAACCCTGGGCGTCAGAAGCAACCTTAGTAAGAAGAGCGATGGTGTGAGCATCGCCGAGGTGACGACTAATGATACTAGTCGAGCCTCCATGGATGTCAATGACAACGGTCGTGAGATGGTGCAGGTTGGTCAGATGAGACCGGAAGATCAGGTCTAGATGTGTTTGCTCTCTATGATTGTTTTTTGTGATACCATTTCGCAATTGCTATATCCTGATATTTATTAAACATGGCAGAATGTCTATATTTGGAGGGTAAAAATTATATGTCCAAGTGTGGGACGAAGGCGTTTGTTTATATTTTAGAGTCATAAGAGGTGTTTAATATAACTATTTCTTTTAGATTGGTGTGAGACTGCATATTTAATTTTGTGAGCTTGCTGAAATGATTGATTTATCTGATGATGACAGTGACAACCGCGAAGGTAATAAGTTACAACTAATATTTTATAATTTTATTTTGTTAGTTACGTCGTACTCGAGTAGGACGGCAACGAATAACGTATTTCACAAAGCGAGTCGGACACGCAAGCGGTCGGACACTGAATTAATTTCTCACCCAAAATCAATAAATTTGCAAGGTAATAACTCAACAACTGCTTAATAATATATAGTAAAGGTATGTTTCTAGCTTTTTATACTTCGTTGAATTCCTACCTAATTATCTAGGAATAATCTAGCATTAATTCTTGAGATATTAAGTGTAAGCGCTGATGTAGGCGCTAAAATTTACACTAGGCCGTTATATCTCAATATCTATGGTTCTAATTGCTCTAAAACTGCATGTAAATGAATTTATGTGTATAGATAAAGCTGAATTACACACTTTTAAAATATACTACTAAGTTGTTGTTGAGTTATTATCTTCCAAATTTCTTGATTAGGGTGAGAAATTCAGTGTCCGACTCGATTGTGAAATACGTTAACTATTAGATTCTTGCTAATTTGATTTTAGTGATTATTAAAATCAAAATGAATTTAATTTATTGTTATTTATTATTTGTGACCATACCCCTCCTCTTTCCTTGAAGCATACCTCCAACAAATCTCATGTCTACCAATTCTCGTCTGTAAGAAAAACAAGTTAGCTGCCGTGAGCGCGAGTATCTCATCTCAGAACTGTTTATCATTTCACAAGTGGGAACACAGGAAAAGCCTGGAGCAGTGTACCTGTCCGTGCGATAAGATAAGCCATCGAGGAGAGCAAGGGCGCTCCTCACTTGACCTCGCAACCAATCGCGCCCAGCCAACGTCTTTGTTCAGGAGAGAGGACCAAGCTTCCTACCTCATCGTGGAGTTCCCTCAATTGGGCGATTCTCGGGGCATTGTCTAAATTCTGGCGAAAACGGCATAGCCACCGTCTGAAGGTGGGCTTTGTTCACCCATCCATCCACTGTACGTCTCCCCTCCAAAAACACCTCGAGGACGTTTACTGATGCATGGAGACTTTCAGTCTTCACCAGCCAGTTCCATTCAACAGAGCACAAAACCTCTCCTCTGATGAATCGATGAATTCGAATTGAAACCGTCATGCCACCGAACTACCATAAGCATCCGGACCCTGCAATGGACTCCTCCAACCTCGACGAGGACTCCGATCTGGAGGACAATATTGAAAAACAGGAGGTTGTATGGACAATAACATACCCCAAAAAGCCAATTGCGAACAGCAGCCAGCGAATCCGGAAGCTTTGGAACGAGGCGCAGAAACACGAGTCCAATTTCCATGGGAAGGGCCAGAGCAAGGAGGCTTTGAATTTAAGGTATATCGTCGAGCCGAGCACGCCGGGTCCTTGGCTGGGGATGCAAAATTACACGAAATGTACCAGTGAGTAGATCCTATATGGTCATCCCGTGGGAATGCGCTGACTTTATCCGCTATTTAGTTGAGAATGTGGACTACCGAAAGAACGACTTCGTATACGTTCGCCCTCCGGGTCTCGAGCTTGATGGCGATGACGATGAGAGGAAGTTCTATGTCGCGCATATACTGGAGATACGGGCGAAAGATCCACGCCACGTGTATGCGCTCGTAGCATGGATGTATTGGCCAGATCAACTGGTTAATGCGCATGTGGGTGGAGAGAAGCCCATGTCTCTCCGGCGCTGGTATCACGGGAAGCACGAGCTGATCGCCAGTAATCACCTTGATATCGAGGATGTTACTAGCCTGGCGGGGCACGCCCCAGTCGCTCAATGGCTCGAAGAATACGATGACAAGATTCAAGAAAGTTTATACTGGAGACAGACCTTTAATGCAATCACCGGAAACCTTTCGGTATGTACCCCTGAAAGTAGAGACAAGAATATGCCTATCTAACTTTGAATTCGGAACAGGGTCTCCGAAAGCACTGCATCTGCAAGAAATACTACAACCCAGACGTCATCCTGGTAGCCTGCTCGAACAAAGAGTGCGATATTTGGATGCACGAGGAGTGTATTGTCAACGATGCACTGACAAAAGCGCATGACGCTCTCCCCACGGAGCCCGAGAAAAATAAAAATAAAAAAAGGAGTGCGAAGCGTCTCTCGGTAGACAAACTACCTCAAGATTTGAGCTATAAAGACGCGGCCTATAGAAAGCGCCTCACCGGGAAGGTTGTAGACGACGGAAACAAAATACGCATCATAGACCTGGTTAACAAGAAGATCTCAACGGAAAAACTTTGCTGCTTAAAGTGCAGCACCGCGCTGGGATGATCTTCTGAGTTTGCAGGAGAACATGCGCGTTGAGGACTAATGACTGATGCCTATGATGCCAATCGTGGGAGCGATTTTTTTATTTTCGAGACATTGTTGCGAAACGGATACCCAAAGGAATGGCTGGAGTTATATTTTGGAGGTCGCTATCGATGCTGTTGCTGGGACATATCGTGGAAGGGAGGCTATTAAATTTGATGAGCACAGGTGGCTAGGAGTTTTGGGCATCATCCATGGGCTTGCTTTGGGAATTTTATAGCCGGCTATGTGAACTATTAGGGAAATGAATAATGGCTTCCTTATCACTAAAACAGTCTACGTCTAGAAAGAGTGAAGTCCCATTGTGAATTACGACAGAGCCTCACATGTCGGTTTCTTGGATATAGCATCTGGAGTCCGGTTTGTTCCGTGGTGGAGAAAATTATTGCAATAGATAGCACAACATCTAACATTGTCTATGCACAAAACGAAGAAAGAACATCATAGATGAGAGAGACTTTGGTACATTGAGGGTGCGAGTTACAGCTAGGGTTTCCGTCCATCTGCAGATCTAAGTAATAACAAAAGAGATTCTATGCACAATCCCCTTACTCTTCCGAAGCGGCGGCACCAGTGATAATCTCAACCAGCTCGTTGGTAATAACGGCTTGACGGGTGCGGTTGAAGAGAATCTGGTACTTGGTGATCATGTCGCCAGCGTTCTTGGAAGCGTTCTGGAAGAGAGTTAGTTTGCGGCCTAGAAGTAGTGGGATGAATAGAGGTTCCGGGGGTACGTACGTCCATAGCATTGCGACGGGCAGATTGCTCGCAAGCGTGTCCCTCAGCAAGAGCCCAGTAGAGGGAGTTGGTGAGGGCGTACTCCTGGAGGTTGGGCAGCTCAGCGTCATCAATCTCGAAGGCGGCGAAGTTGGCCGAGCTGAGGATGGTCTCAACGGAGTAGGCATCGAGAACGGTAGCCTCGTACGACTGGGCGTTGACGAACTTGTTGTAGACGATCTGGACGCTGTCGTACTTGTCTGGGAGAGCGGCGATTTGATCAGCGATCAAAGAAGCGTCGGCGAAGGTCGGGATGGCCTTTCCGATACCAGTGAAGTTGATCTTGATGTTGCTGGAGTTGGAGCGAGCCATCTGCGCCTTGGCCTTCTCGCCGATAACGACGAGGTCGGCATTGGGGTTGGCGGCGAGCATGCGACGGGTGTGCTTGCCCAGTCCGGAGTGGATTCCACCGCAAAGACCTTTGTCGGAGCTGGCAATGACAATCAGAGTCTTCTTGTCGCCCTCCTCGGCAACCTTGGTCTCAGCCTCCTTGAAGACAGTGTTCGAGGTCTGTCCGTATGCTCGGGAATCTTGCATAGCGCGTGTCGCTCTGTTCAGCTTGGTCGAGGCAACAATCTTCATGGTGTTGGTGATCTTCTCGATGTTGCGGATGGACTTGAGACGGTCCTCAATCTCACGAAGAGTCGCGAAGGTGGCGGCATTTGGAGCAACGGAGCTGTTAGAGGTGAATTGTTAGCCTAGATAGTATATAGGGATCGCAAAACGATGAATCGTGATGAAGCCGGTCGATAATGGAGTAAAATTGGTGTAAGGAGAAACCGTACTGTGTGGACGCCGCAGCGCCGGCGCGGACGGCGGGACGGGCAGCTCTGGAAAGCATCTTGGGCACCAAATGAAATCCTCTACAATATTATTCGATCAATGTTCAATTGACCAAGGGCGTGACTAGCGATCAATTGAGGGAATTGCGTGGTGTAGTGTTCGGAAGTCAATACGGCCTCATCGGCAAAGCTTAGATTTCGATTACATAAGCAGGCTCGGCACCCGACCCTCAGGCAGGCGTCCAGAGCTGGTTTTCTGCAAGTATCGAGTCTCACTCAGTTACTGGCAGGAAAACACGCCTTTTACATCCTTTCAATTCGATTTGTACAATCTCTCATTCAGGCAATCAGGATAGCCACAAGCTTTCAATCTATTCTACGCGCTCAAACGGCCCGTTCTTTCACTTCATGTTTATTATTCCACGTCATACTTCCAAGTGTTGACCTCGAGTTAGCTCTTATTTCGGTTTCGGGGCCGAACATTATCTATACTTCACTTCAATCAAGCGCTGCACAACATGAAATCGTCTTCACCCGACAGTGCGCCTCTGGCAAGGAGGACGAATGGATCTGGTGAGTTGATTCTGTTTATTTGTGGCAGTTCAAACTACATTTCGAGAGCGGCTGGGCCGTTGTGCCACCTTCGAAAATACCCCGTCGCTACTCCCGGAATTGGTCCAGCCAGCCAGGTGGCAATATAGCCCTTACTCCTCTACTCTTCTCTTCTTTACCTATTCCATGACCATCCGGGTCTCTTCTTCACATACTGACCCCAGTGTTCTCACAGCCTCACGAGCCAAAGTATCCAAGAATATCGACAACGAAATGGAGAAATCTACAAATGGAGACTATGCGCCTGCTGGCGTCTCCATACGGAATGGACCCGTTACGGATGAAATGGATGTCGATATTCCAGCTCTAAACGGCAAGCGCAAGGCCCGAGTCAGCACTGGGAAGCCAGTTCACTACAATGACGCCGCGAGCTCTAGCGAGGAAGACAACAAGCCGCTGGTATTTTGCTCCGCCCTGAGTGATAGCTCACTCGAGTCACTTCGAATTCACAGCTTCTGATATGATAACTAGGCTAAACGACAACGAACCTCGGCTTCCAAGGCCAAGAAGGATGAGTCGGACAGCGATGACGCGCCAATAGCGAGGAGGAAGTCGGGTGGGAAACTGCCCCCAAGCATCGACGGTTCGGATTTCGAGCAGGAGGAGAAGAAATTAGCCAAAGAGAAAGTCCACATCGAAAAGAAGGCCGAGAAGGAGGCAAAGAGCATCCGAGCAAAAGAGTCCAAAGGAAAAAAGCCAGTCATAAAGGAATCGGATTCTGAGGATGAGCCTATATCGAAGTCGCGTGCAAAGAAAGCCAACGGGGCGAAGAAGGAAGAATCTGACGATGATGTCCCTATCACCAAGAAGATTGCAGCTAAGAAGGCCAATGGAAAGGCGCCAGTGAAGACGGCTGTGAAGGCGCCCGTGAAGAAGCCTGCCAAAGGAAAGGCCGCTAAAAAGGAAGAGAGTGAAGAGGCGGAGGCAGAGGCAGAGGAAGATGAAGAGTACCGCTGGTGGGATGCCCCGAATAAGGATGATGACAGCATTAAGTGGGAGACTCTTGAGCACAACGGTGTTGTTTTCCCCCCAGATTACGAACCTCTTCCCAAGAGCGTCAAGCTCGTGTATAATGGCACGCCTATCAGCCTGCACGTTGAAGTAGAGGAAGTGGCAGGGTTCTTTGGGGCCATGCTGAACTCCACGCTCAATGTCGAAAACCCGACCTTCCAAAAGAATTTCTTCAACGACTTCACTGAAATCTTAGCCAAGAATGGAGGGGCAAAGGATAAAGATGGTAATAAAGTTGCTATCAAAGAGTTCTCTAAACTTGACTTCAGCAGAATCTTCGAGTACTACCAGGGCAAGAGCGAAGAAAAAAAGGCGCGATCACCCGCTGAAAAGAAGGCTGATAAGGCTGCCAAAGACGAGCTCGAGGCACCATATCTGTACTGTACTTGGGATGGACGGAAAGAAAGAGTCGGCAACTTCCGTGTCGAACCTCCCTCGCTCTTCCGTGGCCGTGGCGAGCACCCAAAGACTGGTAAGGTGAAGAAGCGCGTCATGCCTGAACAAATCACAATAAATATTGGCCCGAATGCCACTGTGCCAACTCCGCCTCCAGGACACAAATGGAAGGAGATCAAGCATGACAACAAAGCGACGTGGCTTGCCATGTGGCAGGAAAATATCAACGGCGCATACAAGTATGTTATGCTTGCCGCAAACAGTACTGTAAAGGGGCAGAGCGACTTCAAAAAGTTCGAGAAGGCCCGGGAGTTGAAGAAGCACATTGACCGCATCCGCAAAGACTACCAGAAGGCCCTGAAGTCTGAGCTCATGGCCGACCGACAGCGGGCAACTGCCGTGTATCTGATTGATAAGTTCGCGCTACGTGCTGGAAACGAAAAGGACTCCGAGAACGAGGCAGAAACAGTCGGATGCTGTTCCTTGAAGTTCGAACACGTTACCTTGAAACCCCCGAACACGGTCATCTTTGACTTCCTGGGAAAAGACAGTATTCGCTTTTACGACGAGGTGACTGTTGACCCTCAAGTCTTCCGAAATCTTAAGATCTTCAAGAAGTCCCCAAAGACTGAGGGTGATGACATCTTCGATCGTCTGAACGTAAGCAGTCCTCGTTTCTGTATTGTGGTCAATACTAACTGCTATACAGACTGGTCAGCTCAACAAGCATTTGGCCAACTATATGCCTGGACTCACTGCGAAGGTGTTCCGTACTTACAATGCTTCATACACCATGTCGACGCTTCTGCAGGAGCTGGAGGCCACAAACACCAGTCTGCACGAGAAGATCAAGCTCTATAACGACTGCAATCGGAAGGTTGCAATCCTTTGTAATCATAAACGTACCGTTGGCGCAGGCCATGAGGCCCAGATGGGCAAGCTCACAGACAGAATCAAGGGTCTGAAGTACCAAAAATGGCGCACGAAGCAGATGATTCTCGATCTTGATCCAAAGCAGAAGAAGAAGAAGGGTGCTGAGTGGTTTGAACTGGACGACGATTTGACTCAGGAGTGGATTGAAGAGCACCAGGCGTTTCTGGTGGAGGAACAGCGTACGAAGATCACGAAGAAGTTTGAAAAGGATAATGAGAAGCTCGTTGCTGAGTGCGAGAAGGAGATGAAGGCCAAGGAGCTTACTGAGCGCCTGGGAGCCGCGGAAGACTTGGCTAAGAAACTCAAGAAGGAGAACAAGACCAAGAAAGTGGAAGCCGAAGGAAGAACTCCATCCGTGGAAAAGTTACAAGCTGCGGTTGAGAAGATTGATCAGAGGATCACTACCATGAATCTCCAGGCCGAGGATCGAGAAGGCAACAAGGAGGTTGCACTCGGCACCTCCAAGATCGTAAGTTTAGCTGTGTGGATGCCGTTGGACCGCTTGCTAACACACCTCAGAATTATATTGATCCCCGCCTTACTGTTGTATTCGCCAAGAAGTTCGACGTGCCTATTGAGAAGTTCTTCTCGAAGACACTTCGCGAGAAGTTCAACTGGGCCATCAAGTCTGTTGAGGACGACAACTGGGAATTCTAGAAAATGCGATTCGTTTTCACATAGTTTATCAGTTACTTTTCGCAGAGGATATATCGTTTTGAGCTTGCATATGAGAAACGGAAATGGGGTGTGGGGGTTTTTTTTGGGGGGGGGGGCGGTGGGCTTGCATTTGACTCTGGAGTTACGGCATTTGGGACACACGGCACATCGAGGGAGGGATTCGGGATCGTTCTAGAAATCGGCTTCCGACTCTTGATGTGAGGTGAGCTCATTTACCTACATTGTGTATATTTTAGATGGGCCAGGACGGTGCGTTCAGGATGTTTTGCGGCAACAATAGAACCAAAGAAACCAGAATACAGAGACCATAAAATGATGTTGAGACCAGGATGTTTAGTTTGCAATACCCATACAAATTCCAGGATAGGAATGCTGTAAGGTGCTACAGACACAGACACTGTTATCCTTCCGTTTTTAGATCAACCTGCGAGACGTTGAGCACATGTTCGACTTCCCACATTCCAAAAGAGAAGGAGAGTCTTTGGGGTTAATATGGGGCACATATTTCAAGCATGCACGTGTCTATAGTATGGCAATTCCTCACCTTTTGCAGGATTGAGAATTTGTCTAGTGTCACCCTGCCCGAACCCGTTCCGCCAAACTCGGTCCTATCCCGCCGACGGAAGGACCTGCTGCTCTCCATGAATCCCCCTGTCGGGCGATTTGACACATCCAGGAGTGCCGACATTCCCTGTTCTCGGTCCATGGTGGGAAGTTTGTCTTGTGCTTGCACATACTGTGGCGTTTTCTGGCGTTTTTTTCTGCAACTTGGCGGCTCTGTCAGATGCAGGTGCCTATATCCTTGAAGCAGTGAGACGCATAGTGCATTGCATCCAAAGGGAATAAGGAAAGATGCCCGGTCTGTGGCCTGCGGAGCAGAAAATCTCTCACTGCCTTTTGGGATTGAGATATGTCAAACTGGCCACATTCCTCCGCGTTTTAGGGTTTATCCAGGGATATCTTCTATCAAAAATATATATTTGATAAGGACAGGCATACTCACAAACCTGGCTACACCTAAGGATTGGGGTTTACTCTACGTGGACACTACTGTACTCTATATGAAAGTGCAATTTCGACAACACTGCCTGCGGCCAATCCATCCGCCCATTTCATCGCGGTGTCTTCAGGGGGTGCGGTTATGACTTGCATCAGCACCATGTTACTGCAGACACCAGGATGAGAATGAATTCAGGGACGCGAGGCGCGAGTAACAAGGTATAAAAAAAGTCTGGCACCTCCCCACCGGCCTTGGCAGGTACGGCTACACTACGAAGGAGAAGGGCTGTTGTTCGAATGCGGAAATTCTCGCTGGGGACAGACAGCGACGCAGGCATTACTACTATGTATGGGGAGATGATGTGGGCTCCGCGGCGCCGGTCCGGGAATGGTCATGGATGCTGCCAGCATCCCTCGCGGTCGGAGAGGGATGCCAGACCACACCAGCTCGGATGGATGCGCATCCCTATCTCCTGGGTCCGCCCGCGTCCCCGGGCACGACGGCTGTGATGAGGCTTGCGTGTTTCGCGCAGGGATTCGGGGGATGAGGTGGCGACTAGGCGTCAGATTTCCTTTTGCTCAGGTCCCGTGTCTGTGCCCTGGGGTCTGAGTTACCAGCCCCCAGTATCGGGTCTGTCGGATATAGGAGAGAGCCGCAAGTCAGTCAGCCAGTCGGCCTCCATGGCCTTGAGTCGATTGCTTGCTGGCCGCCTCTGGTAACAAAGCTTTCGGTCTATCGGAGATGGGACCCGTGCTGGAGACGGCTTGCCGACCTATTGTACTCCGTACTTGCCTTCAAGCTCCACTATGACGGGATCAACCTCCAACCTCCAACTTCAGTGCGTTCCCTGATATTGCAGCAAGCAGACCCCGAAAAAGGGTGTCGAATGTTGGGACGAAATATTCGCGCGTTGGTGTGCGTGTGGTGTGTCCGTGGCGGGCTTGTGCGCCCCGCCGTGCCACGATGGCGTACCTGACTTGCCGTTAGTTTACCATTACCATTACCCAATTCCAGGGGGGGGGTTTTCTTTTCTTTTTTTCAGCTGGCCGTGTTCGCGCCGGTGGTGTTAGCACCGTCGTAGGGTCGTGCTGGCGGCCGCATGCCAGGGGGGGAGCAGGGGGCAAACACGAAGATGGGTTTGGAGGGGAGAGAGCGGGAGGGGGAAGGGGGCAGGAGCAGCCTTCTGGAAGGAAAGGAAGGGAGGAGGGAGGGAAGGTGTAACAGTGATTGATACCCTGAGTAAAACTTTGTTGCACCGACCAACGTCCGCTCCAGTGTTCTCCACCATACTATAGACATGTCCTCAAGGGCAAACAATTTTTTGATATGAAAAACAATCTGTAGCCCTCAAAATTACGCCTGTAAACTCGGTGCGGCCCCTGTCTGTATCAGCCGCTATGTGTTCTTTTGTGTTGAGAGCCGGGGATTAATTTGAGGGTTTCCAATCGCAAGGTCTTCCCCATAACCCGCAAGAGACTCCACCATAAACCCAATAGTGGAAGTGGTAATCTTCCAGAAGATCATTCCGCAGCACAAAGACTTGTATTTTACAGGCAGGAAGGAGTACAGAAGGACAGTTCCATGTCCCACGGCACCGCCGCTATGTGGCACCTATGTATTGTATGATGTACAACTCTGTACCTCAAACCCTCATAAAAACTGTTTGCTTGTTGTACAATTGAGGGGCTTTCGAAGGGATTTTTACAATATAGAAGCCCGTTTGTGTAAGCCTGCTCCCCCTGTCCCTCTGTGTGTCCTGTGTAATCCTCTCGGAAATGTAAAGCTCAAATTTCAAGACAGCTAGGTAATATACTCTCTGTGTATCATATTACTCTTGCATGGGCTGACTCCGCTATGATGCTGTCTGCCCCTGCAAGTCGATCGATTTTGGCCACCTGTCTTGCTCACTCATCACTCGATGCGAACTGAACTGACTGATGTGTTTCTCAAGGCTGCACCCCTATTGCCCTGAATAATATTAACTGTGCGCTGCCCTGACTCGTCCCATATCCTTGCTCTACCTATCCGTTCCTCCTCTCCGGAGTGAGGTCTTTATCTATTATTTCGTCTCTCCTTGCCCATACATAGTCTGTCCTTTAACCACTAATAGTGCGTTTCGAATCCAGCGCCGCTCAACACTTTTAGCTGCCTCGCGATATCTCTACCCGACTGCGGAGCAGGAGGCAAAAAACCACAGATCCCTATATATTCGATTTCAGCAGCGCGCGCGGGCTCTTCAATCCCCCCCAACCACCCAAGATGGCCGAGAAACCAAGTGTGCTGATAGTCGGCGGGATGGGCTACATCGGCCGCTTCCTAGCCCTCTACATCCACGAGAACAACCTGGCATCCGACGTGCGGCTCGTCGACAAGGTGCTCCCTCAGCTGGCGTGGCTGGCGCCCGAGTTCAGCGAGGCGTGTGCGCAGAGCAAGTTCGTCCAGGCGGACGCGTGCCAAGCTCGTGAGCGAAACCTCCCCTTCCCGTTGTTTGGGAGATCGGCGTTGCTAACCTGCGCTGCTAGAATCGCTCCCGAGGATATTCGATCGCGCGGATGGGAAGGAGTTTGACTACGTCTTCAATTGCGCGGGTGAGACGAGGTACTCGCAGGATGATGAGATTTACAAGCTGCGCGTGGTGACGCTGGCGCAGTCGATAGGGAAGGAGGCTGCGAAGAGGGGGGTGAAGGCGTTTGTGGAACTCAGCTCTGGCCTTGTCTACAAGTCGGATTCGACGCCGAGGAAGGAGACGGACAATCTGAAGCCAGCGATAAAGCATGCGCAGTACAAGTTGCAGGCTGAGGAGGAGTTGGCCAAGATCGAAGGGTTAGTTATGGCCCCCCATTATGTTGACGAATGCTGCTACGTTTACTGCCGACAAGAAGCTAACATCTTAACCTACAGGCTCAACCTTATAATTATGCGCCTCGCGTTCACATACGGAAAATACGACTCAAAATTCGTGTCCAAAGGTCTCGTGCTCGCACGCGTCTACAAGCACCTCGGGGAGGAGCTGAAATGGCTCTGGACGAAAGACCTCAAAGTCAACACCGTGCACGTCGACGACGTCGCGCGCGCGCTCTGGACAGCCTGCGAATGGCAAGTCAAGGGCAAGGCCGGCTGGGACGCCAGCACGATGGGCGCTGTCCCCACCTTCAACGTCGTCGACCACACCAACACCAACCAGGGCCAGCTGGCGACGCACATCACGGAGATCTACCACATCAAGACCGGCTTCGTGGGGTCGCTGCTCAGCACGTTCGCGCGCATGAACATGGACCATGTGCTGGAGGACATCAACGAGCATGTCATGGGCCCCTGGGCGGACCTCCTCAGTGACGCTGGCATCACGCGGCCTGGTCCCCTCGGGCCGTACCTGGAGAAGGAGCAGGTGAAGGATGAGGACCTGTATCTGGATGGGTCGAGGTTCGAGAGCCTCGCTGGGTTCACGTACTTGCGGCCGACGCTGGGGAAGAAGGAGCTGGAGGAGATGATTGAGAGTTACAAGACGATGAACTGGTGGCCCTAGAGCGGTCTTCCGTGCAGGCGTGCGGCAGGTTTTCCTTGGTTTCCGAGACTTGACATGTTGTTCACTGTGCGACGAAAAGCTGTTTGTTTTTCTTTTCTTTGTACAATTTATACGGCTGGCTATGATTGATGATGATGAGTAGCAGACCGATGCCACGATGACTTATCGGTTTCCTTTGTCTGTACTCTTCACCTTTTGACGTGGTTCATGGGCGTGTGCTTTCTGATCGTTGGGGATGTAGGATAGGTAGATAATACTAATACACGAATATTGATATACCAGAGATGTTGAGTATGCCATGACGGACGTCGTGACCCCTCAGTCACCACTCAGTGGAACATAATGCTGCCACTATATGCATGGCATTAATCAGATGCATCTCTCTAAGATTGCGAGTGGCACTGGCGCCTTGGAAGCGTCGACGCCATCCAAATTTTGGTTAGAAAATCAATTATAATCATGATTCTGTAACGTACATGTATAGCGAAAGCGCCAAACAAGCGAAAGCGCCAAAATGATGCGGTGACCAAACCCCCCAACTAA